TTGGCCTTAGGGCGCGTATTCTCATTGTCCTGAGGTTCGGTCCTCGCACGCGTGCTTGACGCGTCGCGGTTTCGCGACCCTCCACCTTCTTTTGCCAGTGCCACCATTATCCCTACGCGCGAGGAGGTAGTGCGTTGGATTCGTCTCGTTCGTGCGATTCGTTTGGTATCGATTTTACCAGTTTTGGGGAAATTCGTAGAATGGTGTTCTTTTGCTAGAATAATTACCTAACTTAAAATATCACTATTATACTATCCCATCTTCGTGTCAATTCAGTGGCATATCGTTTACTGATTCATTTAAATGTTCGACTGTACGAAAATATGTTCGTTTTCAGTTCTTTACACAGTACTTCGGCTTTGAAGAACTCCTCTATTACAAGATCATGAATTGAAACACTCCACTGCTGTCAGACTATTTATATTGTCGAGTTCGTCAGCTTTTTCATATGGCCCTATCAAATGGTTCATCCAGTGGTTCGATATCTCAGCACCATATTATAAGACTTTGCATTACCTACATCTTACTGCATGACCGTCCGAGAGGCACAGAAGCAGATCGTGTCCCTTCTGATGTATTTGTTCTGCTGAACGACCTATAAGGGTTACATACGAGGTGAATATTGAGAGTGTCATGCTGTTCTGCAATTCAGTTCTTGGGTTGAATAATCCCTCACTGTAATGTCCTCTTAGTATCCGTTGGCAGACAACTGTCATCCCGGATTTTTCATTCTTATAAAGACAGTCCCCAGGACAATGTCTAACAGCCAGGCATTCTGCGATTTATTTTCACTTGCAAGACACAATGGCAGAAGACAAGTTGATACATGACTCAAACGATTTCATACGGTTCCACCGCATCGCAAACAAAATCCGACAAGGTACATGCCGCCGGGGGGCAATGCTTGACAGAAAGCTCAAGAAAGGATTACAATATGTTAATCTGGAGACCGAGACTCCATCCCTGTGGATCTCTAAGAACAAACATCGCAGGCTCCAAGGAGTTAGCGTCGCAGCCCTCGGTATTTAATGATTCCCTAGAATAGCATTTTGCTTTAAGCTCTTCGACTTTTACGAGGATGAATACGAGTCCAATCCTTCGATTCAATGCATGTGCACAGAATCGAACGCGGTCATCCGGCGGCTGGATTGGACCGTCACGATATGAGCCACTCTCACCTTCGTCGTCCTGGAAATTTCATGGCAGAAACCGCATGTATCTACACTTTTGTTCGATCCACTGTACACGGATGTCGCTCGCCGAAATCTTGAGGTGAAGCGTTCCATTTCACCTTTTGAGTTCCAAGCATGAGAGGAATACGAGACGCCCCACCTTAACTTACGCAATTATGCATCGGCTCGATACTATATCCAGCAACAATCAGCGGTTTCTTCGAAATATAGTTATCTGATCCGCCCATAACCACAGGATCCCCCGGGAAAATACGATCTGATAACCACTCAGTGCATTGCATACCACGGCAGGGCCTGTTCAATAGGCATGTCCATTTTATCGATTGAACAAAAAAAGGATGTCAGTGCATGACGTCCGAAGTCGCAACTACTTTCAAGTTTCAACTAGCAAAGGCTACTTCTTTCACCAAGTAGTAGACTGTATGCTCCATACATGCCTATATATACCACCTGGCAGCAGCAGGAGGTAGGACGTTATCTTGACTCATTCATTTCACCATCAAAATTCTTCATTTAGAACTCCCTGCTTCGATTACATCCCTCATTTAAGCCCCTTGCAAAATGAAGGTCTGCTCAATCATCGTCCTTACCCTCGCTACTGCTGTATCCGCAGCCTCCACGCCCAAGAGAGCAGCTCCCTGTGGTGCAACCTACACGGGTATTTCAGCTACTACCAATTGCATCGCATTCTGTGCAAGACAAGGTGGATCCTGCGGCGCTCAGACTGTCAATGGCTACCTTCAGTACACATGCAATTGCTAGGTAATTACCTCTACCAATCTGTGGCTGGCAATGACTGACATATCGGCACAGAGGAAATTTGCATACACCTCTTAACAGAGACTCCTAAGGATTTCTCCTAGTAATCGTTTCGACGACAATCGATCATTGGATGTTGACTTTGTTCCACAGCAATGGAGTAGCCGCTTATGAGGATGGCTTCAACGCGAGTACAGCAAAAGTACAATAAATGAAACACCAGAACATTTCACATCCGTTCAATGTGCCACCTATAAATACATTGGAAAGATTACCAAACAAATACAGATTAAAGTTCTATTGAGCGAATTGTAATGTGAAATACTGAACTACTAAAATGGCGAATTTACATAGAATACCATATTACAAAATCCCCTAGTAAGAGGTTCACTATCGACAATTAAATTTAAAAATTGTTAACTTTTGGCATTAAGTGGCAATGCTTGCGTAAATTTGTTTTGAGGATGCGCTCTATCCACCGCCACATATTTTGTGGCACCGGCCCGATCCGAAGTCAGCAAGGAGAAACATTTTATCGCTGTTTCCACTTCGCTTCTCATTCATTCATATTGGAACTTTTTAATAGTAACTATCAGGAGATAATCTACTTATCTATATTATAAGCTTCTTGCACGTGGGTCAAATTATCATGGCATCGTGCACTTTACTCTTGAAAGCGCGACGTTCCAGATCTCGTTCAACGCCATCATAAAGATGCAAGTCTGGCTGATATGTTCATGTGTACATCTAGTATTTAACGCCCAGCGTTAATTTCTCATAAATGGTAGAACCGGCTGTTGAGTAGTTAGCCCAAGTATATAGTGCGTCATTGAGGAGGAGTGAGCTGAGGTCAGAGCATGTGGCTTGATTTAAGACCTTGAATCAGAAACTGTTCTCGCCTTCGGTACTACTTGCAACGACCAACCTAATGAGGAAAAAGGCCATCCCTCGACCACCTGTTGGCCGCAAGATAGGCAGCATAAAGATGTTCCGATTGTTTCCTCTGAGTTCTGAAATCGCTAAACAACAGAGAAAGGTGATATTCATGAAGAACCAAATGTCCGGAACCACATGTTGTACTTTCGGTTTGTCTTCTGGGCAAATCACCCGCAATATCGGTTATCAAAAAGCTCATCTCATGCAAAGAATGTTTTTCCGAAGCCTACCCTAGACAACATTAGAATCATGGACATTGACTATGTATTTGGATTTGTCCGAAGAGACTGGTGTTAAACTGCTTTCGGTCATCCCAGTGCATAATATACTTCGCCGACTGAACCAATATCAGTAAATTCTCCGACAATCATCAGTCTACATTATTCCTAAAAAAGATTCCAGATAACGCAGTACTAATAATATAGTAACACACAATGAGAAATTCAATGCAGTTATAAAATGTATTCCCTAGAGACATACCTTTGAACATAACTTGCCCCTCAATCCATAATAAAACCAAAGTATACCATCTTCAGATGCCACTTATCGCGCATAGTTCCTTTCCCCACATTCTTGATCCTCTCATACTGTACAAACGAAGTAAAGGTCATCTCTTCTAGTTATCTAATCTTGATTACTCTCCCGCACATCTTGATACCCCACCAAACATAGACACAACCCCCACAAATACAGCTTCCTAAACAAGCCTAGCTCCGGAACCATCTATGCATGTACCCTGACGATCCCTATTCAAACTCCAAACCAGCTCAATTCAATCCAAGTCAATCACGGCCAATCCCTATCGCACATGTTCAATCCAAAGACTCGCTACCATTGAGCTTCCTTATTCGAAAGCAGGGCCGTGACGTGACGCGCGGTCGGGGAATTTGGATGCTTATGCTCTGCAGATGCGGATGGTAACACGGCCAGCGATTATTGACGAATAGTAAGGACGAACGTGGGAGGCGTGCGCTGAAGATGAGAGGCCCGGTATCGCAGACCGAAATGGGGTAAGCCGAGAAGATTCATAAGGCGAGATGCTTACTGGTCGATTCAAAGTACTCGTGCTTTACAGTATCTTAAGGGCCACCAATTGGATTTCTGAGTGGGCCATGGTCGGCGGATGGTGAGGTCTATTCAAGGTTAGGTGAGACCGAGAGTATGATATTCTAAGGAGAGATATATTACCATGCATGGTCAGGGTTGATTGATAGACCTTGATCGAATGCAATAGCCGCGGTGTCCTGTCGATCTTGGGCGGAGAATGCCGACCCAAGGTGTATGTCTGTATCGAGTGCAGGAGATATAAGATTGGGATGATCCCATAGAATTAAGCATCAGCCAGCTCACAATCTACAAAGCCGTCAAGCCTCAGAGTTCGTCATTCATTTGAGTATAACACCGCCGACATGCAGTTTCTTCCTGCTCTCCTTTTGGCGTTGACTCCTCTGTCTCTCGCTCTCCCAACCACCTCTCCCATTGAGAACACTCTTGAGGCTAGACAATGCGCTACCACATGTGGCTCGGTCTGCTATTCTTCTTCAACCCTCTCTGCTGCACGTAGCGCTGCTGGTACGTGTCTCGCGAGCAACTTCCATTCTGTATGTAAAACTATTCACTAATGTGCAACCAGCAAACTACGTCAAGAACGGTGGACACGCAGGCAGTTCGACCTATCCACATGTCTACAACAACTACGAGGACTTCAACTTCGCTATCGCTGGGCCCTACTACGAGTTCCCAATCCTGTCTAGTGGTAAAACCTACACTGGTGGTAAGTTCCATAGAGTATCTTGAAGAATGGCAATCATATACTGATTCAATGAAGGATCCCCGGGCCCTGATCGTGTTGTAATCAACAAGAACGGTGCTCGCGCTGGTGAAATTACGCACACTGGTGCTAGCGGGAACAACTTTGTTGGATGTTCTGGCACTTCGTAGGAGGGATTGGGGAAGAGTTCCTGGGGCTTACGGTCTTCTATGATGATTTATGCAAGAGCCGATATTTTCATTTTCGCATTTCCTTTTCAGCCTCATGACAGTGTGCCATGGCAAAATCAGCACGATGTTGCAGATCTATTGTAAATACTGCCTTTACAAAGCTGCTACAGGAGGCCGAGCAGTCAGAATCGAGCCGAATTTGACATTTCACATCCATTCAGTTTTGTCTCGACTAAATGTATGCTGTCTCTCTAACAACACCTCGTACATTTAAAATTGATGCCTCCACTCTGTGGCAAAAGGAACTGATTAGAAATCTAAGTAATGACTACCTCAGCCTCTGTAGCCTCTTCCATCCACTGTCTATCCCAAATTGTGGCTAATCCTGTTCGCTCAAAGATGCCGTTTTTGCTCTCCACAAGCAACAACCCCCATTGCACGCTCTGAGGTTCGGTGTAATAGGTTGCGGTAGCTAGATCAAGGAAATACAGCGTCTCCGTCCCACCAAGCTCCTTACCATCATCAAAAACCGCCCAGCCATGTGGCTCATTTTCCGCCCGCTCGATATGATAACCTGGCTGATTCGCCGCGCGATAATCAACTGTCTTCACCTCCCGGTACGATGTATAAGACTCCTCCATCCTTCTTTTAAGAAACGTGTCGATCCTGTACTTCTTCGCCCTGATACTTAACGCGCCTGAGTCGGTATCGCATCCTATAATGCTACAATTCGTATGAAACTCGAAGTCCTCCCTCTTTTTATCGAATTCAAGGAATCTGAACCAAACCGGTCCGGAATGCGATGCCCAAGACCACGTCGGAAATTCCACAAGCTTATTATCGACAAATACTGGACTCCATAACAAATGTTCCGGCATGTCGTTCACCCATGTACCAAACCAGTAGTCTTGATTCCCGACCCATGGAGCTATCTGCAAAGTCTTCAGATCAATCCGGGTATATCCCTTCGTCTTCACGATTGATCGCGCGAGGCCCTCCAACGAGATCAACCGATCTTTGATGTATGTGAATGACCGCAAAGAGTGATCGGATATGATACGGCCCCATTCAGTGCACCATTCCGGTTCTGAGAGCCGATGGCCTAGGATCATACGCCCGGATTCGTCTTCCTGCTTCGTACGACACACCCATGACATACCATCAGGAAGGAAGTGGACTGTCCGTCTCGAGAGAATCCACTCCTGCGTTGCCCAGCCCCGAGCTGCTAAGGGGCTGAATGACGGGTGCATCGGTTGTATAAAAGGCTCTTGTCGCCATTCAATTGCGATGTTGTATTTTCCAATTATACATGGTCTGCCTCCGTCCGCTTGTTTTCGTATGAGGGGAACAGGAACCGATAGGATGGGCAGACAGCCGTAGTCGCGTGGCAAGAATAGCCCCTTTGTAGAGTCCTTCGCACCCGTTGCGGCGATAGTAAGTACTGCTTGCTCGTATATGAGGCCCATATCTTTGGACTCGGCAAGCCAGTCCTCTTCGCTGTCCTGGATAATGCATAATGAATCAATCCACAAGTAACGCAAACCCAAAGCTCGCGTCACAATAATTGCATCGACGAAGGTTTTTGGTAAGCTAGAGAACGATATACACTTCATGTGGTCTTGAATGTTTTTGGTGGTTGTCATTAACGGATGATTCTTCGGTTCGCCCCAGCAATGGCTCAAAGCCACCCACTGTCCTGCTGGATATCCTTTTGTATCAATCAATCTTGGCTCAGAGGTACTACCCGGCTGCCCAGTATCGATGAGTCGGGTAGGAAGTTCGAAAAATTCCGAAGGATCTAATATGTCTCTTCCTATGGACTTCATACACCATGAGTGACCCTCTTTGCATTGTTGCATCCAAGTTCTAATGATATCAAAGGATTGTAAAGAGGCCGAACTCCGGATAGGTGGCCGGCCAGCAATATATGGCTTCACGTCTTCATTGCAGGCTGTGCATTATTGTCAATAAATGCATGACTAGCATCAAAATACACGTACCTGTGGGAAGAAAGGTATTAAGCATTGTATAAACAACATTCCGCCTGTCATCTTGATGTGCCTCTTGGGGCCTCTGCCACACGATGCGAATACTGTCGAGCGTAAACTTATTGAAATCCTTACTGTCCTGGCCGAACTTATTGATGTCGGAAAGGTGCAAGAAAATGGGATCTTTGCTATGCCATAGCTCGAGTAGAGCCGAGTGGAGCATAAAGCCATGTTCTTCTCCTCGCAAAAGCCCAAAAACATGTTGTAGCCGACTCTTGGGGCTATCATAGGGAAATCCACGCTTGCGCGAGGTATCCATAACGATGGCAACCTTGATGAGCTGACATAGTGCGCAATGTCGCGCAGAGTTTAAGATGGTCTTTGCTTCCCTGTGATGCAGGACAATATCTGGTGGCAACTTATCGTCGGCGTGAACTCCAACTGTTTCAGGTGGAAGCACGCGAAATCCGTCGAATACGGCGCGAAGGCTGTTGAGATTGTGTTCGAGTGGCCATAATGGGTCCGGCTTGGGTCTCTCCTCCAATGGTCTGTCAAAAGAAAAGATAAAGTCGGAGATCTGATCGGTCGCGGCTGTGCAGACACTGCAGAGATTCTGGCGCTCAGCAAGGCCGGCACTAATTGCATTCACATGTTCGGTTGGAGACAAGGACAGCAGCTCCTCTATTATCAATTTTTCATCGTCTCGAAGTTTTGTCGTGGGGTTTTGCAAAAGATCCATGGAATGCGTGAGGTTGAGCGGTTCTTTTGCGTTTGTTACATTGTCAGCCAGTCACCTAGGAGGGGCGTGTACACGGTTTTCGTATATCATAGGTGCCTAGTCACTCGTTTATTTTTACTACATTCAACCATTTCGCTCTTCTGTATGTACGAACATAGCCTCCTTTACAAGACAGGACCTTGAAGATTAGGCTGCCTGTGTTTTCTGGGCTTTCGATATTACTAGGAAGTAAATTGAGCCAATGATGTAATAGAAGTTGAAGGCGGGCCATGATCTGAAAAGAGGCTGTGAACCTTCGTACGGGCCGTGCCGCTGCCATGTTGACACTTTGTACCATTCCAACTATTGCTTACATAGTTGAACTATGGTTTAACCCTTAAAACTATAATCTCACTGCTTTTGGAGCGAAAATGAAATCGACAGTAACAGAGAGAACAACAGCATCATCACATCACCATCTAGCTCCCGAGCCATAAGGGTGTGAGATCCTTTGTCGAAGCGGGGGGACGTGCAATGTGAAGGATCATTTTATCATCTGGCAGTAGGAAAAGCTGTGAATGCTGAAGGCTGAGGTCGTTTAAAGAGGAGGTGGTGTGGTTGGTTGATTGTGTGGTGTTCATGCGACTTGCTCATGAGGCCAAAGTAGCGCCGATCGATCCCCAAACAGGGAGCAGTTCGAAGACAAGACACCATCATTGGCACATCCCTGTAGATAATCCAAGTTATTGCTATCACAAGTGCCACCTCTAAATGCACCGACAGTTCGCATACTTAAACCATATCGATCATTATGGGATGGTCAATATTGTGCATTCCATACAATGGCGAACGGGTTGGACACTACAAAACAACCTCTTACATTTGCGCAAAGACAGGTTCTCCTAGCTCTACTTGTTCTTCAAGCTTCACGGACATGCTCTTATGTCTTCATCTCTTTAAATGCCGACATATACGGTAGAAGAATCTTTCAGGTGTGCGAAGAGTCTCTCAGCTACTCCGCCGTGCCTGACAACCAAACTACCCGATGGAATAACGAAATCACGGGCAAAGGTAAGCCTATCCATCTACCAAACTGGGTCGTTAGACTGACCATTGTCGGAAAAAGTGCTTCAACCCCCTGAAAACATCAAGGTACAGCACGCAGAAGACTTGGAGCCGAATAGTGAAATCAACGTCGCAAAGGAAATCCAAAGAGACGAGCAGGCCACGATGAGGGAAACGTATAGTGAAATAATGGCGTTAGATGCGAAGACAATCCAAGTTCAGCAAGAAACTATTCTTTCCCAACAAAGTGTCATTCGCTCTCAGCGAGACATGATCCGGCAGTTACAGGATCTAATAATAGCACAGGAGGCACTAATTCACGATTGAGAAGAGAAGGAAGTTATAGTAAAATAATGATTATATCTGCAGAACAACCGCACCATCTCTTTCCACCGAGTAGCAGACGAATAGTTTCAATATCTAATTTCTACTATCATTCACATGACATGGGCGAGTTCTCACATCACTCTTCTCCACTCAGTCCACCATTTGAACAGCCAATTCTCAAGGATAATCACTCGCATGAAGCAAAACTCGTCTGATTTCATTGTTACGTTGTAGTGCAACCATTTTCTCGTGATGTCCTCGTTTCCAATCTACGATTCATCGATAGACTGGGCAATTGCATCCCCAACACTCCGGATGAAATCTTTCTTGGCAGCCTCAAGTGTATTGTATGCATACCCTTCGATCATCTTAAAGTTGCGGTAAACAAGGTTTACTGAAGTATGGCTGCCGTGAGAAGATTTATATACGACGGAGATATGCTTGAAATCCTCTAGTACATTATAGTCCTTTATCGGTGGCGCAAGCCGGAGTACAGTTTTCTTATCATTCAGCAAATGAACCAAGTTGGCTGAATGCTTTCAGTATAAGCGGCTATCTCAGTACAGAGTTGACTTACCAGTAAGTGGCTTGGAGGCGGTTTCGTCAAAGCCAAAGTTGATCAGCATTTCGTACACGTAAGAACGAAGCCTCTGTTTCAAATCTAATGCCTTTGCCATGTTTATTTTTTTAGTATAGTTTGTAAATTTTGAACCATGGGATGCAGATATCTTTGTGAAAAGAGTGTAAGTTGACGATCGTTTGACTGAGCAGAATTTGGGTGAATGGGCAGAAGATGATAGTGTGTTTTGTGTAGGGTGGGGAGATGCTTAAGAATGTATGACTCAAACCACTTACAGACTGAGTAACCTTGAATGCAACTTGATTTGCCCTGTACTGGGTACTACGTTGTACTTGGTTGTTGGTGTGGCAACGCTATCAGTGTTATCTTTAATCGTTTCCCGCCTGGACGAGGTTGTATCAGAGTCAAGATTTTGACCAGAAGGTTGGAGATTTGAGAGTAGTTACTTTGGTAGTATCAGAGCAAAACTTTGAAACTTAAAACCGCTTCTACTGGTATGCTTTTCTGTAGGTATTTGATTGTTGATCCATTGTGGCAGCCCGTCGATTACTGCGTTACACGAAGAATGCATCAAAGGTCGAAACGATCTTATTACGACCGTTCGCATCACACGCCCAAATCTGTTATAATATTGGAGAAAATGAGTCCTGCGTTGCAGTAGTGACATCGCTACATGGAGCTTACCGGCCCGGCCAACGACTGATGCACTACGTTACCAGTCAATCATCAGATAATACATACCGTACCGGGGAAGCAAACTTACCTAGTCGCAGAGCAATGCTGCTGTGATTTAGATGGGTTGAGTAGCTCGGACATCTGTTACTCCTTCAAGGCGATCTGGATGGCCTCCCTTCTCATGGATACCATCTGTCTGGCTATCCATGAATACAGTAGTTCTTCCACAAGGAGAGCTGATTTGTTGACCATTGATCGGGTTTCGAACCAAATAAAGCTTTGTTTTCAGTACGGGATTCGCCTTGTGTTCACCTTGCAGTCTACGGAGTTCCCGGGCGCAAGCGTACGTGATCATAAGGCAAATAAATCGAGATTGCAAGAAGCGGTAATTTGAAACGATTAGAGTAAGTTTCAGGATTGTCAATCGTTTAAAAAGTATCGACCTAGCTCAAGGAGACTATGTTTACTAGCAGCAAAATAGAGGTCAACCCGATCTCGAATACTATGACCTCGAGCAGAACCTCGTGCGCATTAGCGCAAGTCGAACAAGCGGGGCCAGTGTTTTCGAGAAAAGACTTTAGGACAAGCACATTACTTTTCCACCCGCCACTTGGTTCCAAATATCTGGACGTTCTTGATGAGTTTTGTGATTAGCGAATACAATGCGGTCTTTGGAGTAACTGATTAAAATTGTAGCTGTAGAGATTGGGCTTTCATTATTATTTAATAGGTAGTGTAGGTACATTACTATTAGCCCAAGTGAAGAGGAATGGCTGGCTTTTCGACCAGCGTTACGCACGAAATCTGCAATTACCTCAAACACCGCCAAGTCGGGCAATGGGTATTCGGACATTGGAATGGTAGTCATAGGGTGGCGTCGAATAATCAATGTCAGATAATACGCCCGGAAGAACCTCTGTCAGGGCGACGGGCGGTTTTTCCGGAACCTGATCTGCCCGCACCTACAGATAACACATACAGCGCGCCCAAGTAGGGCAACGTATTGCGTTAGACCGCTTCTCGTACTAATGGAGATGCGCTTAGCTGTAAGCATGAAGGAATGTTCATTTGAACTAATCGCGGCAGAGCTGCTCTGAAACGGTAGTAAGAGGCGATGTTCGAAGGAGCAGCAAATACATCAAGTCTTGGATTCGACGGGGTAACGAGCACACAATGGTTCTAACCCAAGCATACACCCGCTTGATAGATAGTCTTGCCCCGTTGCTTACTGAAGAGAACACTGACGGTTCAATGATTAGTTCAAGTGGCATTGTAGATTTACGTAGGACTCCTGTCGCCTGCCATTGAATTTTCGCATTGTTCCAATACCCGGAAAGGCTGGCCTAATACTACACGACCATGTTCTATGCTTTCCATTGAACCAAATTCTCTTCCTCGACGCGGCCTCTTAGAATTATCAGGGATCCGTCGATATGCTCTTCGCCGCGGATTTTGTTGAGAGACTTGATTCAGCAGTTGTAGTCGTCCGACTCCACAACCACACCATCGTAGTCTTCACCGTTCACCTCTAGACATGTTCGTCAATGATACATTTATCATCATATGTTGAACTTCTCCCGTTGCTTACGGTACTGCGAATGGATTTCTCTTCCATCTGGCCTTCTTCGTCGCCATCGTAACAATAAGGGAATGAAGTAATAGAGCTTAGTGACCACAGCAAACACAACGATGACAGGTGTCAGGCAGGTGGCGAAAAGAAGAGCCAGAGATGGCCGTAGCCAACCGAGGATGAATATGTACTTTGGAGGAGTGTGAAGTTCGCCCAGTCGATTGACCATGGCGAAGTAGGGTACTCGTGAAAGGGTGCTATCAGCCCGTGATAGGTAACAATAGTTTCAAATTGCTGAATCCAGATACGAGCCACAGGAAGTATAAGGTGATGACTGATCGACTAAGGTGGATCTGTGAATACATTGAGTCGTGCGATAGGCCCGGGGCGTTGTTGTGGCACATGGGGCGTAGCTGCATGTGAACGGTGAGAGGAAGGCGCTGCCTTCGCTTTGGACTCCCATTTATCAAGCCGCACATTCCGGGCAACTACAAACCAACACGCCCAGCACCCATATCCTCAATGATGTATTCCTTGGTTACCACTGTGGCTCAAGGCTGCGTGTGACCTCGTTCAAAAAGCCAATGCGACTGGCACATTTGTTCTTATCAAAGCATATCGGTGTCCAATTTGATTGTGCGCCAGAGCGATCGATATAATTGGAGGATTCTCTTGGGAGTGTACAGAGTAGACACCTACAAATATCTACGCTTTATCACTTGGAATCAACTATTCTCCATATCGTTCATAGAGGAAATATAAATGCTAATTCAAGTTTACCACTTTGTAAATTCGAAAACACTGATGAGCCTTGCATGTGCCAGGATATGACCGATTGCCAAGGAGGGTAGAGTTATACTGTGTATGCTTCTGAAAGCAATGTGACCATATTGATGAAAGACTTATAGCGAACGCCCTACGGAGTACATCTGACACCTAGCCATCATGAACACGACAAACAAGAACTCGGTTTACACACCCATGTTGGGGCAGACTCAGTGTCAATTACCTCACCACCAAATGAAGCTGGGCGATGAGTACATCAACCGCCCAACGCCCCATGTAACCCCCGAGATACACAATCACAACCCCAGTCTTGCGGTTAGGGCAGAAAAGAAACAAAAAGAAAAACCTATGCACTGAGTGCACCCATAGGATCCGGCTCATATTGAATTCGATTAGGAACTGCATTCCCGGTTGCTATCAGGTTCACGTGCTCTCAAATACGATACACTATGTCCTTTATACAATGACTAGTTATTTGTCGGCAGCATCAGCTCAGCATGAAAGTTCAGAAGAGACCTCATAGTTGCCCGAAAATCATAATGGAACTCCCAGCATGTTACGGACGACCTCTACGCCACACGCCTTCGCCCGAGTGCGTACCGACGCCCTACTGGTCTATTGATAATTGTATCTACTAGTATGATTCCAATTGGCTGACGCAGCCATGTTGAATGTCTTGACCAAACAGGTACACATTATCTCCGTCCGATTCTTCAATCTGTTCCTATGTTCTATTTCAATCCGAACACAACGGATTACGCTATTATAGCAGGCTCTCAATGCGACCAGCCTCCTTCCGAGCTCCAGAAGTTCCTCGGTGGTGCGCGAAACCCGTACGTGTCCACCATTGTATCCCCTCTGCATTCACATTATTGCCGTGCTATCCAGTCCGGGCGAAAGTATGTACCAAAGAGGTACGCTTGTCCTCTTATTCATGCCACATTTCTTGCTTTGTTTCTTTTGACCGTTTTATCTCGTGGCCAGATTATTCTCTTCTTTAGATGTAGATGTAATGAGAGAGTACTCAGTGTTTATAAAGTCTGCATTGCCGTGCTGCCTAAGATGTATACTCTATCCCACTCATTGTAAAATCACGTTAATAAAGCAATCTCCTTCGAAGCATTTGACATATATCTCGCCATGGTTACTCGAAAGTCTGGTCTCTTGACCGCACTCATAATCCTGTTGAAACTGGTCCATGCCAATCCGGTGGAACACGATCCGACGGACCTCAAATTGGTGGAAGATCAGAGCGAAGTCGCTCACATCTGTACGTTCTTTGCCCGGAAGAATGTGCGCTATGCCATCTAATAATGTAATCAGACAGCAGAACAAACCCTGATGGTGAGAAATGGATCGGTTATGACGATGACAGTGAAGAAGAATACAATCGGAAAATCAGGTTCAAAAAAGCACCCCCTGTGAAGGACGCTGGACCGCCGCCACCACCGCCGCCGCAAAACACGAACACGAAAAGAGAGCTTGAGAAGCGTGTTCCCACAAAATTCAAAGATAAGCATCTTGGATTCATTAAAGAGATTTGTGATGAGCTTGTGAGACACTTGCGGCCACGAGACTTCGTCATTTTCGTTGGCAATAGTGGGAGGTAAGAACATTTTTGGCAAGACTTTTTTTGGTTAAATTCTCAATGTAGAATAAGCTAATTTTGTTTTAAGTTATATGAAGTACTGCTTCGACCACCCTCGAATGGGAGCACTTCCTATCAGCAAAGCCAGGAGATATGAGGGGGTCGCTGAGGCATCCCGTGAAGCTGACCCCGACAATTACGGCAAACTACCTGGAAACGACTGGGGCAAGAAAGGAGCTGTTCTAGCCGATTACTACGGTCGATACCTACGTCCAAAGTTTCTAGCAATAGACGAAGATGGTACTGTAGGAGTTCCAGGTGGTATGGAGATTAATAGATTTCTCTTGGTAGATCATTCCAGTACAGGCAAATCTGTGGATGCCACTAAGCTCATCCTTTACCACTCCTTATAGTAAGTCCCCTTCTATTGATTCCCCACGGAAAATTGGAAAAATTATGTCTGTTGCTAATTGGAAATTTCGCGTCGTAGTTACGCAGCGCTGGTTCAAGACGACCCTTATCCTGAGGTTAAAAAGCAAAATTATGCTAAGAAACCGTGGGCACTATTCAATGTCATTGATAAGAGGAAGACGAAAAGACTTACTTTGATGGGGGATAGAAGGCCTGATATGGAACAAATCACAAACCCAAAAGACGTGACCGTGGTCAAACATTTTTGGGTTGGGGGTGACAGAGACGTGGACAAAATTCTTGGTGACGAAGATCGCCATTATCGCAACCAGATTGACTACTGGCCTGCTCGTTGGAATCAGCCGGTCACACATTACTGGGCACAAGACCAGACAAAGAAAAACCAAGCTGATCAAATTCGAAAGCAAATCAAGGATTATGTCAAGAAGGTCAACAAGGGCAAGCTCATGACACCACCAGCCAGCAAGCTCGCACATAACTGAGGGAAGGGTTCTATTGAATATGCATACACGGGAGTCGGGTGAAGTCTTAGGGTTCTCTAGATTATCATAGACTAGACATGGTGTAGTTGCGTCATCTATTCGACTACATATCAATTAGATTTTCACACTTTCAAAGCATTCTTAATATTGCTCATATGTATGGCCACCGATTTCTACCAAAATAGCTTCCACGCTTCTTCAATCTTACTAATACTATGTTCTGCCAGGCAGCCAGGTGCACCATCATTTTGGTCAATGATGCTGAAAACTCGACAACTTTGCTAGGGCCAAATAGGAGACAAAAAGTTCATGTGAGATGTCCTTATTTGCATATCTCTCAAGGCGTTCTTCTGTCAAATATTCACAGTAGAACTCTTTTGAGCGATGCATCGGCCTGCACAGGATAAAAGCCCATTGGCTGGAGCTGGGAAGGCCAAAAGTAGGAAACCCAATTTCATCAGCGACTGATACCGGGGCTATCTTCTGATGCTTGGAAGACTTTTTTCCACACATGTTTGTATGCTTGGATCGGTCCAAAAGTTTGTAGAACGACTCTATGGACACTATGAAAAATGCAAACAGCCGTTCAAGAGCAACAGTATGCCGAATTTCAAGTCCTCGACCAGAATGCCTTTCTAATCAAACTTCAGGCCTTTTGACAACAAACATCATGAAAGGCGAGAAAGTCCCCGTGATACCGCCATCTTTATTTCCCCAGGCGCATTGGACGCAAGTATTGAGGGCTTCGCGTCTTGCATCGGGCCAGATTCCCGTCTTACAGAAGAGCCAATGGACGAAGTACCCAAAGGATACCATTCCTGACTTCATACGAAACGTCTTAATCCAATCTTCCCAAGCTGTCGCGTACTCGGTCTGCCCGGCCATGGGATACCTGATTTCGGTGAGATTAATTGCACCACAACTAGAAGATGATATTAGAAATTGTTCAGAGTGCTTACCACCAAGGAACTCTTGATTTCAGAGCTAGATCCTCGTGATGCAATATCTCCAAGCCCGCTTCTTTCAGTGCATCTTCGATCTCCTTTGGATTGTTCAGGTATACTACTCCTCCACCACGCTCGATGCTGTTTCTGATCTCTCGATGCTTCGGATCGCTGTCGTCATACTTCTCTGTGAGACTCCATTCGTAGGTGCCAAAAATGCCACCCGGTTTTAGCACGCGGAAGATCTCTCTATAGACAGCAGAGAGTGGGCGAGAGTAACAAGTCGCCTCCATTGCGTAAACCCGATCGAAAGATTCGTCGGCGAATGGCATTTTCTGCGAGATAACCTTAGCAGCATTCGGCGCCACATGTCAATCTTACTGACCTGAAAGTCTCCCTGAACGAATTCGCATTGCCCATCGCCTTGTCCCCATAACCCTTTCTGCTTCGCAGCATCTGTCGCCCAGGCATAATGATAAGGACTCAGTGTGATCCCAGTGACATGCGCTTTGGTGAACATGCAAATCTCCCTTGCTGGCGCACCGATTCCACAGCCAGCGTCGAGAACCTTCATGCCAGGTTTCATCTCGCATAGCATCGCCATGTAATGCTCATGACGAGCCATCGCCACGTCCCACGACTCTCCCGGCTCGAAGGTACAGTAGTGGAAGCGTTCATTCCAGCCTCCCACATAGTTATCCGTGACGAGGTCGTAGTATCTCAATTGATCCGTCAGGTGTTGATATTGGAACATGGAGCGGGAACAACATACGTATTGGCAACGTCCTTTCTATTGACACCGGTTTCGTCGCGCTCACCGGGCTTGTCCGTGCTGAGATCGTAATCGCCCCATACCTTGCGATAATCCTCACCGGCGGTTTTGGACTTGACTTCTTCTTTTTGGGGCATGTTCAAGCTCATCGATCACAGACGGGACGAAGTAACGATAGCGAAGTAGCTGTTCAAGAGTTCACATTATATATGACCCTCCATCGTTAGCTTCGAATTTCTTTAGTATTGTTTTGTGGAGGTACAAGATAGCTTAGTATTGTTGTCGGTTCGGGTGGCTGCCGCTCAAAGGCCAGCCTGTTGAAACAAAGGAAGTTGGCTTCTAGATTCGGGCATGCCGTATGGAATATCCAAAGAACGAAGATCAACATTTAACGATGAGTAAATATTGGGACGTATCATTCGCCAGGTTGATCTATGCACCAATTACTACGTAGTCAATCATTTCAATCGATTCAAAGAATCCGTCAACTGGAGACTTGAAAATAATGTAGCAAAAAAAAAACTCTAACACATGGATGAAAGAGGTTCGATTTATTCAAAGTCCCTACATCTCGGATGGCTTCCATGTGCATCATCAGGAAACCCTGCGAAGTGGGTCCAAACAGGTGGGTACGAGGAAGATTGGCGGCACGATGGAATTCGCACGAGTCGGGAGCGGCGAACTGCCGGGTGGGAAGAGTCAAGACAGGGGGTTCGTGTTGTACAAGGATCCTTCTACGAAGGCTTGCTTAGTGTGTATGTTTCCATGATTAATATGGTAATCCCCATGACTATTACTTCCCAGAATAATGGTTCCTCGCTAGAGACAAGTTGGGGACTTTCTACTTGTAGGTGTCCTGTGTGATTTCACCCGCGAACTCCAAGGTATGGTAACTGATCAGCAGCCATCCTCCGAATTTACTGCTTCGGGACAAGCAGATTTTCACTTGTTGTCTCTCAAAAAGGCATCTCTATAAGACATCGCACGAGGCCACGACGATGGACGCGTAGTGGATACTCATTTTGCGTTCTGTGTTTTTGGTCGGGTAATGGTGTGGCCGTGCAGTCTTCAAATCTCACACAAACCAGGCATTCGCGTAGGCGTACTCGTGGTGTGGGATTCCTACTTCAAGTGTAAGTGTATCTAACAATTTTCTCCTCGATGTAACGTCCGTAAGTCGAGAAGCAGAAACTTTCAGCAGTGGAGCTCTGTCAACATTTTCAGATCGATATTTCGTGGCCTCGTGGGAACAAGACTGCGTCACGTATGAGAACGCGCGGATTGTCTTAATATAGTCACAACAAGCTGCAGCTCGAACTGCAGTACGAGAAACGTAGGATTCGCTAAGAATCTTTAGGATAAATATCGTCTCGACATATGCTTCTTGGCTTGCCCCGGTCCGCGAAAAGCTTTAATGCACACGTAATGGCTCGCCTATGCTCCAACATCTTGAATCCTTTGATCCTCAGTCCATTCGGCCTGACAACAAAACGACAGGACGAAACGCGCGTTACGTCTAAGGCACCCACCATGTGATCAAGAATATCCAAAAACTATGAGCTCGATTTTCGCTCGGTGGGTCTTCGATACCGAATCATGTGTAATCCACAGAGTACCTTCGTTCATCTCACATCGCAGTACATCACAATATAGAGCTCTTGGCGAAACCGCTCAATTCAGGTAATTTGCCGGCATAGAATCCTCCGCTCATGAGGTTGTAAGGCAAACCACCTCCTTTTACCTACTTGGTATGATCAGCCCTGCTCGCACCATTACAGCATGCACGCATGAGCTTCCCGTGAACTCACACGCATGATCTGGAGCCAATGCCGTGGAATAGCATCGCACCTAGGGTCCATATGTAGTCGTTAAAGATACATATATGAACATCGCGTCCTCGATTCCATGAGTTCGATATCTTCATCTTCACATTTGAGGATCGCATTCGCTCGTCATTGCTTATCATACACACTCGTTAATTTACATCATGGGCTCTATGTCCGTTCGGTCGCTATGTACCAACCTGCTAGCTATTGCAGCAACCGCGAGTGTAGTATCATCTACTATCATACCCGGGAGATTCTTAGTTGAGTTTCAAGACAATGCTGTGAGTCTTCTCTTTAAATCATTTGTACATCCACTGAAAATCCTTCCCAGAATCATGATCACTTCTCCAGCCATTTGAAAAGAGATGGAATCCAAGCAACCCCAATCCTAAAGACAGAGAGCGAGCTCTTTAGAGCGGCGTCTTACAAATTTGAAGCAGGAGCCCTGGGCGAAGATCCACTCAGCGAGCTCGCCAAGATACCCTCAGTCAAGAACGTTTGGCCAATCGAGGAAATCCAAAAGCCGAAAGACAAGGTCATCTGGCAAGGAAACGGCAACGGCAACCTGCCAGCAGAAGTAGAAGCTCGTGTCGCAAATGCAAAGGCCGGAGGGTTCGCACCTCACGTCATGACGCAAGTCGACATGCTCCACGCGGAGAACATCACGGGAAAAGGTATTAAAGTTGGTATCATTGATGGCGGAATCGACTACCTTCATCCTGCCCTTGGGGGTGGCTTCGGTCCGGGTTATCTCGTAGCTCGTGGATACGACTTCGTTGGTGACGACTACCAATCTGGCAATGATGAAAAGCCTGATGACGACCCATACGAGACCTGCGATGGCCATGGAACTCATGTCGCTGGCATCATAGCGGCGCAAGAGAACGAGCTTGGCTTCATTGGTGCCACGCCTGGTGTCGAGCTCGGCGCGTATCGTGTTTTTAGCTGTGCGGGCGGTACGAGGACGGATATCATTGCTGCGGGTGTGAACCGAGCCTTTGAAGATGGAAACAACATCATCACCGCCTCTTTCAGCGAAGAAAGTGGTTGGTCTGAGACTTTGATGGCAGTCCTTGCTGATCGGCTATCTGAGAAGGGTGTCATCTTCACTTTTGCCAATGGCAACGACGGGACTCATGGGCCGTTCAATGTAGGACAGCCAGCAACAAGCCATGAGGGCTTGGGCGTTGGTTCTACTGAGACGGATGAAGTTCCTCGTGTCTTCGTCGACGCAACCTATTCTATCGCCAACGGGACCTCGAAGACCTTCGGATGGAGACCGGGAAAACCTTCAAACTGGGGCAATGTTACCATGCCACTAGTTATCGCCGATAAAATAGTGTGCGGGGACGAAACTGGTGTCGGCAACCTCACCGGATCAGTCGTCTTGGTTAAGAGCACACCCAACTGCGCCGATTGGGGCGTCGTTCGGACTGCGACTTTGACTGGCTCGAAGCACGTTTTAATCTATAATCCTGACGGAAAGGAGTATGAACAAACTACCAGAGCGCAAGCAGGCAATTTATGCTAACATTGTAACCTTAGTGCGAACTTTCTCGATGCCACTCCTCGACCAGATGACCCTGAGCTGCTCGGCGTAGGAACCATTCCTGTAGATGTAGCAGAACAGCTATATGCCGCTGCAGCCATTGGAAACGTCACTATCAAGATCACCGATCCGAATTACACCAAAGAGTATGTCGACGCGGTGCCCAACGATGTAGGCGGCACAATGAGCACTTTCAGCAACTGGGGGCCCACGTTCGAACTGGACATCAAGCCCGACATCTCGGCACCAGGTGGCACGATTCTGTCCGTCTATCCCGAAGAGAAGGGAAAATATGCCGTGATTTCAGGAACTTCGATGTCGACGCCTTTGGTAGCAAGCATCATCGCCTTGATCATGGAGGCACGGGGCAAGCCAAGCGTGGCAGAGATCCGAAATCTACTCAGCAGTACCGCGAAGCCAATCCAGTGGTCTAAGAATGGAGCGAAGGAGCCTGTTCTGGCTCCGATCATACAGCAGGGTGGTGGCCTTGTGCAGGCGTACAATGCCGCTCGTTCGAGTACTTTGGTCAGTGTTTCGAAGTTCAATCTCAATGACACTGCAAACTTCGATGGATCCCGCGAATTCACCATCAAAAACGTTGGCGAGAAGGACATAACGTACACAATCTCTCACGAAGGCGCAGTCGCATTCAACACCTTCAACGACGGAAGAAACCCATCTGAAGCTGCCGAACTCAACACCTTCGTCGCCAACGCAAGCGTCTCCCTATCCTCCACGGACATCACCATAAGCGCCGGCTCCGAGGCGAAGATTTCTGTGGAATTTGATCCACCCGCAGGCTTAGATGCAGAGCAGCTCCCAGTCTACTCAGGCTTCATCAAAATCTCCGGCACCAACGGCGACGCCCTTAGTATCCCGTACATGGGCGTCGCAACCGACATGCGCTCTGTACCCATCTTCGAGACAACCTACTCCGCCACCAGCAACAGCGAGTCAATCCCAATCGAGCCAGGATATGAATTCGTGATGTCCGAGAGCGAAGAGGACTGGGACAAGTTCCACTATCCCAACTGGTTTGGTCCGCTGTCCTTCGGGACAGCGTACCTTGACGTTCAGATCTGGTCCGTCGATGTTGGTAACGGCACGGCGGAGGGATCGAACGAAACGACGCCCGGGAGGAATTTGGGAAGTTTGCAGGGTTTTCCCTGGGAGTACAAGCAGCGCGGTATAGCGATCTGGGGTAGCTTTACTGGGACCACGGGGGATGGGACGAGGGTGCCTGAGGGTAACTACACGATCATTACAAGGGGATTAAAGATATTTGGAGATAGGGAGGTCGAGGATGATTGGGTGGTTGTGAAGTCCCCACCGTTTGGTCTCAAGTATGTGTAGAGTTAGCTTCGGTAGTGTGAAAGGAAACGTCACGATGTTCTCATTTGTAAATGATGATAGGCGCCACGATGGGAGGATGAAGGGAACGTTGTACATGCACATATCTAAGAATCCTATCAAGGGCTTAAGCCTCTCCGCGATACAATCGCGCCTTTCTGCATGGTTTGCTTGAAGACGTGTAGCGATAATTCGGGTTCTGTCTCCTGTTAGCGAATTCCCTTTCAAAGACAATCGTCGGCGGACTTACGATAGTACATAACCTCATGACCCGCGTTATACACCCTTAAGAAGCTCAAACTACCCTCCGTCTTATATGCACCTACATCGTTACCATTGAATTTGTAGGGCGCGAGAGGCTTCGACTTGAACGCATCTTGTTCTGGGTACAGTATGGAGTTCGCAACGTCGAAGACGCCATACCAATTACAAATCCAATCAGCATCACCAGCCCATATCAGCGTCGTTACACCTGACGAGACGACAGAGCTTAGCTGTGACATGAATGATCGAGGACCTTTCGATTGTTAGTTCTTAATCTCAAAACGACAGTTCGACACAACGTACCGTCACCTGATGAAGTGAACTTGTTATATGCCGCCGTCGGACATTCCTGGTATGAACTCTGCGCACCAATCGCCTTCACGACTGTCGGATCTTCGAGATATTTCTTATAATTAGACGGCGGCTCGGGGTTATTACTCGGCGCTCTAATGTCGTAGACATCATAATCCGCGGCGGAGTACAGCGGCCGTTCAACTATCGCGTAGCACGCCCGATCTGCATTTTGGCAGTCTGTATTACTTCCCGTTCTTGCACAAGCTTGGATGTCAGGGAGACAGTAGTCCTCGTATCTGCTCATGTAGCGGTCGTATTGTGTTTTGCTGATAATGGGCCGGTGGCTGTTGTTGTAGGAGTAGGATATGTAGGCTGGTTCTTGGATTGCGGCATCATGCCAGCCGTTGTTGATACCCAGGGCTACGATGTTGATTGGTTCCCCGACCTTTGCTGCGTTCTGGTCTTGGACGTATTTCGCGAAATCGGGGCCGTAGTGGCCACCGTAGGACTCGGTGAAGATGCCGAAGTCGCGGGATTTGTACTGTGGGAATGATGTATAGAAGGCTTGGATTAGCTTCCAGACGTAAGGCGCAGCAGTGACGGTGGAAGTCACGTTGTTTGTTCCATAAGAGAAACCAACGCCGATCGGCTGATCGATATAGATCATGTTAGCATAATTGTTGAAGCTATGGGTGTTATTGACAGGAACGGTATTCTTGACGCCGACTTCAAACTTGCAAGGACCATTCTCCTGGAAGAGACCGATCATGGAGGAACATCCCGGACCTCCATTGAACCATGCTGCGAGAGGTGCAGTTTCTGGATTTTGCCGCGCCTCGAAGAACCTGGGACAATAATTAGAATGTTACACGAGATGCAAGGGACGATTGCACGTACCAAAACCACATGTTCATGTTTTCACCCACGGACAAGTAACCGGAATATTGCTTAACGCCAGGCGTAGTTTCGCATATTCCAGAGTTATTGACGAATTCAATGCGAGCTCCCGTCTTTGCATGTTCGAAGACATTGTATAACACACCCGATCTCTCGACAACTGAGCGTTTGTCATGCCTTGCAGGGGGGACGGCGGTGGTCAATAATGGTAACACAAGCGTCAATGCCAGGTAAGTCAAAAAGGAAAACATAGTGTGGAACAGGGGAGAACAAATTCGTCGGAATGAATGCATTGTAAGGAGGTGCCTGACTCTTTATATTGTGATGGTAGCGAACACATGGCAGTGCGACATAGTCTGTGAGACGTGCAGATCGATAGTTGCGTAGGCGCCGAGCTAGATTGTGCTTCGTCCGAGCTAGAGACGTATAGTTCGCAGTTCATGTTGCGCGGATCCGTATATTGAGGTCATTCATTTGGGAAATAGCTACTGGTGAAACCAAGTATACAATTACTGTACGGAGTAGCGAGGAAGGTGTACGTAGAATAAAGACTTGTACCACGCGCTAAAAACAAAGGACAAGACTGTCAATAAACATCTAACTATGCTTCAAATCACTAAGTGCGTGATGTCAACGATGTCAGTGAGAAGAAGAACGACAAACCTTGTGCATCAAAAACAATAAATGAGGAATGATTTAAGCAACAGGGTGTGTTAGCTCCACATTAGCAGGATAAGTGGAGCGTGACCGTGAACAGGCTCTAGGACGATCGGTTGCACAGAACGCAACATATCACATCCGATGTGAAGGAGCCTGCACGCAAGTATGCGCGTCTCATTGGCCTTGTGGTAACCAGATAGAGTGCCCGGGTTGCTGGATGTCCTTTAGCCCTTGCAACATTCCAATCCCTGCCATGCGCTGGCTGGCTTCTCGCGACGTGACACCTGAAGCCTCCAAATCCGATAAGATCAGTCTGAATCGATGAGTATCGGCATCGAATACCCAGTCCGCCAATAAATGTCTTATCTCTCCTTGGATACAGACGTCGCCTCTGCGACATCTGCAACCTTTGAAACGGTTGTTTGGAGCGCATTCAGCCGTTCATATTGGAGAAGTACCCTGCATGATCAGAAGGCCAGGGTTAGATTCTGGAAGAGACGTTGCACTCTAATCAGTACCCCATGTCTCTCCGCCTAGGATCGGCATTTGAGACGCTGGGGTTTCTGGGGTATATCTGGATTGGATTCGTGATCTCGTGTAAATATTTACTGCTGATAATGAAATCGGTGGCGTCGCTGGTGACATGCCTGAGGTCAAGTGGGATAGTATACAAACACAAAAGCAATGATGCTTTGCTTCAGCGAGGAGGCGTGTATACGGTTGCAGGAAGTTGTAACGTCTGCTCCAGCTCCCTATAAGCATCATTGAGGGTCTCTATCGAGCTCTTTTGGGAGGGCTGTAGCTGCTTCTTGGGTTGGATGATAGTCGGCGTATTGAGTGTCGGGGAGCGCGAATAGGAGGGAGGGTCATCCTTGGGCGGGACTGGTGGAGGTACGTCCAAACCCACCAGCTCTACTTCCTCGTCAGAAGGAGGCTCTCTGCTACTGCGCAATGACACAGAGAAGATAGAACTTTTCGCGCTTTTTAAGGATGAAGCGAAGGTTGAGGCTTTCCCACTTATAGACGAAGGCCAAGAACTTTGCGACCTGAACGAAAGCGGAGATGAGACAGACACTTCTTTTGCGTGTACTATACGTGGGCCTTTGGTTGTAGAACTTCGACCTGTGCTATCGCTTTTCCAAGTATGATTGTGCTGATTCAAGACTTCTCGAGTCCGGGTGCGCTGCGCTTTTGATACGAGGGGCTTCAAGGTGGGCAGTGAAGCGCAGAGTATGCCGATGTTGACTTCGATCAACGACCACATGTTTATGGGCAATGAATCGTAAAATGGGTCACTAGAGAGGGTAAACTGGCGCAGGTATTGCAGCCTTATGATGGATGCGACCATGCTGAAGAAACCCAAGCCAAAAACAAAGTACAGCGCAAGTTTTTCGCGGGGAGGGCGGGGGATCGCGAGCACGAACTTGATGGGCAGGACGAGGATCCATAGATCCATGACAATGTGAAATGCAGAGGTAACTGTATTGAGATTATCAGCGTCGATCAATGGTGTAGAAAGAATCAACCCTACCGTGATAGAATGCATTAGCATTGATACAGGTGCCCTTGACTTGGCCTGTGAAATCCCAAAGCTTTTCGAGGGGTGTACACTGCGCGGGCACCACGATGGTGACGATCAACTGCCACGTTGCTAGCAGAATTATCGTGCCTTTGCAAAGTCTTTCAAAGATTTTGATGACAGCTAAGTATATCATAAGCAACAGATCCATGATCGGAATGTTCAACATACCTAAACGCAGATAGATGATCAAAATTGATATCTTTACGAGTGTGACCACCATCTTATAAGTAACAACCATAGCAAGGATCATCTGGATCGTATTAGAGACGTAAAAACTCAAGGAACTATCCTCATACTTGAATATTCCTTTCCATCATCAAGGGTGTCAAGGACATCCCACTGAATCCCATCAGATACTTTCGTGCGCCTACGAGAAATTCTAGAGTAAGGGCAAATGTCAAGGCCTATCGAGTAAGCGAACATTACGAAAAATGTATCCAATGTGAACCTACTGCGGCAATGATCATAACTATATCCTCTGTTCCCATATTGCGAACAATGTATGCACGTGTGAAGACTCGCAATGCAACACATACCACTGGTGAAATGTTAGAGAGACCACATCAAGCAATGAAGCAAGGGAAAGGGGGCACTCACTTCCAGTAAGTGTCATCGCGATCGAGACTCCTATTGCCACGTCCTGCCTCAGCTGTTCGGCACCAGGCGCGAACTTGGACGTGTCCAAACTGATCATCTCGTCCGCCATGATGACTCCGCAAAGTCGACGAGGACTGAAAGGTACGAGAGAAACAAAAAATGGGTGCGAGCTTTCAGATTCTCAGATTGGCGTTCCCATGGCAAACAAGAAGGCATGGGCATGCTCTTGTACATGACCGCAAATGCGGTCCGATCTATGGTTCAGCGACGCCATCACATCCGTGCCCCTATCGATAGAATGTGTCGATGATGAATAGCTGAAACGATATTTGAAGGCACCAAAGTTCAATAAGTCAGGCACGAAACATAGCACGCCAAGTTAAGACACATTGAGAGGCCAGTTCGAGTCAAGCTCGCTAGGGCCTCATACACGGTCGTGGAGAATAACTCCGAATCTGGAGAGATAGGCGAGAGCATGCACGAGACGGCAACGTGCAGGTCGTGTTAGCTCAGACATCAAACGTTTTTCTGGAATCCTGTAACCAGGACACAGGATTAACTTTGCATGGACATGAGTCGTAAAGCTCATGAATAAATCAATGGGAGGAGAGTGGCGATAATCTGCGTCTGATGTGAGGGAATGCAGAAAACCGTTCAACAAAGGCATTGGAAAGTTCGCCATTGAGCAGTAAAATCAGGCGCCGTACGACGTACGCTGTGCTACAGAAGGAGGCTATCAGTGCGACGGAACATTTTTTGACAGCGGTTGTCAACCAAAGGAAGTGGGGTGAACGATAGAAGGAGGTCGTCATAATTAGTATTCTGGTTGCGATTTGATGCTCAATCTGTATGAGGATGGTTTCAGACGCAGGTACAATCCTTGGCGTGACAACCCGCTTTTGGGTGCATATTGAGAAACACAACGAGATTGTGATAATGAGAAAGAAGGTTTGACAAAAGTGGTGACAATTAAATATGCATCACACAGCCTCCGAAACCCCAAGGACTCAACTTTCAAATCGGACCGCGCCAGGTCGAGTCTAGTGGAAGTACTTTCTCGGAAGCGAAGGCTCGTCGCCAGAGTCATCATTCAACTGTATATAATTCACGAACGGAGCTGTCATGGAGGTAACCTTAATCGCATTTGATGAAAGAATGAGTCAATCGCTATCCAACAAAACCACTATTGAACGTCGACGTGCACTGCGTAGTGAACAGCTGTCATTGGGAGCATGGCCGAGGCATCCTGATGACAGGCAGAGGCGGTGCAGTCTTCGAGTTAGTTGGAAAAGGTGAGCAACATAGACTTATGCATCCTGCGATGGTATTATTGTATCGCGATACACTCGGCGTAGACGACATGAGTATTGTTACATGATTCTTAGATAAGTAGTGACTGGAATAGTGAGAAGATGGATAGAGAGGGAGACACGGGATGGATAGAAGTGAAGTATGAGGTCAGGTGGACGGTTGGATGTGGTCAAAGCTCCCGATCGTCTTGGCATCATCGATAGCTCGATTGACATCAACATCCATCCATCCAATACTCATACAACTACCTACACAACAACGACATCCTCACGCCTTCTACACTTCCAGCCAACTGCGCTTCACCTTCCCTCAGTTCTGCCCTCTTCTCTCTCGGTGAAAGGCTCGATCGCTCCTACCAAGCCATTGCACAGGCTATCTATACCATTCCTCCAATCGGTGAACTACCTGTCGCCTTGTTGTCCGTCTCCGAATCCCTGCAGCCTGCAGTGACAGCGATCTTATACACATACATCCAGAATGGCATCCAGGAAAAAGGTTCTTCTCAAGGTACGAGCCACGATCCTGTACCGTTGTCATGCAGCTAACCATTAATTGAAGGTTATCATCCTCGGCGACAGCGGGGTTGGCAAGACGAGTTTGATGAACCAATATGTACGCACGCCGTCGACGTTTACAGATCACAACCTTCACAATCCCATATCTAACTTATGACACCCCCACAGGTCAATAAGAAGTTCAGCGCAAGCTATAAGGCAACTATCGGTGCCGATTTCCTCACCAAAGAGGTGCTCGTAGACGATCGATTAGTGACGATGCAGGTGCGATATGCTACTTGCTGCATGGCTGCTGAGCCGGACTGACAAACGATAGCTTTGGGACACTGCCGGCCAGGAGCGTTTCCAGTCATTAGGCGTTGCATTCTATCGCGGCGCGGACTGCTGCGTTCTCGTATACGATGTTAACAACTCCAAGAGCTTCGACACTTTGGACAGCTGGAGAGACGAATTCCTGGTGCAAGCCAGTCCGATGGACCCAGAAAGCTTCCCTTTCGTAAGTCTATGGCGACCCAAGGATAAGAGTATCAAGACTGATTTGAAAAAGGTCGTTATCGGAAACAAGATCGACGTCGAAGAGAGCAAACGAATGGTCAGTCATGAAGTATTGTAGAAGACTGAGCTTTATTAACGTCAAGTCACCAGATCTCGTCCAAGCGCGCTATGACTTTCTGTCAGTCCAAAGGCGGCATTCCTTACTTTGAGACGAGTGCAAAAGAAGCAATCAATGTTGAGCAAGCGTTCGAGGGTACGCAATATCACATCCGCCAGATCCTAGTGCCAAGCTAATTGTGTGTAGTAATCGCGAGGCAAGCGTTGGCGCAAGAGGAGGTGGGAGACTTCAACTCCGACTTTCCCGAGACGATCCCTATAGATCTCAAGGGTGAACAGTCTGGTTGCGGGTGCTAGTTGGGTTGTTGGTGCCGGCGAAGCGCAGATAGCTCACTAGTTCTCCTGTCTGATTGTCTTCGTCTAGTCCCTGCTGTGTTTGTCTCTTTTCATGTATGGAGTTGGGTGTTTTGGTGCCATGCATGCCTCTTTTTACCAATGGCAGCACGCTCTTGATATGTTGTTCAAGTTTCCGTCACAGAGCATTTAGGGTCTTGAATAGTCAGGCTACATACTTCTCCACATTCAATAAATCCGAATACCACATACGAATGACCTGTGTATTGAACGCATCCACTTAAATGTTGCTTGATATGTGAACAACTGCTTCGCAAATGACCCTCGCACGGGCCTTGAATTTTCCGGATGACGCGAGTTGGGCGCTATCAATTCCGAAACACAACGACTCCCATGAACCACGACGACTACCACTAGACACCACTATTAATACTACCACACTACCACTACCGAGTTCCGCCTTTAAAACGCCGAGCAGCGATCGCGAGGACAGCAGATACAAAACATATCCGGCTGCCCTACGCCTCTTCCTCTTCCTACTCCACCTCCGCTTCCACCTCCACGACTTGTCCCTACTCCTCCACCGAACGGTCCGGAGTGTCCTCTTCGCTCCAGTCTGTCCTGTCGCCCTTCTCATGGGCTATATCTACCGCCCACCACCCCACAGTATATGCGCTTCCGCAAAACGGCCTCCCTAAGGCATGTTCCATGATGACAGCGACCCCAACAGACCCGGACACCCGTTTGCTACACACCGATAGCGGCGGTGCATACAGTCCATCTCCTCAACGACTATACGTGTCGAATAGCCCGATAATGAGTCCCTCGACCGTGGTTAGCGTATGGGACGAGGAGACGAAGCCAACGTGGTATAAAGGCGTCAGGCACACGATCGGCATCTTATTACTTCTAGCGACTGTCTTTTTATGGACTGCATCGAATTTCCTTGCATCGGTAAGAACTCCCCGAGTTCTTTGTTTCGTGGCGCAAGCCGACTTGAATGGACAAACATGCTAAGAACATATCTGAAAGACAATCTTCGCCGACGATTCCTACTCCAAACCCTACTTCGTCACCTATACCAACACCGCATTTTTTCTTTTACCATTGATACCCATATTTTTACGGCATGTGTGGGACGACCGATCAACTATCGCATCAAATTTCTCGCAGAAGACCCCATTCCTCTCCCAAATACAAGACCTTCTCGAGCGCCCTGTGGGCCGATATAAGTTACTGCGCGATCATGAAACACCATCAACATCGGCTGCATCGTCAATAGCCTCCAAGTCTCGACAGCACGGAGACGACCAATCTGCCGCCACGGAGCTGCTCCTCGGTGACGAACTCAGAAATTCGCAGGAATTAGAGGGAGATGCGGAAGACGAATGCCTAACCCTCAAAGATACGATTCGTGTTAGTCTTGAATTCTGTTTTCTCTGGTTCCTGGCCAACTACTTTGCTTCTGCTTGTCTATCGTACACGACCGTTGCTTCGTCGACCATTCTCACATCCACCTCTTCGATATGGACCCTGCTCATTGGTGCATTGCTCAAGGTTGAGCGCTTCACATTGCGGAAATTCCTAGGCGTCACAGCCTCACTAGCCGGAATCATTCTGATCTCCTCAGTCGACATTGCAGGCGACACAGACGAGAACCGCGGTTCATTCCCACACAAAACATCACGAGAGCTCGCAATCGGCGACGCCATGGCATTTTTCTCCGCCGTGCTCTATGGCTTCTACGCCGTCTTCATGAAGAAACGCATCGCCGATGAATCCAAAGTAAACATGCCCCTATTCTTCGGCCTAGTCGGCATATTCAACATTGTCCTCCTTTGGCCCGGCCTCATCATCCTCCACTTCACCGGCATCGAACCCTTCGAACTTCCACCCACGAAACGCATCCTCACAATCGTCCTCGTAAACTCCGCCTCCAGCCTCGTCAGCGACTTCTGTTGGGCCTACGCCATGCTGCTCACGAGCCCTCTCGTCGTAACCGTGGGCCTCAGTCTCACCATCCCGCTAAGCTTGATCGGCCAGATGGTCCTCGACGCACAGTATTCCAGCGCCCTGTACTGGGTCGGCGCCGCCGTCATGCTGCTCTCGTTCATATTCATCAATCACGAGGAGAAGAAGGACGAAGATGAAGGCACGCAGGACGCAGCACCCGTCTTCAGCGTCAGAAATTCGATGTCGAGTCGCAGGGACTCCATGCCGAGTCGACGGAATTCGGTTCGGAGTAACAGGAGGGCGAGTGCGGTTGGTGTGTAGAGCTGTGCTGTACAGATGATATACCCCCGATTATTTTTATGTTAAATTGTATATTTCATGGTTTGCGTGATGGGATAATGCCACGATGGATGGTATCGGATCTAGGGATATGTGAAATATGATCTATTCAGTTTTCTACCGCATCTATTCCATGGACGTCGTTATTGTGTAGTTCAATGAACTCATCAAGTGACGGTCGCATGTTTTACATGGAGTGAGTGAGGTAAGCATCCCTATAGGAGGAAACGTCAAACGAATCGACAGTCATATTCGAATGGGTATAAACTTCGCATTCAGATCTCCCCTACCTCTCAGTTCCTAGCACCTCGTAACTGCCCTACCGTCTATTCCCATTCCACCTCCTCTTCCCCCAATTCCCACCCCCACCACCACCACCACCACCTCCGCCCCTCTTCCCCCTCCAACTTCCCTCCCTATCCCCCTCCCTTCTCTCACTCTTCCTCTCCTCCATATTCTTCTTCCACGTCTCCTCGTCCTCGACCTCCTCTGCCTTCCACCCCTCCTTCTCCATGAACTCCTCGAGGTACTGCTTAACCTTGGGCTCCCAGACCTCCGGCGTCTCGAGCTCGGAGTACTCGAGGACGTTGCCAGCGGCGAGGCTGTAGTCGCCTTGGCGGGTGCGGATCAGGGAAGTCATGTGGGCGAGGGAGGAGCAGGCGAGGCCGAGGTCGTGGCACAGGGAGCGGACGTAGAAGCCGGAGGTTACGGTCATGCGGAGGCGTGCTGCTGGCGGTTGGGGTTGCGGTGATGAGGGTTGTTCTTGTGTAGGTTCAGTGACGGGTTCAGTGGTGGGTTCAGTGGTGGGTTCAGTGGTGGGTTCAGTGGTAGTTCCGGTGGTAGATTCGGTGATGGGTTCCGCGGCGGTTGAGGGAAGCTGTTCTGGTTCTTGGGCTGTTTCAATGGGATTTGTGGGTGCGGTTTCGACATTTTCGGGCGCGGGGGTTGGGAGAGAGGGTTCTGGGTTGGATTCTTCGACAGGTAGACCGCCTGACATTGCTGGTTCGTCTTCTGTCTTGGGTTTCTTGGGGTGCGAGTCGGAGTCTGTTATCAGTTCGTCATCGGCTGATGCCCGGTCTCGTTTTGTCCCTCGTCGCTCGTGGGTGTTGGTTTTGTTCCTGTCTTGACTCCTCACGCCCAGAAGTTTCTCTGCACCAGCTTTCTCTTCCCCTTCGATTTCTTCCTTGGGCCAGATATATTCGTGCGTACCGGGTTCCAACCATTCCACCAATTCCAATTCGGTCACTTCGACTGGCCTGGCTTGCACTTCGGGAATCTCCTTGCCCTCTCTTGCGTATTCGTACATCTTCTTTCCGTCGACTTTGAGTGCCGAGAATACACTTGGCTTTTGCATGATCTTTCCTCGAAACTGTGCCAGCTTCTCCTCCACCAGCTCCTTCGTCACATGCTCGTACGGCGCCTTGCTGACCACTTTTCCCACAGCATCGTAGCTGTCCGTTGCCGCGCCAAATAGCACCACAGTCTCATAGCTCTTCGTGCATTCTAGGAATCTTGATAGGCATTTTGTTCCCTTTCCAACACCCACGATTAACACGCCGGTAGCGAGGGGATCGAGTGTCCCGCCGTGGCCAAGCTTGACTTTCAGTTTATCTATCTTGTTTTTGCGAGACCCGGACAGTGTCATGTGCTGGCGTTCATGGTCGAGCCAGGGAGTGAATACGGAGGAGGGCTGGAAGTGGGTTTGTAAGTCGCGGAGCACACCGGCGGAGGAGGCCCATTGCGGTTTGTTGATTGCTTTTGTAATAGCGGATTAGCATGGCTTCAGGACCGTACAGAGGCGAATGAATCATCCCAGGTGTGCCTGGAACGTGCCATATATTTTGCAGTAACCCAGTAGCTTCATAGAGCTATAAAGTGGTTTTTTGGGAGCTCTTTGAATGCAACAATGTAGCTAGTGAATTATGACAGCAAGTATCGAACTTACCAAAGACACCTTCCAGTACCTTTCGAGTCTCTTTCGGTGGAGAAGCCATTGCAATGCGCGCAAGTCTATCGACAATTGGCATTGGTTGGGTGTTTTGCAGATGAACCGTCGCATCAGAGCGTTGAAGCATTTCCGATGCCAAGAGTTCGACGCGCTAAAACTTTCCGCATCTCCAGGCCGCGACTGTTTGTGCCACCCATCTCTCTCCCCACCAAAACTTTTGTGACACTTCACATCAACCCGCGCAGTCGTGGCAGTTTCGAGGCCCTCGGTCGGCTCATCATAATCATTCGGGAATTTGTCCAGCGCGACCGCAACCCTCTGGCGCAAATATGAGCGACTCCAATAAAGACCTCGAGGATGTTGCGAAGACGACAAATGAGGACTTCTATGAGCTCCTCGGTGTGGGCTTCGATTGCGTGGAGTCAGAGATCAAGCGCGCATACCGAAAAACTTCGATCAAATACCATCCCGACAAGAATAAAGATGATCAAAACGCTGCGGACCGGTTCATCCTCATCGGCATAGCACGCGACATCTTGCTCGATGCGAAGTTGAAAGGCGAATATGACAGGGCACGGATGCGGAGGAAGGAGAAGGCGCTGCAAGACGAGCTGCTAGATGGAAAGAGGCGGAAAATGAAGGAGGATCTGGAGAGGAGAGAGCGCGCGGGCGTGAGCATGAAAAGGAAGCGCGCAGAAGATCTCAGTGAGGCCGAAAGACGAGAACTGGAGATTCAAAGGCTTGCAGAGGACGGGAAGAGGAGGCGAAAGGAACAACAGGAGAAGATGGAGCGGCAGCGGCAGGAAGAAGAGGCATCGTTCATGGAACCAAGTCCAGAAGTTGAGACAAAACCCGCGCCTACTGCACCCGGACAGACAGCAGAGATTGACAGAACCGTCAAAGTTCGCTTTGTGCGAGATGGCGATGCTGCGACCTGGGACAAGGAACATTTCTCACAAGTGTTTTCCAAGTACGGGAAAATCGATAGCGTGGTTATGGGCAAAGAGAAAAAACTCAAGTTGCCTGGGGAGAAACACAGAAAGGTGGTTGTCATGGTATTCATCGTGTATACGCGCCTGGATCATGCCCACGCAGCAGTCATGGACGCAAAAGCCGACATTCCATCACTGGAGTCCGTTGGTTGGGCTGGAAAAGAGCCTGACATCAAATCTCCAAATTTGCCGGCAGAACCTACTCCTTCTGCACCATCCACTCCTGTGGCTACACCTAACAAAACATTTCGCGCTTCTTTCAATCCCAACCTGGGGAAAGGGTTCGGAAGTGCCCCGGGAACCCCTTCATTCTCATTTTCTCCGAAGACTCCAAGCCTAGAAGAAGTCACGATGATGCGCTTAAAACAAGCGGAAAAGCGGAGACTGGAGGAACAGATTCGCCAACAGGAAGCTGCTGAGGAGGCTGCAGCTTGATCCTCCATTGCTGAGTTGGCGTTATGAACTTATGACTCAAGTTCCTTTAGGAATAAACTGATACCCCTTGTCGTTAATCTAAACCATTTATAATCCTGTACATTACATTTGACTTCTTTCTGCGAATCTTTTTACTTAGTGTTGCTCAATACTGAGCAATACAGCTCCATACATGTTTTCAACTTTAAGATCATTACAAAGGAAACTAGATCTTCTCTCGAGATATAAATATGGTCACCACTTTGTCAAGCAGGATAGCATAAAACTACATGAAAAGTGTGGGACCAACCAGTGCGCAAGCCAAGATTACAGATTAATACTGGAGAACTGCCATACCATATCGGGACTCGAGAGTGACAGAGTGCATCGACATGATTGCTCACAAACTTGATGTACAAGGTGGGTTAATATGAAACTTATGCAAACTATGTACTTCCCCTGAGGAAGAACAGAGTTGTCTCTGTCTAGTGATTCAGCTTCGTGTCGAGCAGAGCTATCCAAATGTTCAACGATTCCATATATCTTCAAAATCTTATTCAATCAATTGATTAGAAGTCTTCTCAGCACTACGGCCGATGTGGTTGCTATTTGACAGGGACCCTATTCCTTGACAGGCTAAAGTATAAGCACAACCCTTCGTACATGACACTACTACCTTCCTTAGGTTTGTACCGATGATACTTGTACGTGCAATGAAGTCACCGGAAAGCAAACACCGTCAATGATGTCCTGCTTGGTTCTGCGCATATCGATCGCGCGCGTCGAAGGAAGTGGCATGTACATACGGACTACAGCCTCATCTGCCCAGTTCGACATTTCGTGCTAAGCGATATTTATCTTGATCATCTTACAATCCTTGTCCAAGGCAACCACTAAGATTCCATAGTTACCGAACTCACATACAAGGTATGATTGAAGCCTCCAAATCGTCATTATGCAGGATTTCTTATTTTACGCTGCCACAGAAGGCCCTATTGCCTCCAATCAACAAGCGGAAACCCTTGCCCTCCTCTTACCAATTCTCAACCCTCAGCCTCAAAGGAATCGCATGTTACCAAGCTTTCTTGACAACCTTCTGGTACCTTACTCTATTCGCGTCCTTAGTTTCGGAGGCCCGCATGCGGGATGGGTTGAGTTGGGGGCCGTTACAGAGCGGCTGACAGGGTGACCACATCCCCGGTCTGTGAACCCAACGCATGGAAAAGCAAAGAGAATCCAGCTGACGATGTCCGGACTGGATTTCATTTCGATTTCTCTCCTCTTCTAATCTGCATTTCTTTTTCCTTATTGCGATGCGTATGTCTTAAATCTATCTCGTCAACATGCCGTTAGGACTTCTGCCGCAGGCCTTCTTCTTGAGCATACCTGCTATTTGGTCTGTTGCCTTTGTCAACACTGCTCAAGCTACATGTTTTGCACCCTCCGGCACTGAAGCAAGCTTGGACTTCCAGCCTTGCCCCGAACTCGACTCTATATGTTGTGCGCTCAACCGAACGAACGCACCTGGCAAAGATGTCAAAGATGGGTTTACGAGAGACATCTGCCTATCTAGTGGGCTGTGTCTGAGTACAATGGTGGAGAATGGTGTCAACAAGACGTCCTATTGGCGACCGTTCTGTACCGAAAAGGATTGGAACAACAATGAATGTCTAAACGTTTGCACGACGGGAGTGAGTAACACCTACCTATACACAGACCCGGGAACTAACATCGGTTAGGCATTTGTGGCAGAGCATGGAAACACCATGATGACCCCATGTGATCGAAATGCTGGGGCAAACTCAACAACATGGTGCTGCGGCGACTCAAGGTCATGTTGCGACTCCAATCCCATAACGATAACACCAAACTTCGGCGAACCCCTACCAACTAGTTCTTCATCGTCCTCCATACCATCTAGCACCTCGCAAGCCACCTCGACCCCTTCCTCGACCCCTACCTCGTCAGGCTCGCCAGAGAGCAGTAGCAGTAGTGGCCTCTCCACTGGAACAAAAGCGGGCATAGGTGTTGGCGTTGCGGTTGGAGGGCTTGTCTTCCTCGCGCTCGGCTTCTTCATAGCAAAATCGATGTATTGGAAGAAAAGAGCAAAGGATAATGGAGTACCAGGAGGTGAACAGTACGACAGGGTCGCGAGCGTGCCAGAAGATCCTACCAAATTTTCAGGATATCCACAGCCGGGTTGGCCAAATACGGTCGCAGCATACCATGGAAGCGAATTGGGGCAAGAGAGCGCACGGTACGAAATGCCAGGCATGCCAGTACAGAAAGATGCCCAGGAACTGCCAGCGATGGAGGAAAACGCATTACGAAAGTGAATTATCGCTAGAGAACTGTCTTTTAAACCTATGAAATAGCTCATACCTGTCCAAAATCCCAGAAACATGGGGAATTGTGTAAACATGCCAAATCTTCACTGTCTGAAGTTAGACTAGACTTGCGAAAAACGAACCCCTAACAATCCAAGAATACTATCAAAGTATCCAACGTACGCCTGCCAATACTCCATACCGGACCTAAAACTCCATACTCAAAAGTTGTTCGTTTGGTTCTCAATCCGAATGTCGCCATGTTGGGTCAAGTTGACAACTTTACCGTGAACAGTGATGCCATAATTCCCAGAATTCTGTTTTGAAGTTATCATTTGGTGTTCGCGATCTCGGGGCTTACTATCCTACCTCTTTCTGCTCGGCATTTCGTGTTGCTTCTATCACTTGCTTGATCTTTGCTCTGATAGACTTGTAGCCATTATCTTCTTCATCGTCGTACTTGCAGATGTTGATATGATTCTCCCTTATCGGCAGTATCTCGCCAACTCCTGGGTAAGATGCATCTTCCTCTTTAACAATCCACTTCGACCATCGTCAGTTTGCGGTACGTAATTACGAGGGATTCAGGACTTACCACTTTGCCGGTTGCCTTCTGCTCGAAAAAGAAGACGACTGCTAACTTATCAGCTGTCTGATTTCGCTGGCGAACGATTTCCGGGAATCCAAATCGAAGATCCTTCAGCTCTTTGGAGTCCAGCGTAAGATTCCTCAACGTAGTCTGGTCGGTCCTCTGAACCAGATTGAAGATCCGTCGGGCAACATCTGCCCAACCGGCAATCTTGGATCCATAGAATGGTGTCCCAAGAAAGACCATGCCAATGATTTTCTGAGAAATCGATTTGATGCTGTCTCCATCCGTGGCCTGATTCCCGCCATAGATGACTTGGGCTAGAACCAGTCCCCCCATACTGTGACCTACAACAACGATTGGGCGATCCTTCTACCAAAACCGTGCTTAGTTGTTCATCTATTCGTGGAAAGGTTGGACGAACTTACAGTATGTGTCTCCTTTCTTCTATCATCAAGAAGGCTACATAGTTGCCTTGCGTCGTCAGCAAGGCTCCCCTGCGTCACCTCCGCAGAGTCACTATGTATAATCCCGGAATCATAGCCAAAACTTAGAATTCGACTTTTTGGAATATCTTTTGCTAGAAGTTCTTTGGGCCAAATTACTTCGTTTTTGGTCCAGGTGGAGACTCTTCCCCCTCGGAGGCCATGTACGAACAAAATACTATGGCAGTCAGTTTGGATTTTATCCTACATCATTAGGCTTTTGCATACTCAACTTCAGCTTTTTCATCTTCATGCCACTGGATCAACCCATATTGTGACATTTCATATCAATTTGATTCAACGAACTGGTGAAGGCTTTGAGTGGGTATTGGTCTCCTGAAGCTACAGTAATAACGTATTGATGCCTATTCAGCTGAAAAGGTCCTCGCGGCAGCAGGGTTTAGCGATGTATGCAAGCCATCAATGGGTACATGATTTGGCTCACGTGTACTCCCCGCATCTCAGCTATATACAGATATCTCAATATGGCACTAATCTTCTCCTTGTAAGTATATTCCAACGGACGAGTTGTCCACCATGAATCCAGTCACCATCAATCACGCTGGGGGAGATATCAATATTGGTAGGCTCAGACCGTTCTGTGAAGATCCACTTCCTAACACATCTTCAGGAACGCAAAACAATGACCTCAACGGCAACTCGTCGCCGGCCTTATCGTTCTTCAAAACGTCAGAATACGAGTCATACAAGAATATAAACCCCAAACGCGAGCCTCAAACATGCAGATGGTTTCTGGAACACCCAACATTTCAAGCCTGGAAGGCAAGAGATAAAGGCGGGCTGCTCTGGCTCACAGCCGACCCAGGTTGCGGCAAATCGGTGCTGTCGCGAGCACTGATCGATGAAAGATTAGTCGGCGTAGGCACTAGTAAGATTTGCTTTTTCTTCTTCAAGGACAACAACGACCAAAGTAGCATTGCTACAACTTTGTGTGCTCTCCTTCACCAGCTTCTTCGCGCGAGGAAGAGCGAGGGTCTCTTCTCAAAGTACTGTGTACCAGCCATTGGAGAATGCGCCGACGACCTAAAAACGGATTTCGAAGAACTATGGAAAGTGTTCAAAAAGATCGCATTGGATCCGTCCGTTGGTGACATCATTATCGTGCTCGATGCCCTCGACGAGTGTCCGACGACGAGTAGGAACATCCTGATTGACAGGATAGGGGAACTGTATGACGACGCCCAAGAGGAGTGTAGGCTGAAGTTCCTAGTGACAAGCCGCCCGTACCATGAGATCAAGGTCAAGTTCAATCCACTGTTACGCAAACTCTTCACTATTCGGCTTGATGGAGACGCCGAGTCTGACAGTATCTGTCAGGAGATCGATACTGTCATTCGAACCAAAGTGGCAAATATCGCACAAAACCTCGATTTAGGAAACGACCTAGCGATGACCCTACTCAGAAAACTTCGAGAAACCCAAAACAGGACTTATCTATGGGTCCATTTAATTCTCGAGGGCTTCGAAGAATCCTTTGCGTTCACGCACCAAAAGATAGAAAAGTTCATAAGCACCCTTCCTGGCTCAGTTGAGGCGGCCTACGAAAGGATATTGGATCGATGCCGTAATCGTGCGGATGCAAGAAAAATCCTCCATATCGTTATAGCCGCACAAAGACCACTTACATTGGAGGAATTTGACATTGCTCTTGAAATTAACACTGATTTGGAGGCACCTACGACAGATATTCGGCATCTCAATTGTCTCGGCAATGATCACAGGCTCGCAATGATTCGTAACACATGTGGACTTTTCGTCACCGTTACATACAACCGAGTTAGCCTAATCCATCAGACGGCATACGAATTTCTCATTCAGAAAGAGGCTAGCCCAAGTACGCCGATGACATGGCAATACTCTGTATACCCGCAGGACGCGCACCAAGTTCTTGCAGAGATATGCATTATCTACCACATCGCCTATATACGTTCCAAGCAGCACTGTCTTATTTCTGGCTCCTGTGAATATTTTCAATTCATCGAATATACTAGAATCAATTGGCTGAAGCATGTGTGCCTGGCCAAAATGCAGAGCCTGGGCTGGATATTAAGAATTACAGAGCTGCTCAATTTGGGCTTCAACCAAAAAGTTCTTAGTACGATCACGTTTCGAGAAGCTGGTTTACTCCGAGCCCCATGGGAAATTTCCTGGGATAAGAAACGCTGCCCTTTGTATTGGACATGTGCTTTGGGCTTGATGGACGCAATGAAAACCTTACTGGATTGTCGATCAGCGAACCTTTGGGAGATGAGCAATGCTAGTGACATACTTCAGCTAGCTGTTACAGACAGGAATCAGGGTTTGGAGTCAACAAACCTACTATTGAATTCGACTGATCCAAAAATACCGCTCACGCAGGACGTTTTAGATGCGGTCATAACTAATTTTGAACTGGGAGCGGCAATATTGCAAGTAATTCTTGAAAGCCGACCAAATGAAGTTATCACCGACGCCGAACTGTTAAAAAAGCTCCTCTCAAAGTTTCGATTTGGAAAGGCAATGCCAGAGCTTCTCTCTAGCTTCCTACACCCCTGTTCCGGAAGATGGTATACTGAAAGATATTGCCTGTCAACGGGTTTGTTACAGCAGATCCCGATCACAGACCGTGTAGTCACAAAAGCGATGCACTTGTCTTGTTCAAAGGTACCAGGTCCAAGCCAAAACAGATACTTAGATAACATTATCATAGAAAACCTCAAACGATTCTTCCTGCGAAGCAAAATCCTTTGTGGATGCTCTTTTACAGCAACGAGGAAAGGATGTCACAATCAGTAGTGAAACTATCATCGCTTCCTTGCAGTTTTCATGCGTTCATGTATTTACTTCTCTTGTTTCATGGCGACCCCAAGATTTCGGGCTGGTAAACATGAGTTGGGAAGTCAATGGTGATCAGACAAGATTCAAATCTGTGTGCTATTTGGTGGCGTGTATGCTCAAGTGGCCTAGTGGCGATGGTGCAATTTCTCCCAAAAAGCCAACTGGTTGCGGCGACGATGTCGCAGCCTCGGATCAGCTTATTCAATTTCTTGTCCAGCGAGAGAAAGATGAAGGAAGCCTTGAGAGCACCACTCGTCTACTGTCTATATGTACTCGTGCCGGCAAAAATGGTGCTAGATGCATTCGACAGCTTCTCGAGTCGCAGGAGGAGAGAGTTCTTGCAGGTGTGAGTTTGCTTGTTGAAGACCCCTCCAGTAGGGTGGAAAGAGTTGGTGCATTCCACTTTAGAGTGACATTCTTGCCGCACTTTCACAAGGAGTATTACAGCCATAAGACAAAAGTTGGAATGACATCTCGTCGAGGTCTGTAAATGCTTTATCGTGGCATAAGAATCACCTTACGATACATTTTCGATACATTTTCATGAAGAAGGATTTATTCGCAATTCTGTGGGTTGTTAATCGCTTATTCAAACGCTCACGCTTGCTTTAGGCGTCAACTAATAGACGAATTGTCAAACGTACATGTCCTTTCTGATTAATGCCGGTGCTGGAAAGCAAAAATGTGGTGCTATGTAATAAGAAACATTGTGACACTTTGCAGATTGTATATCACAGGCTCAAAGACAACTGTTCCAGATATAAGTCTCTCCAGGGAACACGAACAACAATATTGTCGGCTGATAAATCTCAAAATGATATTTGTCTGTGGAGCTTCCATATGTTTTGTAGCATACAAATGCTAACATTGTGCAACGCGGGAATGAATCGATAGTGAACGGAGAACGAATGTTGTTGTCATAGGTTAAGAATCGGAGGTTTTCGAATTGCGATCAGGATATTATGCATAGTGATTTTGATTTTAGACAATAACTAATGGCTTTTGAGCTAATATGACGAAGCGACATACACCTCAATCTTTAATTGCTGCATTCACGATAACTATAAGTGAAATGAGAAAGCATAACTAGTAGGAAAAGAGACGGAACTCAAAACATCGATATTCCTCCAGACAAGACAAATTATCATCTTTATACCGCCCACAAGGTTTCCCAATACTCTCGTAAGACACAGGTCCAGTCAGGCTCAAGATCACAACTATTATATGCGCAGCAAATATAGCACGTCACGATGCAAGCCCCAACATGTCGTTGTGCAGCATCATGGATGCAGAAAGCCACCACCAAGCCGCCGCCACCTCGATTGCCCCCACCCTGAGATCTCGACTCCGACATCTCACTCTGGGATCTCACATGCACGCTCAAGACCGGGTAATGGGGTAAATTAGAAAATGCGTTAATCGTCAATTGCCTGGCTTTTCAAGGCAAATCTTGATCCGAGGTTGAATTCGGTGTAAGACCACCGACGCTAAATTAGTGGACCGATGTTTGGACCTGGGCATCGTGGTGCCGCGGTGGTTTGAATTACAATCGGGCCGGGTAGGTTGGGGGCCTTGATGATTAGTTCGAGGTCTGCGTGGTGGTGGATACTGGCTGTACTTGTGAGCACTTAGAGGCGTTGAAGTTGAAGATTTCATACATTGAGGAGGATATATTGATCTATTCATTATGTAATTCAAGGATGTCTTAGGTTCGAGGGCAGACGACGTATCTCACGTTGGACGAGTCACTGAATTTGGTGTCAGTCTTGAAATTTGGGATCCAGGTCTTAGATTTCTTGGACACCCTTGTAATCGGGGGTTGCTCCGAATTCTTGGTCCATATTGTTGGTGCATGTGTACCAACACAGCGGTGCCCAAAAGAAGGAACAATCCACTCAAATACTAACAGAACATCAAAAATTTATGCTCATCAATCTTCATCCTCATCATTTTGTACATAGCATGGGTTAATAGCACTATGCGATTGTGACATTTTTCAAAATTTCCATCTAAAGCATCATCAATTAGTCTTTCCAGATTATACAAGCACTAATGTAGATTATATACGTCGATTCTAGCATCGCCATTCAACTCACCCTGTTGGATGTTGTGCTTGGAAAAATTAGATAAGCATCGATGTATAGACATGAGATGAGCTGTGACGATAAACTGCTTCTAATTTTGAGAGCAGCTGGACCTTTTTGTTGCAACCAATCGTATGTAGCACCAACTCTGGAAGAATGGATAACCTGTGGCATATAATCTATACGGTGAGAATTATATCCTTCAATAGTCTATAGTGTGTTGGCTCTCAGAATCTCGTTATGTAGATTCCTCTTGGACTTGCTACGCTGTTCTGGAACAGTTCGAGGTTGATAGACATTATTCGTCATGATCTTCAAGGCAATCAGATGCATCAGCAACCATCTCGCCTCTGATTAATCTTAGCAGAGCTTCAAACCGAATTATAATACCAGGTAGTCTACGATGCTCCATTGGTTTCGAATGGTAGGTTGAAGGGTACTTCAATGCATACTACCCCAGAGTAAAATGTGCGATTCTGGCAGCATCTTAGGCGTCTTCAACTCTTAGAGTCCAAAGATTTATTATTGTCTTCAAATAGGTCAGCATTCGTATGGAAATAATCAACATCGGCGAACTCTCTCCGTGTGCGCGGGACAAATCGACGTGCTCATTCATCGTCATAACGTGGGTATAGGTGAGTTTCAATCAAGTATAGGTCGGAGATGAAATGGGCGCGCGCAACCACCAAACGACCGCGTGGGTGGAAATGAAGATTGGGCGGAAAGGGGCTTGCATGATGGACGAAAGGAAGATGAAGTTGGTCGCGTACCGCGCCATACGACCCTGCATATTAGCTATGTACGAACAACACCATCCTCGAAAAGGCGCGTAAGAACGAATTCACACGGCGATGGCTTGCGCTATGAAGCCATTAATGGTGAAGGAAAAGAGAATGTTTCAGCTGTTGTTCTTGACTCCTCAAGTTTTCGGAAAGCCTGATCGTGTGCCGAAGGATCGGACATCCGAGGCTCGTCAAGCATCGGAAGCTATGTAGCAGATGTCATGATCCTCGTGGAAGGGTCACGCCCACAATTGTAATTTAGGCAGATATAAAACACTAGAATGGATAGCCGCTCAGGTTCATTGCCTCAGAATCCGCGCAGCCTTGCAAAAATAGGAACATGGAACAGAATTTCAGGTAGCTTCGAGAGACAAGCATTACTTGGCAGTCTCTAGACTTCAATAAGATTTGACATCTGCACACATGAGATTAGCCACGCCTCGCGTGAGGTGCCATCGTTTGGACATTTTGATGTTTGGGCGGAGACAGGGACCGAGGGATTACAATCTCGCATCGGCAGTGGCAGACTTCTTTCAGTTAAGACTTCACGGGATGCTGTGGGGCGCCATGATCCACCCAAGGGCAAGCGAGCGTTTCTGTCAAATCGCCTGCTTGTTCGTGCAGTTACAAGTAGTGTGGCGTCGAAGGAACGGTAGGAGATACTGCAAATGGAAATCTTCATTGGCCAGGGGCACCATTTGGATTCAAGTTTTAGCATGGCAGGTAGTTCGCAACGGTCATAGCGCACACGGCGCCACCCCATGGGCAAAATGGTTCCCCGGCCAGCGCTACAGTGGACTGGCAACTAGTTCAAGGCGGGGAGTTGAAGGTTACTCGTATACGGTACAGCAACTGTCTAAGGCGGGTTGGTTGGGCAAGGCATAGGGCGATCGGACCGGGGAAGCGTTTGAGGTGGGACTGTCCCAGCTTCCTCTAACAAGATCAGGACAATGGTAAGTAAGGGAAATGCCAACAGCAACGACAAATGCAACTGCCTGGTCGACAGACACCGTCGTGCAGTGTGTTGGTAGTGTCAATGGCGCGAATGGAGTGGTTTTACAGCAGTGTGCTAATGGCAAGTCGTTGAAGCAAGAAGATATCGGTGCATAACCTCTAAACCAACACCGGTATAGCTCGTGGTACATCATCCGCATTGTGAACAGAAACTCCACCAACAAAACCCCTCACATCGATTCATCTCTTTCAGTTCGTCCCAGATCATCGACCACGCCACCCAGGACCGTGATCTTCATGATCTCGAACGTGGACTCGATCATACATAAAGTTATCAACCGCCTTCAGAGGTCTATATAGCATACCGGTAGTATAGACAGGGGGCTATCGCCATTCTGCCGGCTTAACTACAACTCCCCGGCCTTGCAGGCGCCTCCAGATCTTCCAGAAGAGCTTCCAGAAGAGCTGCCTTTAGGCCATCTCCCCAGGTTTGCGCGTGACGGTTACACATACAATCATGTGTGTACCGGGTCAATGGACCAAACCGTCAGCCTTGCTTTCGAGCAAGTCTGTTGATTCGACTACTCAAACGCATGGGCTTCAACACGAGACATGATATTAGAATTGTACCGGAATGCCGCGCCGGACGCCGGGCTTTTACTCCACGATGATCTCCCTCACGTGTTGTCCCGCATTGACGGCGGTGGTTGGCCTAGGAGTAGACCAAGTCCATCTAGTCAACACCATCCTGTCTTTTGGACATGATTCCGAGCACTCTGCCCCTTGTAGTACTGTCGCCGCACAGAGTGCATAGCATTCCAACGAATCCATGCACCACATTTACCCGGTCCGCTAACCCTCTTAGATATCTCCAGGATATGCATTGACCATTTTCAACCCGCAAACAAAGTACCCTAAGCAGAGCAGTCACATATATATGGCCCAGCAATGCTGTTCGAAATGTATCCTGCAAGCTTCTGGCGCTCGGGTTTCGACAATATAACTACACGCCAGTCCCGGGCTGATCTGCCATTGCGATTGTCTTTTCGATTGCACGCTCTGGGGATTGCTAGTTCTCAAGGTCGCCCATTATGTTTAACAAGACCAAAAACCTGAAGAATGCGAGGGCCGCCGATGTCGAGGTTGCCCAAGCTGAGGCTCCTCACCTCCAGCGTGTGGAATGGACGAAAGAGCCTGGGTTGAGGAAGCTCTACTTCTGGGCCTTCATCATCTGTATCGCTTCTGCGACTACAGGTTATGATGGGTATGCGCACATTCGAGATCTATGATATTAGCATCCACTAACCTTGACTAGTTCCATGTTGAACAATTTGCGTATCCTACCCTCTTTCAAAACTTTCTTCAGCGATCCATCGGGCAATACCTTGGGTATATTGACCGCACTCTATTCCATTGGTTCCATCGCCTCGCTTCCCGTCACTCCTTACATCGCGGATCACTGGGGTCGTAAGGCCGCCATCACCTGCGGTTGTGTTATCATGATTGCTGGTGCTGTTGTCCAAACATGCTCCAAGCACCCCAATGAGCTTCGCATGTTCATGGCTGGTCGTTTCTTCATGGGTTTCGGTAACTCTCTTGCACAGCTATCTTCCCCGCTCTTGCTTGCGGAATTGTGCCATCCCCAACATCGCGGCCGAGTTACCGCTATCTACAACTGTCTCTGGAACGTCGGTGCTATCATTTGTACCTGGTTGACCTTCGGTACCAAGCGTATTGATTCCGACTGGTCGTGGCGTGTCCCCGCTTTGGGCCAGGCTCTTCCTTCGATTGTTCAACTTGCTTTCATCTTCTTCATCCCGGAGTCGCCCCGTTGGTTGATCTCTAAGGAACGCAATGAGGAGGCACTTCAGATTCTCGGCAAATACCATGCTAATGGCGACATCAACAATGCCACTGTTCAGTTCGAATACCAGGAAATTAAGGAAACCCTGCGCTTGGAATTTATGTACCAGAAGACTTCCTCATACCTCGACTTCTTCAAAACCAGGGGCAACCGATACAGACTTCTTTTGCTTTGCTCTCTCGGTTTGTTCTCGCAGTGGTCTGGCAACGGTCTCGTCTCCTACTACGCCACTGATGTTTACAAGTCGATTGGTATCACCGACCCTGATACTCAACTTGGCATCAACGGCGGTCTTACCATCCTCTCGCTCATCGTCTCCGTTTCTTGCGCTTTGTTGGTCGACCGTGTTGGCCGTCGCCCACTTTTCCTTGCAGCGACAGCCTCCATGTGCGCCACCTTCGTTATCTGGACGATTTGCTCTTCGCAACAGGAAGCCAAGCAGAGCAAGGCTGCTGGTCGAGCTGTCATCGCCATGATCTGGCTCTTCTCCGTCGCTTATGCCCTCGCCTGGTCTGGTCTTCTCGTCGCCTACACTGTAGAGATTTTACCTTTCAAAATCCGTGCCAAGGGCTTGATGATAATGAACTTCTGGATCCAGGTTGCCTTGACCATTAACCAATATGTCAATCCTCTTGGTTTCGATCACTTGAAGCCAACCTGGAAGCTGTACACTATCTACGCTGTAAGTCTGCGCCTAGTTCAAAAGGAAATTGTTCGTACGCTAACATGCAACAGTGCTGGATCGCGTTCGAACTGGTCTTCGTCTTCTTCTTCTACATCGAGACCAAGGGTCCCACTCTCGAGGAGATCGCCAAGATCTTTGATGGTGATGATGCTCAGGTCGCTGATGTCAATCTCGACAAAGTTGGCTCCGCTACCCATACGAGCGGCTACGAGAAGAACGATGTCGCCGTGAACGAACTGAAGGTTCAAGACTCCAACAAATACTAAGCTTTGTCAAAAGCATTTATACCCTTGTTGATTAGAACATACAGTCTGGAGACTATTAGCCCACAAAGTCGGATCGTTTTCGGCAGCGCCAGCTTTTGTGTATCTATCAGCACATAATATACTATCTCATAACTATTATAATCATTCTACAAACCATGCGTATTATTTCTTCATTTCGAACACCATGACGCTATCCGTTATAATGTTTTTAAACTATATAGTAGCATTTGGTTACGTCTGTCTCGTAATGTCTAGTAATCGAAGTGAGGGTTTACAGCACTGTTCACTTGGTTGTAACACAACCACTCACGTCTTGCATGGTTGCAATACTAGTCTCGCACTCGTAGATGCATTACAACTCTACAGCATAATGGAACCATACTACCTGCTCATGATGGACCTATTACGCGTAGATCACTAAACCCTTTCCAACAATTGCATTGAACTCGCCACATGACCTCCAATTCATCATCCGCCTTCTTCGTATTTCTCGTCCTCCATTCAAGCTTCCAGAATCCCAAAATAAACAAAAGACCCAACACGAGCACCTGCAATTTTCCACCCGGAGCGCACATATGCAAGTAAAGGGACTAACAAGCATATTATATTAATTTACCCGCGCAAGCGCAGACGACTTTATCCCCATTCCCTGTCTCCCGTGGCCGCATCCGAGTGCGCGTGCAGAGGCCACAATGCCTAACCTGTGGTGAAGGATTTTGCTTCACGCAATTTATTTCCAGGGGTGGATTTCGTCGTTTACGCGAGGGGAGATTGTTTGCAGGAAGGATGTGTGAGTTGATTTGGGAGAGCCGAGATTGATTAGATGTATGTGGTCCTGCATTTGGGATCGGGCGAGGGAGATGGATTCTACGATTGTTTGTGGGCTCTTGGGCTCGATCTTTTAATCTGTATCGTCGCGATCTGGTACCGGGGTTTTGGATACAGGGCGTCATCTATGTAGACAATATACATGCCTGAGCGTACATAAAAAGATAGAGTACGATGGTATCGAAGAAGGCGGACGTTTCAGAGCATTGTTCTCGCACTGATCAAGCGTTCAGGCTTGATTGCCGCCTTCGACATCTTCCAGATGATTTTGATGTGGCATCAATGCTGCGAATGTGTGGCGTAGCTAACTTCGCAAGTCTTGAGTCGACGTGCCCATTGTGAATGCCAGTTGAACAAGGTTCGTAAATTATGTGCTGCTTATTGTATATTAGTATCCATTTTCTCTTCGTTCTTCATGATACTTTGAATTCGCTGATTCTACGCCTTCGTGTCTAATATGGTTATGGACTTGTTCCAGGTCCCCAATAGCCAATTTAATCAGTAAGCCACATTTAACAGATGTCACAAGAGAAGATTGCTCCAATCCTATTAGACCTCATCATCTGCTTCTATGTACAGGTCTGGGCTGTCAAAGGCTCAACGCGTTTCGAGTTTTAACCAGACACTTTCGAAAACGCGAGACACATGACAATAAGCTCGTATAAATTAAGCCAGCTCGCACTCGGTAGCGAGTAACTAACCCAGGGCACCTTCAGGGAGTCGAAACTTGCTATGTCAGGTCGACACGAGATCAGGTACCTCATCATCCTCGTCCTCGTCGTTCTCAATCCCTGTTAGGGCTGCGTTTTGGACAGATGCACCATCACGTCCAGAGTTATGATCTGTACTACTTGAACTTCCATCTTCCTCTTGTCCTGGAAGCAGTCTTCTTCTCGCAAACGGTGGTATGACGACAATGTTTGCCTCCTCTATATTCGGCACAAGACCAGAATCGACTAAAACCTGAGCGAGGCTAAGCATGACACTATTGACCCAGATCTCAGATGAACCGAGATTGGTGTTTGCGAACTCATCGGTTGTCGCGGACATGTGGCCATCGATATGTTCAACTTGACTGGCAATAGAGTTGATGAAGCCACTGTAGATCTCTAATGCACATTGGCTTTCTATGGGCAAGGAAGACAGTGAAATCAGATATGTGGGATTGCATAAATCTCTCTCGCTCCTCCATGGCACTCTGGGTGCCTGCCAATTTATGATGTTGTTGCTGTTGTTGAGTAGATCTTTTCCTGGATCGCACCATTCCGTACTGGCATTGATATGTCAGCGTCGTCATCACAGTACTCAAGAGTCAAGTGAGTTATACTTTGTTTCCATCATCACAGACAGCCCAAATACTGGGGACTCCGCCACTGGACGTCCCTTGAAGCCCTTTCTAACGTGCTCGGGAAGTCCCATTAAGTTAGGCCCGTTCGGCCAGCCAGCAGGCGTGACGAGCAAGCCCGGTAGCCAGTGAAGAAGCCCCTTCAAGTCATTCCCGAACTCTTCAATGTCTCCTAAGATCCTAACATAGTTATGATCTTCGTGCATGTCTAACTCTTCATCGTTGAGTGAGAAATACCGTGCGTCGCGTTGTTTCAATGCATCGATCCAAAGACTCAGAACTGCGAATATTTCCTTTGGTGCCTTTGGAATGGTGTCATGTCCGCTGTGCTCACATTCAAGTTCGATGACGGAGGTCTTCGATTTGTGAGTCCAAGGGTAATGGCTGACTACACTGTGTGCCCAAGTGACTTTGTCCCATTTGGACATCCATTTTAATCTTATCTGTCCATTTGCTCGTAAGTCGTCCATAAGTTTGAAAGTTTTCTCGATAGCTCGAGAAACACAAATACTATGGCCGTAAATATAATTTCGATCTTCTACCAGTAGCTGTATATTCATAAAAGTCTTGACTGGGTTTGTTTGGCTTGCCGGATTTTCTGTCTCTTCCTTTTCTGACGCTGCCGGCGCATTCGAATTGTTCCCTGGCGTCGGCTCATGATTGCTATCGACACTTTCTGTGCTACTCGCGTAGTCCGCCTCGAGCATCTGGTAGGTGCCTGTTCTCAGCTCCCATCTTTGCTCAAGCAGTATTTTTCTTGCAAGCCTTGTTTTAATCAAATGATCAAGCGGCTTGCCGGCGTCCATTAGAGCTTCAAAAAGGAGCACCATATGTATTGACTCCCTATTACTCGGCAACTTGACACTTATCGGATCCGCTGCAAGTCCGCGCCTGACCCAGGACCTGACACCCGTCATGACAACAGTGATGCCAAGCTGAAGAATTGTCGCTGACCAGTGGAGCCCGCGAAGTCCAACAAACTGACACACGAAACCCACGATCGCAAAGGCGGAAGAGAATGCCGCAAGTCTGCTATACTGTCCTGATTCCTCGCGATCCTCGTCTAAGAATTCGGCCTGCTGTTGAGTTTCAGGTTGTATGCTTCCATCGCTTTCCGCATCGAGACGATCCATGCGGATGTTCGAGTAGTGTGCCTCCTCGTCTCCTTTGGCGTATTGTAACCTGGACGTTCTTATTGTTTTGTTTCCCGGTTGGTTGAAAATAGCGAATCCTTGAAACGATTGGTCTCCTACTGAACAAGCTTTCTGCAGTCGAAAGATGTGTAAGATCTTATCCTCACCTTCTGGTGTAGGACAGAATGTTCTTTCAAGCGTGACTCCTTCTATCACATGGGAACATAACAGTAATCCCAGATTGACGATGCATGTACCGATAAGGAAGCACGGGTAAGCATAACTTTGAACCGGCTCCGAAGCTTTGGGGAACTTCCAAAGATAGGTCGCCAGACCTGGAACAACCAGTGCTAAAGACTGTAGCACGACGCCAAAGATGGCCCACGTCCACAATTCTTTGCGACTTGCTGTAGATGAATCTATATTCAACGCAATGTTGGGATTTTGCTCTGTTAAGTCTTTCAAATCTCTGAAATAACTGGCGCGGGAAGATGAAACGCTGACCAACTCTGACCATGGAGCAGAGCCGCCACGGCCGGTGTTCATTGTGCGCGATGGCATATTTTCTTCTTGCAACCAGCCTTTCATCACAGCATGTTGCAGATCCACCAGCTGTATGCCGTTTTCTTTACTGTTTACCAGGACGAGTTCTTTGGTCCCCGGTTTTCCTATCTGACGGATGGTTTCTTCTCCGCTCCAGAGCTCGCAGACGTTGTCCGAGGTCGAGGAAAGTAGTTCCTGTTCAGCAGTGGCCTGGCTCTCTCGTGCGCTTCACACCATGTTAGTGGTTTCGAATTGCATATGTGTTCAAACAACTATTGATTACCGGCCGATCAGAGCTTTCAATTTCCTAACTCCACCGACTCGAATCGCGCTGACGATGACGGTGAGAATCCCCAAAGGTCCCATGGAGACAAGTACATTGTCAGCCCATCCCATCGACATAGTCAAGAATTGCTTAGTGACCTGAAAGCTATCAACGAGGACCAGAACATCGTTTGCGTTTGCTGGGAACAAACCTGTTCGCCAAACAATGTCAATAGAGGCGCTAGATCACTGAACAAATTATTTGAAAATTCGTCCCCATTCCATTCTTCGGACTGGGGTGCTATGGTCGCCGATAGCAGCCCTGTTGTCGCCGTGATGGCTGTTGTTGTTACCGAAGCCATCTGATCTCGGCATCTAGCTAGCTAGCAAGCAAGTCGCACACTCCCACGTAGTCCTATCAATATGCCAAAGGGGGTAGTAGTTATTCACGCAACTTGGAAATCTCTGAGGTTCTCTGTAGGTGTGATGTTACATGCTCTAGAAGATGACCCGTTGGTAGGATTTAGGGGAGGCTGGATGAGTGCGTGGGGGCGAAAATAAATGCTGGCCCCAACCTGCATGTTTCACAGAGGCAGCTTACGATCTTCCCTGCGTGAGATGACATTGACTTTAGGGAATTTAGGAAAAGTATTCCACAACACAAGAGGAGGTATATGGGCTAACAGTCATTTTCTCGCCAACCCGATTCTATATGCTCGTTGATGAACTTAGCAAGTGATCACGTTCAAGTCATAGACGAGAGATGAGTATTGTGAGTGAATGTGTACATTTTTGGTGCATTGCACCGAGCGCTATATACTGCTGTACTACGAAAACAACGCTACAGAGACTTCCTTCATCCAGAAAAACAACAGTGCTACAATCCTGAACACCATCGCTCAATGCAAACCTAAGATACCAGTCCCATAACAATTCCAATGATATGCATAATAATCCATCGCCCCGAAGATAAGTCTGTACAACCAGAGTGTGCTTGTCACGATCTCAATGAACGACCATGTCACCTAGGATGTCACCTAGTTTTTCTTTCAGACCAAAGCGGTCTACATCGCCTCCCACCTTCCTCCTGAAAAGACCGAGATCCTTTAAAAACTCTTCGGCTTCTTGTTGCAGTTCAACCGCAAAGTCATCATTACCCTCGTCATATCCTGAGTCCTCATCAGCGCTATCGTCACTAAGGTCGTCTTCGGCAATGGGAATATTGTTATCTTTACCATCACCTTCAACGAATCCTCGATCACCCCACTCTTCTTGTTCGAAATCGGGTGACCCCAAGGGATGTTGTGGCGGTGGCAAGACAATGGGATTCTTCAGTTCTCCCAGAGCAAGAGCCAAGTGTCGTCTAAGAGCCTCGTTCTCTGATTGCAGAGCCGCAGCTCTCGGTCTGAGATCCTCCACTTCGCTTGTCAACGCTCGGATCTTACAGTCCGAAACTTGACGGCTCTCTACCATCAGTCGCTGCATGATCGTGACTTGTCGCTGATACTCTTCGAGCTCAGTCGCTTCTTCGCGCTTGCGTTGTGATGCTGCGTTCACAGAAACTTGAAGGGAGCGAATCTGCTCTGCCATTTCCGAAATCTGAGCATCGCGCTGCGCGGTAGACATGCAATCTTGATTGACACTAGCACGAGTGCGAATGCGTTTGGCTTGGTCTGCGTATCGTAGCGTGCTAAGAGTTTCATCGTAGTCTGCAGGAGCAATACAGGCGACCATGGCCGTTTTACTGTTTCCTCCAAGGCTGTCTTTGAGGAGCCATGTTAGAACGGAATCTCTGTAGGGTACCACATCCCTGGGTCGTCGTCCTTTGGCGCCTTGACGACGCGGGTCTGCGAGAGCTGCAATAACACGCCCAAGAGTTGTGAGAGACTTGTTGATCTGGCCGCCTTCCTTCAGTCGTTGTCCTGAAGCCTCGGTTGACTTCGCACGTTCTGAGCCCGCAAGATCCACGAGACGCATGCGGGCAGTTCGCTCAATGGTTTCGTCACTGAGAAGGGAGTGCTGGATTTGCTTGAGTCGAATAGTGAATACAGCATGGGAACGAGATGATGTATCGTTCATCTTAGTAGCCGCGACAGTTCGACTCAAATCCCCAACCTTCATCAATCGTTCCACGTCGGCATAGCATTTGACTTCTGCCTCAGTCAACCCTTGCACGTATACACCATCTGTTTGACTTTCTCTGATCTTCAAGTAGATGGGAGGGTTGGTTCGGGGCACCAACAAATCCCGCACATGCTCGTTGTACACTTCGAAGTAGGTTACGTGAACGTGGTAACTGGTATTGGGTGACGGCTCGTTTTGGATGCGCTCGAACAGCTCTTCGCACGTTCTTGGGATCAAACCGGGTTGTTCGGGCGTTCCCATCATTGTGTAACTTTTTCCCGAACCAGTCTGGCCGTAGGCAAAGATGCAGGTATGATAGCCGTCAAAATTGTGATCAAGAAATTCTTCGCCAAACGAGCGATATACGTCCTCCTGGTGAGCATAATGAGGATCAGCCTCGTCGTGCGACCAGAATGATTTATCAAATGTGAATTCTTTATCTTCATAGACCCGGCGAGTGTTGGAGTTGCAGTCGACTTCTATTGGGGCGTGGAGGGTAGTCTTCTGTGTTGCCGGATCCATGCGAATCAGGCACTGGGTGCCCTTTTCTTTTTCTTTTGATAATCAGCACTCGACCAGTGCATAAGTATATAATATATTCACTGACCTCGTTTTAAAAAGGCTCTGCATCGTACGACGACCTTAACATTGCCTGGGTCGTCGGCCATTGGCGGGGGCGCCATCAGCGCGATGGGCTCAGATAGTCGCATAGAGGGCGCGGAGGCCGATGAGGAGTGTATACCCGCATACATTCTCGGATTCATGGTGCGTTCCAGCAGTAACGAGCGGAATTCTTGGAGGAGTTGCTGCGACTTGAGGATATAGAGGTTGTGCATGGGCGCGATTGTTGACACCGCCAGGGTTGCCTCGGGCAACGGCTGGCGATTACGGCGATTGGCTTGCTTCGACGTCACTCTGCCAAGACTACGGAAACCCACACAAATTTCTCGACGACTCGATAATCGACTCCACCGGGCCAGCGCAGCGATGTCGACGTGTGTGGCTCTGATTGACTGATCGATTTCGTGTATGAAGAATTAGGATGAACGCGACAAAGTGAAGGGACCGATTGAGCGCGTGTCTTCACTCCCCAGCAACCGTCTCCAAGGAGCATTCCAGGGGCCAAACTCCGATAGTTACACAGAAGTAAACGCGTCTTCAATCACAAAACAGAGTGGCTGATCTTGTGGCTTGTGCCTCTTGGCTCGATATCGAACGTGTTCTTCTGTGCCCAACTAGGTACCGTAGCAAGAATGTCTGAGTACGACGTTATATTAAGCCATCTGGACGTGGACGCACGGCTTGCGATATTTGAGAGTTTCTGGCGTCGAGTCGAGGCATCCGCAGTAATAGATACTGATGCACTACGGGCATGCATTCGATTGCTCGCATCGAGCGAGCAAGCCGAGAGACTTGTGAGTCGGTTCGAAACGGTTATGTCTAGACTGCAAGCCTCTGACAGCACCGTAGATTAGCAAGCAAAACCAGATTGTAAACTTCATCCACGCGAGTATACCAAGTCAGCCCGATGATCACGATTTCCTGTATGGTCTCGCCGACATCTGCTCGGGTGACTTTCGAATCGGGCAGCAAGTATTCCATAGGCTTTTTGTATCATTGCAAGACTTTAGACCCTTGATTTCCCAAGATTCTGATGATCCCTCCGTCCGGGATCAGCTTTCAGTAGTTCTCTCTTTTCTTAGGTTTCTCAAGTGTTCCTTCTGGCTACCCTCTCAAAGGCCTCATTTTGTCACCAATGACCTGATCCAGTTACTACTTGAACTCCTTGGACACGACGACCTCGATGGACCAGTTCAGGAAACACTGTCCGGCTTGTTTACACTGCTAGAAGGCCCAGTCGTCGTTTTCCATCCAGATGATGATTCAAAACCTCCTTGCTGGACAACTGATCTTCCAAGCACACAAAGTCTTTTTCCCAGTGGAAGTCTCTGGAACAGGTTGGAAAATTTACCTTCCAGCTATTTCAACACGGATTCCTCTCGTATATTCAGGACTTGGTTCCAGTGGATATCCCTCGCGTCCTCCCAAGACGTTGACATAGATGCGATCTATCAACCCGCATACTGGAGACTTCTTCGAATTGGCTTACTTTCAGGCTTTGCCGAACAACGCAAGTATTGTCTTGGTATTCTTCGACAGTCATTGGTCCTAGCCCGGCGTGACATCAACGTACCTTTTATGGTCTTGGAGGTCGATAGACGGTCCGAGTATTCAGCGCAATACGAGAAGTACAGCTCTCTGTTCGAAACTATCGTGCTTGACCGATATCCCAACCAAATTCAGGCCTCTTTGCCGGGTCTGACTAGTCTCTTCGTCTCCGGTTCCCTGATTAGCAGCGTTTGGACAACCGCTCTTCTTTCAGGTGTTCTACATCCGCACGTTCAGGATGGTGCTCGAAAGATCGTCGGCAATTGGTACATTGATTTTGTTGTCCACCAAAAAGGACCACTTGAAGAACATGCGCAATTTCTCATAGAGGGGTTTCTTCCCTGGGCAACTCAAGGCAGCCTTTTCACACACTCACTTATTTCTACCAGGAGCGAGACAGTCTGCACCCACGGGCAGGCTTTGGCTGATGTTCTTTCTGTGTCCCTTCAGGCTATACCCAAACCTACGGACCGGAGAAATCTGTTTGTTGATATTCTCAACTTCATCTTCGCCGCCGGTGGAAAATTGTTCCACTATGCAATCATCTACATCCTTGAGGGCCTCAAAGACGCACTTTTCGAGCATGAGAATGACCCTTCGTATGCAAACCTGGGAGCTGATGAACTTCAGCTTGTCTACAAGATCTCTCGACTCCCGGGACTACCTGAAATTGCAACGGAGCTGTGCTTGACACTCTGTGCAATGGTCAGTAGGAGCTGTGTCCATAACATCAATAGTGGTGAAAACGCCGAATACGTGCCCGGATTAAAGGAGTTGGAGGCCAAGTACATCTCAATCAAAAGCAATGAAAAAGAGCAACAACTGCAAACCTTCAAAGAGACAAACCCTACAAATGGCACCAAAGACTTGCATTCTTTACAATCCTTGCTTACTCTTCTTGAAGAGACAAAGCATACAATCATTCAGGGCAACGACTTCGTATCGTATTGTGACCAAGTCTCCTCGATATTAGATTCAACTACATTAGAAGAGTCGCAGCATGGCACGTTGTACACAATACTAGAAGCACTGTGGGAGGAAGCAGACAGGCAAGAATTTCGTCGACCTGTTGCGGTCGGCATCCCAGCCTTGTTCTTCCATGCACAGTGTATAGATATTTGCGTCAGCGAGCAAACCCATGAAGCAGATGGTCCGGGTCTTGACTCGTTGACTACTCTTCTTGTCAAAGCCATGGAGCAGCTGTGGCACATGTCGGGAGGTCGTTCGTACCTGCTATCGACCTTCGCAGACTCGTTACGAAAGGCTGGTTTATTGAACCCCAAAATCATCGAAATCTTACCGTTCGAGGATTTTCTCGTCAGTATAATAGAGAATCCACCATTGGCCAAGAAGGAGTTTCTTTTCGAAGTGGCCTCCGCAGAGATGCTAACACAGTACAACGCGAGCCAAACATACCAGCTATACTACGGGAAGCGTGAATGGCATGCCTATGCCTGCCTGATTGATCTCCTCATCCGGTTCCCAGAGAGCGAGATTCAAGTGGCTAAAAGATTATTGAAACGACTACTCGAGCCATGGAGGACCCAGAAACGCCCGATCCCAATCATCAGCAAATGGAAAGATACATTGCAGCTCCAGGCGATGCTACTCCTTGTGGAGTCATGCGTAGACGAACAAGACGCTGTTTGGTATCTCGATACCTTCATGAGCATGCTGATCATTGAACAATGGCCTCGCTACCGCTATCTCATTGAATGGATCATCTCCCGAATTTACTACCGCTTTCCGCAGCTTGCACAGAGAATTCTACCCGACTTAGAGAGCCTAGACGATACTGTGCCTGTTCAAATCGCCTCTTTGATCAAGCTAGCTGTACTTGCTACTCCATTCCTTGACTCCGAACAGTTCACTCATCATCTCGTCACATTATTCATTCCTTTCTCAGCAAGCCCTAAAGTTCACATCCGGCACGAAGCCCATTGGTCATTCCCAATCATCTATGGTATCGCTGAGGAGAAGAGATGGACCAGCATCACCGAAAACCCTGCTTTCAGCGCGCTGAACAAGTATATCCGCAGCTTGGACAAATTTAATAGCCCGGCGACAACGATTAGAACCCTTCGCCTCGACGCTGTTGAAGATTTCACCCTCGTCGATATTTTCCAGGGAAAGTATCTTACCATCGAAAGCCCAGACCGCCAATACGTTGCAGGTGAAGATTTTGAGACACTCTGGAACGAAGACAGCGCTTCCGGCTTTTCAACCCCAGCTGCCCGCATAAGTCTCGGAGCATCCAAGGACAACGAAATCACTCTACCAATTGTCTCCACAACTTCTCAACCAACTACCACAACAACAGCAGACCTCCCTACCGCACCCCTCCAAACCAAATCCGGATTCGATCTCGCATCACTTCTTCCCTCGGCCGGCCCCCCATCCGCATCGAAAGTCCGCCCGGCCTCCGTCCTCCTCGTCGCCTCCCTAATCGACAACCCAACGAATCTCGGCGGCCTATCCCGCATCTCTGAGTCCTTCGGCCTTGAAGCCCTCTACGTCAACGACACGAGATGCACAGGTAGCAAGGACTTCCAGTCTACGGCTGTCACGAGCCACAAGCACCTTCCGATCCGCGAGCTCAAGATTGCAGGCGTGCCTGAGTTCCTCATCAGCATGAAGCGAAGCGGATACGAGGTTGTCGGTGTAGAACAGACGGATAGGAGTGGCATACTTGGCGAAGACCCCGCGGCGGAGGTTGCGAAGGCTGGTGGCAATGTTGACTTCAAGGGTGACGGAACGCTGCCGAAGAAATGCGTGCTCGTGCTTGGTAGTGAGAAGGGAGGTATCACGGCGGAGGTTTTGGCGGTCGTGGATAGGTGTGTGGAGATCAGGACTGTGGGCGTAACGAGGAGTCTGAATGTGCAGACTGCGGGTGGTATTGCAGTTTACGAATGGTGGAGGGAATGGGGTGGTGCGAAATAAGATGTTGTGGATTCCTAGAAGGAGGGAAAAAGCGTTTGTTTACATTGGTTTGTTAAGTTTAGATCTACGATCTTATGTTTGATATTCAGTAAATGCTAAATCGATATTTCTACAAAAGTCTGAGAAAGGCTCTATCGCTTGCCTTGGCCCATCATGCTCAACATACGCTCCAACTCGACCGTCGCACTCCCACTCGCCTTACTCTTAATTTCCTCTAGGAGCGCCCTATCTTTCGCCTTCACAGCCTCCTCTCCCGCCTTGACTAACAACCCACACTTCGCCCACATCTCCGCTCGTTCCGCGGGGCTCAGGCTCGTACATTTAGGAATGAACACGCTCGCGACGCGCGTGTTCCCCGCAGCCAGAATTTCCTTGAAGAAGGGTTCCCAGCCGATAGCACTCTTCTTCGTCTTACTAATTTCTTCGAGTTCATTCCAGTGTCTCGCTGCGACAAGCGCGCGCAGACGAAGCCATGTGTATGTTTTGTCTGGAATCTTGAATTCAGATTGGACTTTCTGGGCGCGTTTATTGTGGTTTGCGCGGATGAGCGTGAAGATTGTTTCGTTGGCTGATAGGCCGACGAACTTGTCTACGCTTGAGGAGAGCGGTGCATTAGAGCTAGAGGGCGCGAGGTCTTTCTCGAACTGTTCTTGGAGGCGGAGGAGCTTTTGGGCGTCGTCGAGTTGTTGGCGTTGGAATGTGTGGTCTTTGCTGTCTTGGAGGTATTTGGAGGCGAGTTTGAGTTTGTCGAGGGATGCGTGGAGGTCGTTTTGGGAGAGTGCTTCGGATAGGAGGAGGTTGCAGCCATCGAGACGGCGGTCATCTTGGTAATAGAGGTCTTTAAGGAGGTCGCGATCACTATCCCACGCGGACGATTCGACGAGGGCGGTGGCGACTGGGCGAGTGTTGATGACGCGGAAGAAGGAGGCGAGGGGAAGAGATTTGCGAAGATAGCGAAGGACATGGAAGATTAGGTCTGTATCCCCAGATTCGATGGCCTTGTCAAGGGCGATCATATCTTCCTTCATGCCTAGCAGAAGTGGTACTTGTTTGCCTGCCCGTGGTTCGTAGTTCAAAAGCTCAGTAGCAAGGCGCACACGACCCTCGTCATATGCGGCTCGGGCAATCTCCTCGAATGATACGCCAGGTTTGTTGTGTAGTTTTGTGACGATGAGTTTGCAGATTGTTTCTTCGTCGGCTACCGAATGTCGCACTTTCTGTTGCGCCCAGTGGACATGTATATGTGAGGTTGAAAGATGCAGATATTCGGCTATTCTGATCGTCGTCAAGTACTCGTGACGGTTGGTAAGTCGTTCGATGAGTCGTTCTGGGGTCAATCTCTTGAATTGATCGTAAGAAAGGGGAAGACCAATTTCGTAAAACCGAGCTGCATTCAGTACGCGTAGAGTCTCGCACATGTCGACGAAGTCATCAGAACTGTAAAGATCGAGGACAGACTTTCCGTATGATGCAGCTTTCAAGAGCGCCTTTTGCCAGTGAATGTTATATTCTTGGCCGGCCGCCTTGACGCAAGTATCCACCGCTTCGGCGAGAGAGGGTCTAATGAGTTGAATCAAGTCGTCTGCTTTGGGCGACTTCTGTTCCAGCAGAGAGGATGCTTCAAGCAAGTGTGCAGCGGGCGCATCGGAACCTAGACGGAAGACTTCAACGGTCTCGTCGGGAACCTTTTGCAAGTATTCGCAGACATCGTTCGTCAGCAGTCGCAGACCGTCCACATCCGGCAACAGATGAACCCAGGTATCGTAATAATATTTCATGGCTGCGCTTCTTGGCCCAATGAGGTGAACTTCATCTTCCCAAGCCAGGGCCACTGCATTGCTGCCGCACCATTGCATATCCTTTGGTACTGTCTTCGCACGAGAACTATATTCCGACAGTTTCTCGCTCCAATCTCCACTCACAACCCATACCTTCCCATCGTCTGTGTAAAATGCCAGGAATTCGCCCTTCGGAGAAACGCTAATGTGACGGAAAGGTCCAGCGCTGAAATCACGGTCCTCTGCGTCGGTAGCATCCACAACATACAAAGTTGTCCCAATGGCTAGAATGACTTCAACAGATCGTGAAAGGGAGTAAGCCGGTGGTATTATCGCCCATGATACGACGGGTTCTGGAGGGGGAATCGCAAGCAATTTGGGCCGAGGCTCATTGTAGTTCGAGACGGAAACCAGATGGTTGTTACCTAGCAGTGCAACAAATCCTGAAGAATAGAACTTGCAGGATACAACACCGTGTTCTTCAGCTCCCTGAGATAGTCAATTAATCTGGGCGTGGAGAGTGTAGGAGTGCGGTCTTACATGGCCTAGTGTGAAAGGTATAAAGTCACCCTGCAGATCGTAGTAACATCTCACGGCTCCGTCCTCGGTGACAACGAGGAGTTTCTCGTCTTCGCCCCACCCTACGTCCTTTATCGTTCCTTTGTCCCACTAGTAGAAGTCAGTATGTCCGCATCCCCCTAGGTAAAGCCTGCCTTCACGTACACCTATACTCCTGAGCAGTTTGCCGGCACAACTGTAGATATCGATACTAGCTTTCGCTGAGCCAGCGCTCCGGTACGTATGGATCTTTTCTTCATTTCGGTAGATAGCTGTTCCAAGTCAGCACCAATTTCTCGAAAGTGTATGCGCTCCGTCCGCATGTGTGGAATCCATACCTACAGCGCCGCTGTATGGAGCCCCCACCACATTGTAGTTCTCGAGCTCGAGATCCTGATCGAATACGGCGGTGTAGAGCTGAATTTTGCGATAGAATTTGTCGCCGAGCTTTTCCCAGTTTGCGGTCGGCTTTGACATCGTTGAGCGGGCTAGTGAGCGGGTTCAAGGGGTATCATGGTTCGAGTGGCTGTTGTTGCGGCCTTGCGAGACGGATTGACGTCGCTCTGGGAGAGTGGTCTGTGCTGAAGCTTACCAGACAGGAAATAGGAATACGGTATTTTTGATAGTTCCATCTTAGCATCACAGGTTTATAGATCATCTGGTCGCAATAGTATCACTTGAAATTCATTTTATTGTACAGTCCACTGTGTCTATGGCAGGATATTTGAACGTGAGCGTGAGCGTCCATCTACAATCCATTTCTTTCCAAGACCTCCGCAATCTTCTCCCGGACACCCTGCTTTCCGCCGTACTTCTCAAGTAGGAACTCGACAACCTCATTGGACTTCTTCTTTGAGGCCTCTCCTAGAATCTCACTTTCCCTGGGCAATCCAATCCAAGCGTGCGGGTACTGTTTGTAGTCTGGACCGCTACGAAGAAGGGGTAGCTCGCTCGTTTGCTTGAAGAAAGCGTCTACATCCTTCTGCTTGACATCCTTGAGCGTGTTCGGTTGCCAGTTCGGTCGTTCCTTCTTGCGTTCAATCAATCGTGCTGTCACACCCTCGACAAAATCTGGGTGGGCCATGAACTTTGCAGCAATATCGTGCTCGCGTTGGAATGTCTGCTTGATCGACCACGATTGACCGAGGCGCATTTGCTGTAGCGTTACGGCCACGGCTATGGGAGACCGAGTGTGAAGTGTCTCAATTGTGCGCTCGGCCCACTTTCTCAAGGGCTGCGAGGATCCATTTGCCTTGACTTCCTCGAGAGAAGTCAAAATGGCGTGAATGTCAGGTTGATCGTGGTGGAAAACGCGGTCGATTGTTGTCCTTAGTTCACCAGAGATAGCGGGGCGTTCGCTGGGGAGTCCAGTGCTGAACTCCTCAATCGTATCGTTGATGATTCGGTTCCGTGCACTCAAGTCGAGGTAGTCCTGGAACTGTAATTCTGCCAAACGTGACTCGAGCTGAGGAAGAGTGGACGAGTGGATGTAGTGGGTCGCCACGCCGTGATAGAAGGCATCGACACCTCTGAGTTGCTCACTGGTAAGGGCAAGATAGGTGCCGATGGCGCCCTCCATGCGCGGCAAGAAGAAGGATGCGCCAACATCTGGGAAGAATCCAATTGTCGTCTCTGGCATTGCGAATAGGGTGTTCTCGGTGGCTATTCTGAAAGGTGCGTGAATGCTGAGCCCGACACCCCCGCCCATGGTAATACCATCCATCAATGCCACATATGGCTTGTTGTACGTTGCAATGAGGTGGTCCAGCTTATATTCAAGGCCAAAGTAATCGGTAGACTTCTGTTGTCCCTCCTTTCCAGTCTTGTTCCATTGAGCCAAAGCGGCGACATCACCACCTGCACAGAATGCACGGCCTTGTCCCTTGATCACCACCACGCCTGCCAGATCTGACTGCTCCCACTCTTGCATCCTCGGTATGATTTTGCGGACCATGGAACCATTCAGCGAATTGAGCTTCTTCGGCCTGTTGAGCTCAATGCTTCGCACGCCATAGTTGTTGGCAAAGACAACATCATCTGGGTCGTCGTCCGGTTGAGGCTGGAAGGGGTTCTCGGTGGGCGTTGAATACTGCATATAGCGTCAGCCAAGGCATGAATGTAAATGTGCAAGTACAATTGCGCTGACCATTCTACTGCCTGCGGTCCAAACAGGATTTGTGATTTTCGATCGCAATGGCATACTTGTTATCCGCGAGTGCCAGCTCAGCGGCGCGGCTGTTCTTCTGAGAGATGTGCGGAGAGACATGTGGAGTTGAGAGGATGCGTTTCAAGCAGAGTGCGTCGAGGGTATGCAACTTTTGACGGCCAACCTCGGGTATCCGTGTTGGTCCACTCGGCAACTGCGAAAGCGTTTAGCTGCGGGCAAGGGATCAATTGATCGATGAAGTCGAAGCGACGATTGTACGAGGCCCAAAATGAATATATACTTCAATTTCAAGACATCCGGAAAATGTTTCCCCCCACCAAAAGGTCAAGACTTCCTAACCATGAGGAGGTTGCGGAGCGCGAAGCTCTGACCAGCTCACGTGATGGAGGTTCTGGAAATTTTGGCATCGAATTATCGTGCCTCACTACTGGATCCTCAACCAGAAGTCGAGTTCCACCACATCCATCAATCCAATTGCCTTCGTTTTCTTCTTCCTCTACTTTTCTTTTTAATTCACAATGTCGGCCTTCTCGAGGCAACTCTGGCGCACCAGCCGCACTGCGCTTCGCTACAACAAGTCCATCAACCCTGTGCAGCAAGCGTTTGGTGCACCAGGATCCACCAGATATGCCAATGGTGTGAGGTCTTACGCCGCTGCTTTCACTCGTGACAAGCCCCATGTCAACATTGGTATGTACTTGGGACTGACTGGTCTGTAAATTCAATTCTAATTGTACCTAGGAACCATTGGTCACGTCGATCACGGAAAGGTATACACTTTGCGGCGCCCGCATCTGGTTTTTATCGACTGACCACCATAGACTACCCTCACCGCTGCCATCACCAAGCGTCAGGCTGAGAAGGGCTACGCCAAATTCCTCGAGTATGGCTCCATTGACAAGGCTCCCGAAGAGCGAAAGCGTGGTATCACCATCTCTACCGCCCACATCGAGTACTCCACCGACAACCGCCACTACGCCCACGTCGACTGCCCTGGTCACGCCGATTACATCAAGAACATGATTACTGGTGCTGCAAACATGGACGGCGCTATCATCGTCGTTGCTGCTTCCGATGGTCAAATGTGAGTTGGCGAGAAGTTTACTGTCGCTTGATAGTATGCCATTAACATTCACAGGCCTCAAACCCGTGAGCACTTGCTCCTCGCCCGCCAGGTCGGTGTCCAGAAGATCGTCGTTTTCGTCAACAAGGTCGATGCTATTGAGGACAAGGAGATGTTGGAGCTCGTCGAGATGGAGATGAGGGAACTCCTCTCCTCGTACGGCTTCGAGGGTGATGAGACCCCCATCATCATGGGATCTGCTCTTTGCGCCCTTGAGAGCCGTGAGCCCGAGATTGGCGAGAAGAAGATCGATGAGCTCCTCGAGGCTGTCGACACCTGGATCCCCACTCCTACCCGTGACACCGACAAGCCGTTCTTGATGGCCGTCGAGGACGTTTTCTCCATTGCCGGCCGTGGTACCGTGTGCTCTGGCCGTGTCGAGCGTGGTATCTTGAAGAAGGATACTGAGGTCGAGCTCGTCGGAAAGGGTGTTGCGCCCATCAAGACCAAGGTCACCGACATTGAGACCTTCAAGAAGTCTTGCGACGAGTCGCGCGCTGGTGACAACTCCGGTCTCCTTCTCCGTGGTGTCAAGCGTGAGGATGTCAAGCGTGGTATGGTCGTCGCTGTTCCCGGAACCGTCAAGGCCAGCACAAAGTTCTTGGTCTCCATGTACGTCCTCAGCAAGGAGGAGGGTGGCCGTCACACTGGCTTCGGTGGCAACTACCGCCCCCAGATGTTCATCCGAACCTCCGATGAGTCTTGCTCCCTTACTTGGCCCGAGGGTGTCGACGCCGACAAGCAGGTCATGCCTGGTGACAACGTCGAGATGATCTGCGAGCTTCACCAGCCCAACGTCATTGAGGCTGGTCAGCGATTCAACATGCGTGAGGGTGGTCGCACTGTCGCCACTGGTCTCGTTACCCAGATTCTCGCATAAAAGAATTGATGTTTTTGGATGGAACGATCTGTAATCATGTTCCCGGCGCCAACTCCCTACCTCGAATTGTAAGAACTGGCTAGGAACTACATGTACACTATTTGACGCGTGCAATATCCCCTCTCCCGCTTCTCTGATGTCGTATTCAGACAGTGTATTATACTAGATTTGCGGCATGAAAGGCGTTGAGTCTTGCTGGGAGGTAGAACAAAATAACGACTTTCTGAATTTATGTAACATTTTGAGCTTGAATCCCAATGTATTCCTCCCGTCAATATCGAGATGTACAATATTTCTTTTCAAGCATGACGTACGTTTATTAGATGAATTCTGAGTGGTCGGCACGAGCAAGTATATCCTCCGTAAGGCTGAGCGCGTTACTAGTGCGGGCGGGAGCTACGCGACGACATCTGAGCGTGAGTCCAGTCCGTCGATGCGGAGCAGCCTCGCCTCGCCTCGCCTCCACACCAGCATCTGTTCATCCTGTAACGAAGACTTCCATATGGTGTCTCTCGCCGCTCAGGCCAGTATCAATCCATAGCAATATGCAACAAGTTCACACCGCCCGCTTTTCAGCATGCCTACCCCCGAACTCAACGTCCTCAAGCCGATTGACCCGTCCATCACCAATTCCGACGACTACGAGATCTTCACACTGAGCAATGCACATGTGGTGTACCAGAACAATGGCAAGCGGGCCAATCTGTTGCATGCCTATGCGGACACGCCCTTGAAGGTGGAAGGTCGCTTGGAAGTTCCGGTGCGAAGCCAGATGAAATACCGTATGCATCCTTAATCTTTAATATCTGGCTGTCTTCGACCAACCCCAATGTACTGCTAAGTAGCTAACAACGCCATTTACTCTTAGTCGTCCGGAAACCATACAAACCCACCGATATCGTAATCACGAATGTAATGCGCTTCAGCTATGGCCAAACCCAAGACGGCGAAACCATGATATGGGCGCAAGGCGCAGCGGGGTGGTTCGAGCTACGACCGAGCAGGGAATACCGGGAAACATATAACGACATGGTGGAAGCAGTCAACATCCTCTACTTCATCACAGACATTTACAACGAGCCGCGGAAAAAAGGCGGCGGACCGAATGCGAAGCTGATATACCAGGAATATGCGGAGGACGAAAGGTTCGCGTGTAGCGATCCCGAAGAGGCGGCGAGAATATTCGCAAAGCATAGGGTGTTTTTAATGATGTGTTTTCTGGGGAGGGCGCAGGGGATTGCCTGGAGCAACACACCGCTTTGCCAAACTTATAAAAAGCAGTTCACAGTAAGTAGAACGGGCGCATTGGCAATTCCACACAGGCTGATATCGAGCAGAGAGATTGGGAAACCGCGAAAGCACGTGTCGACGGCAAGGGCGCGGACGTTCCACAGAGCGCAACAACAAGTAACGAAGCAATTGCGGCCACAGAGCCAACCACGAGAGTGAGGCGAGGTGGTGCGCCAAAGTCGAAGACGGTACAAAAAGAAGCACCGAAGAAGAACGACAATTGGTGGGAAGCGGCGGCGATATTCGCGTTCATGCAGAAAGCCGTCAACCAAGGGCTAATACCAATCGGGCACGTCACTGCTGACAAAATCGCAAAACTGCTTGTCAAACGGTACGAGATCGAGGAGACAGAAATAGCAAGAAACGTCATCCTGGTCCATGCGCAAAATTTATGTTACATGATGGATCATCCGAGAAGGAAGAACATACAATTTTTTGCGAGCGAGCCGATTTACGAGGAGTTGTCACGAGGTCATAATCTTTCGGCCGCCGATACGCGGAGAGCCGAAAGTATAGAGCTACACCCACGGAAGGATCGTAGCCTGCTGAGAGACGACATGAGCAGTGAAGAAGATGAAAGTTCAGAACCAGAAACACCACGGCCGCGCTCTCCACCTCACGCAAGGAAAGGCGCACTGTCAGTACGCCGGCCAACCAGCGGGAAATATTCAGGCAAAGGAAAGGCTGCAAAACGAGGAAAAGGAATCAGTAATGGAAAAGCGCCTTATCATACCTTCTCATCAGATGAAGAAGAGGGTACGCGAAGCGAATCCGAGAGCGATGAAGGTATCGATACGCCTACAAACATATTATCTCCTGGGAAGCGAAAGCATGAATTCGAAGACCGTGAGCAAGGATCACGGAAACGTGCGGCCAGTGAAGCTCTCGACCAAGATGAATCGCCTTCTCCTTCAGATTCCGACGAAGCGGACCCGCCGACGACAACTCTACCATTGAGGTGGAACTCCAACAACGTCGCAGTGTTGTCTTCGCCCGCATTGTCACCACCTATCATCTCTACACCGTTACCAGAATACACCGCAAACGGTCCCGGGGACTCTTGGACGTGTACTTTCGATGGCTGCTCGCACAAGGTGTACGGAGCCAGCTCAGATGTCGGCCGAACGTTGATTCAAGAGCATTTCAACGACCACGCGAAGGGTCGACAAAAGGAAATCGGGTTGATCATGTCTGAGGAGCAGAAGCTGCGACTACCCGTCAAGTAAGTACCCCATTGCTGATATCTTGAATTCGATCCACCATCTTTCAGCACCACAGAAAACATGCTAACGTCCAAATAGCAACCTCCTCAAGCGAATCCGCGAAATGACAGCCGCACAAACACCACTAATTCCAGACAGCAGTCCCAGCGCAATGACGCCGCAGCCCATCGAGCGTACCTCATAAATACCCACTTATTCTTAAGCAATCAGTGCATGACTATGACATATTCTTCCTTCTTTCCTTTCCTTATTCCTCGCATTCTAGACACGGCATCAGGAGGCCTTACGCATCATCATCACTAGTTAGGAGTTATCTTACCAAGAGTCGGGGTTTCACATGAGGAGACGAATATAACGGCTACAGGGAGGGCTTAGAGTGTCTAGGTGTACAAAAGCCCATTCCTCACTCAACAATGATATTCGTTTATTCTTTCCCGTGAACTTCTCCTATACCATTCATTGAGTCTAGCTACGTGATTACTATGTCCATCGATACCCACGCGCCGTTGTCCAATGTGCAAACCATGCTGCTCGCCGAGCGTCGAGGGACTGTAAGGCGAAGATCACAAACCACTTAAAGACAGCTATTCAACTCTCCATCATACTAGCAGGTAACCATCAACACATCACCAGCAAACCACCCCTCAAACGCCCATCCAGAAAACACAGTGCCCTTTCCCCCCGAACCCTCCACCACCCACTCACACCCAGCGTAGTCTGTCATACGTACGCTTCAGCGCGAGAACCCGACATCCCATACCATACCTTACCCATCTACTCGTGCCTCTAAACGCACGCGGTGCGTGCCCTGGATGTGTGGAGTCGTGTGAATGGCACTCCCTCCCCCGTCCCTGACGTACACCGCGAAGGCCAGGCACTGTCGCGCCTCGAGAGGGGGAATTGGGTCACTGCTGTGAGGTGATGAGGTTCCTTCTACACGAGCGTTGTACGATATGGGAGGAGGGGGCGGGGGGGGGGGTTCGTTTGACTGTGTACCTAGTGTCGTGGGTGAGGTGTCTCTGTGTGAAAGGTTGCTGGTGGTTGATGTTTAGGGGGTGGTTTGAGGGGTGGTGTACGGGTTGGGCGTGTCTGTGGGTCAGGGAAAGGGGAATCGGACGGTCAGGGGACTTCTTGTTCTTCATGTGTGTGTATGTAATCGATGTATAGCTTATACGATCCCGAGCATACCTGCTAGTAGTGGTTGCTATACACCACCCTTCATTGTAGTATAAAAAGGAGACGCGAGCGTACAAATGCTCTGGGGTAAATTGGCTACGTCGTCGACGAAGAAGAAGAGGAGGAGGAGGAGGAATGTGGATTGTAGACATAGAAGGCTACCAACGGAGATAGACTCCGCATAGCACACAATTGGCGGGAACAATTCCAACGATAACCCCAGTCTTGGCGGTGAAAGTACCACGCGAGCTCAGACAAAAGAAACGAAAAGTAGAAGAGTTTCCTTCGCGGTGGATCCAGCAGTGCGGCAAGCTTGCATGTAGCATGCAGATCAATTTTCAACGACCAGTCTATAGGCGACGCACTCATCTGCGCTCGTCGAAGAGCACGATAGAAAAGAAAAAAGCAAAAGTCGACAGGATGCCTGCAGGATGCCTGCGGGATCTGTTGATATCAGTAGCTAGAAAGATGGGGATACACACGCGTGCGTGCGCGTGGAGGTTTTGCGATTCCGTTGCATTCTTGGGCCAACCAAAGAGAGGGGGGTGATAAGCAATGGCAACCCACGGTCAGACGATGGTTGACAAGACAACAAAGGGACGTTCGAAAATTGACGGATGGGATGGACGGAGAGAGGGCGCTATGAACCAGACATCAAGCATCTACTCTTTTTCAGTAGTTAATAGATAGGCCGATACTTCGGAAGTGACAGTAGCAGGGAATTTCTCGCCGGAAATATGTCCGTGAGGTGGTGAGTAGAATAAAGATTGGCCGAAGAAAGCGAACAGCTGATAATCATGTCTTGGAGGATGAAATGATAGATACGGAGGTACAGCATCTTGGAATTTTGGTATATTTTTGTGGTTGACTCGATGGGATTTTGTAATGGGGCGCCGGGGTGGCTCAGTTTGGGCGGATTCGTGTGGGGTACCTTTATCACTCCATATCCTTGTCTCCGTCCGAGGACCAAACCCGTACAGGAAATAGTTCACATGCTTGGGGGTTCAAACATGACCAACTAGACAGTCTGAGGAGTAGAACAGTTCGCTTGAGGCTGATCCCGGGGGAGCTAAGGACGTCGAGGGAGTTGAGATGAGTTTGTGTGACAATATCACATCGAGTCAACACCATGAACATGGCAAGACCTCCCGATGTCGTATCATGAGGTTCGCTCGGGGGCAACGGTCGGAAGGATGGATTTGGTATCGCTTGTTCGTGCGCTTGAGGTCAGTATGCTATGCTTGGTTTGTGCATTTCCATTTTGTTTCGATCTATATTGCACACGTGGTTGTTTGTGGTTGTCGCATCTTGTGCCCCCATACTACTAGTCACTTGAGTGGTTGCGCTTGTCGCTGTGGTGGTGAGCACGAGGGTGTATCTCATGAGATGGTACGGAGTAGAAGCGAGACGCATCTCCACTTGCATGTCTGCATGTCTCTAGATCTGCAGCTATTCACAGTATCTGTGCAGTTGCTAGTGATGGATCCGTAGATATTATCGAGGGTGTGAAGGGTGAGGGTTGACCTCCCCAGATCCGTGGGCGCGCTTATCATCCCAGGCATGATAAGACTAACACCAAACGGGTGATGCCCACCAAACGGGCCACGACGGGCCTACCAGAAGCCCCGAATCCAACCTCACCCTGCAACTCCCGCTCTTCGGCCAGACTTGGGGGAGACAATGGTCAGTCCTAAGTTCCTAGCTACTATCCACTATCACAAGGTCGCAATCATTCTGGGGACGATAAATATGGGCCATGCCCTGCAAATATGGGGACCAGAGAGCAGTCGTTCTTGTTCATCTTGTTGTGAACTCCTCTAGTCACCATCATCCCCAAGCAAACAACGGCATCTATCAAAACGACCATAACATACAACTATAACAAGCTTCATTCGACTCGGAGACGGGTCTCGAAGCACCAATAACCGTCAAGACGGATCCAGAACGCCAGCCACTCCTCTAACGTCAAGCCTCCTACTCAGGCGAGGAGGGATCACAACCTGGGCCATCGCACGCCTCAGCATCCAACCCCCCACGTCATAATAACATCTATTGCGGGGATCACTCCTATAGCCAAGCGGCTGCCTCTTCCTCGAGCTTCTTAAAGCCCGCCGCGGCCTCGACTGTCTACCATTCCGCTGAAGAGAGTTCATTTTCTTTCTTCGGTAATAGTTCCATCATGGAGAAGGTCAAGAATGGCAAGCTCGCCCACTATGCGAACAAACTCGCGGTTGAGGGCGAGGAGGGCCTTACCTCGACGCAGCTTATGCTGTTCAACCACGATCTCAAGCCCGTCGAGCCTGCGCGAAGAGAATGGGGTCCTTGGAATTTCGTCGGTTTCTGGGTTGGTAAGTCTTGACTATCTTGTTATCTTGATGACGACCATTCTTTTGCTATGGCTGATCGCTAACCAATCACATAGCGGATTCGTTCAACATCAACACTTGGATGATTTCGTCTGCACAAATTGTTGACGGACTGTCGTGGTGGCAGTCGTGGATTTGCGTCTGGGTAGGTCTCAAATGCTCGTAGTTCTTGACTTCGCGCTAATACATCTCCATAGTTAGGATACTGTAAGTCGTCGCCAAATATATCACGTTCCTATGCTCCTTCGCAGATGGATTGTGGGACGATCTTGTACCACATACCACTTTGAGCCTCTAGATCGATCTATCACAGACCGGAAGAAGATGCTAACTATTCTTACAGCAATCGCTGCGTGCTTTGTCGTCCTGACTGGTCGAATTGGTGCACAATACCACATCTCCTTCCCAGTCGTAGGCCGCTCCTCGTTCGGCATATGGGGTGCCCTATGGCCAGTCTTCAACCGTGCTGCCATGGCTTGTATCTGGTATGGAGTCCAAGCCTGGATTGGAGGAACCTGCGTCATGCTGATGATCCGATCTATCTGGAATTCATGGCGTCCGGTCAGTACATCTACTCTAACCACAACAGAAACCTTAACTGACAATGCACAGGACAACATCCACAACGGTATCCCTAATTCCGGCACAAACACCGTCGAGTTCGTGTCCTTCTTCCTCTTCTGGGCCGGATCGTTACCCTTCATCTACCCACCCGTCCACAAGATTCGCCATCTCTTCACAGTCAAGGCATTCTTCGTGCCCACGGCCGGCATCGCCTTCTTCATCTGGGCCATCGTCCGCGCAAAGGGCATCGGCCCCATCGTCAAGCAACCCGGCTCCAAGCACGGCAGCGAACTGGCCTGGCTCATGATCCGCGGCACCATGTCGTCCATCGCCAACTTCGCCACCCTCATCGTCAACAGCCCCGATTTCACGCGTTTCGCCCGCAAACCAAAGGACGCCCTATGGTCGCAACTCTTCACCATCCCGCTCGGCTTCGCCGTGACCTCCTTCATCGGCATCATCGTGTCCTCCTCCTCGACCGTCATCTTCGGCGAACCCATCTGGAACCCTCTCGACCTCCTCAGCTCCTTCCTCGACGAAGGCGGCTCAGGCCAACGCTTCGGCGTCTTCGTCATCGCCATGGCCTTCACCCTCGCCCAACTCGGCACCAACATCGCCGCCAACTCCGTCTCCGCGGGAACCGACATGACGGCCCTCCTCCCTCGCTTCATCTCCATCCGCCGCGGCGGCTACGTGTGCGCCATCGTCGGCCTCGTCATGTGCCCCTGGAACCTCCTCTCCTCCACCAACAGCTTCACCACCTACCTCTCCTCGTACTCCGTGTTCCTGTCCTCCATCGCCGGCGTCATGGTCTGCGACTACTACGTCGTCCGCAAGGGCTACCTCGAAGCCAAGAACCTCTACTCCGGCAAGAAGACGGGACCCTACTACTTCTTCTACGGCTTCCATCTCCGCGCCTACGCAGCCTACATTGCGGGTATCCTCATCAACGTCGTCGGGTTCGCCGGCGCTATCGGCCGCGAGGTCCCCGAGGCCGCGAAGCGCATCTACGACCTCAACTACTTCTGCGGCTTCGGCGTCGCGTTTATTGTCTACTGGTCGCTCTGCAAGATCTTCCCCATCCCTGCGACCAGCGACACGTGGTTGGAAGTTGGCGACGAGATCACGGATCTCAGCGTCGCGTACCATGGTAGCGACGACGATGTTGAGAGGTATGGGTATGGGGAGGAGGGTATGAGGGGGGGTAGTGGGAAGGGTGGGATCGTGGAGGAGTCGGTGCCGGGGAAGAACTTTTGATGTGCACGAGCTTAAGGGGTTGATGTTTATCGTTTTTTTTTTGGCTTTAGGTTATGATGTTGTTTGTGATTTGAGATACCATTGGTGCAGTTGGATGAGGGCCTCTTCCTGCGAGAGCAAGTCGAAGGGGACTTCGTGGGTTTCTAGAGGTAGTGTGGTAGATACACGGACGCCGAAGAAGAATTTCACGTTTTCAAGACAGTGTCGTGGTTATGCCGTACGTGATGATTAGACTGCATTTTATGAAGTCCGCATTTTGTTTATCTTCTAAGATTTTGCTTGGATGTCTGATCGCTGATGTGGTGTTGTGCAAGTCGCGATTCTGAGTTGATATCTTCTGTGATGCACCGGAGTATGAATTTGATATATATGACCTCAACGACTATACAGTACTTTGATAAATCGAGTCCTCATGCGTAGTTTCAAACCAAGACTCCGAGGTTCCTCGTAGCATGAGTTGCACGCACGTTATGAGTCGAGTCGCTCTGACTACAACAATCAAGTCTAGTCATAGTCATATATAATCCCATTGCAACACCACCTCGCAGACCATAACCCCAACGCTCTTCCGAATACCGTACTATTTTCACAATCAAGAACTTCGCATTCGCGCACAAACAAAACATGCTAAACCACTTCCTCCTCCTATGCTTGACCGCGACGATAATACTCGTGGCATCGGCGGAGATGAACATGGAAGCACATCTCCTCCCACGGCAGACGACGCCGACGATGGCGCCAAACTGGACCACCGACACAGCATGTTCCTTCTCCATCATGGTGCGAGAATACTGCTCCCGGTCCTCAAACACCTCCAACCCCAGCGCCTCGGTACTGATCCCCACAATCCGCGACAGCACAGGCTCGGAACTCCCCTTCCGCGTCCTCGAACGAGACTTCGATCCCTACCTCGAGCCGCTATCGCCGCTCGCCGCTTACAACCTGACGGGCGTGATCGACGCATACAGGATCGGCCTGCTGTGGGACAGGGAGGTCGGGTTCCTGCACACGTCTTTCTACATCGAGGGGGGGGGGAAACCGACGATGTTGTTTAAGACGCGCTGGTGCGAGTGGAGTGAGGGTGCGGAGGCACCGAAGGATGGGGAGAAGGAGAAGCGGGGGTGTGGGTATTGTGACAGGATGACGGGTAATGATTGGGCGGGGGGCAATGAGCTTGGGAATAGAAGTTGTATGGATGGGGGGACGGGGAGGACGAGGGTTATGAATTGTTATTTCAATTGTAAGAGGTGAGGGGGGTGGCTTGGTGGGAGGGTGGAGGGTGTGTGGTCATAGGTGCTGGTGGATGGTAGAGATAGGTCGGAGAAGGGGAGTCAGTGTTGAAAGTTGAGAGCAGGAATGCGTGGAATTACAAAGGGTATCGATATAAGTTTGCAGTCGGTTTTCGCTCATTCGAAGTTGCTGCGCGGATCGGGAGCAGAATAGCCTCTCCTGTACAAGAAATCTGATAATCGATCTTCCATTCGAGCAAACTGGGAAACGAGGTTAGCATGTATAGCTTTTACAAAGTCGCTGGGGATAAAAGCACGTACGAAGCTCTTCCGCTCAATCACACCGTCTTTAATCCAGAATCCATACCCGCCCATCAGATTTGCCATCATCACATCTGTGAACAATCGATCTCCTACGACTGCGATTTGTGAGGGCGACGTGACTCCCGAGTCAGAGTTCTTCTTGAACCATTCAAAGACTTCGGCTTTGCAACCTGGTTTCTGGTGATGCTGTTAGCGAATGCTGATTCGATGAAATGGAATTAGGCATGCCTTGGTAGAATGCTGCAGGACTTTCACGCCGGTGTTCTCTTCGAGAATGGCGGCTTCCTTGAGGTTCTTGTCGGAATCTGTACCGGCGGTGTTGGATACTATGAGGAGTTTTGAGCCGGGGTAGGCTCTTCGAAGTTCTTGAAAACGCTCCTATAATTTGTTAATTGGTGAATTTCTCTGGTAACGAACGTCTTGAAATCAGGAATTGTTAGAACAATAGTTAGATCATTGTCCAACGTTCTAGAGGAGCCAATGCCAACTTATGACTTCACGGAAATTGTAAGATGAGAATCGGTCCTCACCTTGTATGGAGGATGAACTTCATTTGTATGGGGCACAGCAAAGCAATTATCCTTATCCAGAACTATCGCCCGAATATCAGCATCCTTCTGGCCATCCTTTTTGGGAAAAGCTTTTGATAGAGGAATGGGAAGGTGATTGAAGGTGGACACGGTGTGCTGTGGGAGGCACAGAGCAGGATCCCTGATCAGCCTAAAGACGTTCAGAGTGCCGGAGATATTCATTGATGCTTCTAATAAGAAAATATTGATTTAAGGAGTAAACTGTCAACAGTGTAGAAAGATGCAGGAAGGTGGACTAGACCGTGCACGTGATCGAATATCAACTGGCCCAAGCTCTTTTGGATTGCGCTGGTCGGCAGAACTTCGATATTCCACAACGACGAAGACAAAACCACATATACACGCCCACCACGCGCCTCGTGCGGCAAACTGATCACCCGGAAACACGTAAACCGTTTGAAACCATTCGCGCGATCCAAAATCGACCAACATGACGAGCACGATCGGAATACCCATCAAGCTCCTCAACGAGGCAGCTGTAAGTCATAGCGATTTCTTCACAGTCACCCTTTACGTTTTCCAGATATATTGTTGCTGTGATCTGTCGAGCTAACATTATATCTCTAGGGCCACATTGTCACTCTTGAGATCACATCTGGCGAGGTATACCGCGGCAAGCTCATAGAAGGTAGGCAGCACAAGCGCTCAATCCACGACAGATCTCACTTGTACTAACCATTTCCCCAGCCGAGGACAACATGAACGTCCAATTGAAAGACATCACCGTGACCGCGCGCGACGGCCGAGTCTCGCATCTCGAGCAGGTCTACATCCGAGGATCGCACGTCCGCTACTTCATCGTCCCCGACATGTTGCGAAATGCACCCATGTTCCGATCGAGAGGCACAAGAGGCCGTGGTGTGGGTCTGGCGCGTGGAAGGGCAACCGTCAACAGGGCCAGGGGAGTGCGCGGTGGACGTTGAAGCGGGGGAGAGATTTGGGTGCGGATGAATACTGCGCGCGAAGACACTTGAATTTTTGGGGGAGGCCTTCCACATATAATGACGAGATGGACACGAGGAGAATATCAGCAAACACGACCACAGGACGAGGCTGGACACGCAATTGGAACTAGTCGTGTCAGGAGGGCTTCGAAGCTGCAAAACGTATGAACATTTGGAGAGGATAACAGCAGGAAAGAGTCCATCTGATAGATACCACGGACACAGGTCCGGCAAACGAATGTAAATCTTTCGATCCATGTGTGCCGAGCGATACGTCTATTATGCGATATATCCACATAGTCTTTGACGCACGGTATCCGTATTGCTTTGAATTGCTCTGTAATTGAGTTGCCACGCATGGGGAGCGGTGCGTAGTAAGCAATATTTCGCCATATAACTAAGGTAACTACGTAGTTCCACGCCCCGCCAGCTCTCAACTGTGAAAAGCCAAGACCTCCGCCTAAACTCCGCAACATCTTCACCAATTCCTACCACTATACTCCCCCAATCACAAATATAAACAGACTCAATGGAAATATTAAACCCAAGGCGTATTCTCGCCCTAGGCGCACCGGACGCTGGCGTCCTTACACTCCTCAAAGGTACACACAACCCCTCTCCAAACTCCACCCTCAACTTCCCCCAGCAAATAAACCTAACACAACGACAAACACCCAGAACTCACCGGCTCAACCCCCTCCGCCGTATCCAACACCATCGCCGGCCTGACGCACGACTTCCCCCTCACGACGAAATACTACACCGCCACGCTCCCGATCTGGATCGACGAGATCCCCTCAACCACGCTCTGGCGCGACGAGTTCAGCAAGCCCGAGGCGCGGGAAGTCGTGTCCGCGCTCGGGGCGTGGATATTCTGTTTCCGCAAGCCTGTGAGCGAGGAGGACGTCACGGCGATCCGGGATGTGCTGTCTGCGATCGCGGACGTGATTGAGAAGGCGATGGGGTATGCGGCGGGGGACCAGGTGTGTCTTGCGGTTGCGATGCCGCAGTCGACGACGCCGTATTTGGAGAAGAGTGGGGAGGAGTGGGAGGAGGTGTGCTTGGAGTATGGGTTTGAGTTTGTGGATTTCGAGAAGAGTGGGAAGAATGAGTTTGGGGAGGAGATGGGGGTTAAGAGGGTCAGGGCGGCGTTAGAGGCTAATGATTGGGAGGGTGGTGGTGGGGCGGGGAGTGATGATGAGGGGGGATTGTTGAGTTTTGATGGGGAGGAGGGGTTCGATGCTGAGGAGTCGGAGATGGGGAGGGAGTTCTTTGGGTTGAGGAGTGCGTTGGATGCTAGTAGGCATTTTGATGATGACGATGGTGAGGAAGATGGAGACGAGGAGGGTCAGGTGGAGGAACTGGAGAACATGATGAGGAAGATGGTTGCTATCAAAGGTGAGGAGCTTCCCTCGATGATTACTACCCTTTTCCATCACGAATGCATAGCTGACTTTTTGATATCAGAAATGGGCGAAGGTATGCCTGAAGCGGAGCGCAAACGATTTGCCGCGAAGGCCGTATCAGACCTCATGAAAGACCTGTAGAGGGCGACGAAAGAACTGGAAAAAGAAACAAAACCATGATACCTCAACTACGCTGTCCACAACATATCAAGAACGGGAAGTCCATCTCCCTCGCCGGCTTTCCATCCTCGGCCTCAACCTCCTTCCTCAGCACATATGCCACCTCAACGTTAACCTCATTGAACCCAACACCATCAATGATCTCCTCGGCCTCACTCTTCTTGATCCCATGCCTCTCCACCCCAGGCCTCTTAGCAATCGGATGAAACGGCACCGCCTCCGGTCCAAAATCCTCATAATCCGTCAACGCAATCCGGCCGCCATGTTTCAAACACCCAAACATCGTCCTAAACAACTCTCCCATGTCCTCGATATGATGCAACGTCAGGTGCGAGACGATGAGATCGAACCGATGCGCCGCATTGTGGTCCTTCTCGCCCCTCCGGCTCGCGAGCGCCGCACACGCGCCCTGCAGATGGAAGTCGTCCGCCGACTTGAGCAGCACGTTTACGGAGGCGAGGTTCGCGGTCTCCGGGTGCTCCAGCGCCGCGATCTTCTGGTCGAAGGCGTCGAGCATGCCTTGCGCCGTGTCGACGCCCACGAGCGATCGCACGTGCGGCGCGAGGTGGAAGGATAGGAGGCCTGTCCCGCAGCCGATTTCTAGGACGTCCAGGTCTGTGGTTTCTCTCACGTTAAATCTGAAAAGAAGAGAAAGGAAGACAAAATCACGATAGGACTAAACCGTCCTCATAGCTAATGCACTCCGTACCTCCCATCTTCACATCTCCACATCGTCAAACCTCAAGAACCAGAACAAGAAGTGGCAAATATAGATCACATGAAAAAGAAAACTCAGGAATTAAAAAGTTGAAAACATACCTTTACCCTTCCCCTCCGCGAACTCTGGCACACACCTCCTAATAGCCTCGAAGGCCTTGAGCGTGCTCTCCTGGTGCTTGACGTTGCTGTCCCACTCGGCGGCCTCGGCGCTGAAGCGCGCGTTGTTTATGTCTTGTGAGGTCGACATGTCTTCGTCTTCGTCTTTTCTTTTTGGATCTTTGAATCTGGTGTAGGTGTGGGTGTGACGGAGTAGTGGTGTGATTGTTTTTGTCGTTGGTATTGGATGTCGTGAGGTTTGAGGTTTGAGGTTTGAGGTTAGTTTACTTGGTTTGGATCATTGGTATAATTGAGGGGTTATTGATTTCCTCTTCAATGTGATTGTATTTCAAATAGCGCAATTCTGGTGTGAGAAGGAAGAACGTAGGCGGTCAGAAGAGAGGTAGTTGAATGTAAAGAGAAGGGAGGGGAAAGTGACGTCTGAGTGCGGAGAGGTTCAGCTATGAGGTACGAGTTTCCTAGGGTAGAGCTACAGCTGTACGTGGAGGCGAGGTACACGTATGTAGCTTTTCTTGGTAAGGTTGAGTGGATTGGATCAATAATGAATCGGCATCTGATGATGATGATGATGATGATCAAAGATGGTGGGGTTGGGGGGTTTTTGCGGGGTAGGTTCTAGGTAATGCTTCAGGGTCCAACATCAAGGCGACAGTAACATGTTGTAGTATTGTAGATGCTATGTAATTATGTGCTATGTGCCATGACTATCCTTTCGTTGTTTGAGTTCTTTAGTATCTATTATTTATTTCATGTCTAATCTTTTGCGTTGCTAGCAATTGCGATCAATAGCTACTACTAGATATCCATGGATCCATTCAAACTGAATAATCTTGCAATTGGAAACCCGAGGAGAATCAACATTCATACCGCTTCTTCACACCTCAGATAACAGTACAACTTCAGACTTATGAACAGACAGACACAAGTACAACTTGATGTACACAATGTGGCAGTCAGACCTCATGTACAATGACGACGATGATGATAGGTCAGATGAAGATTTAAGCTTAAACCGCAACAGCCCCAAGCTTCCTGCAGGTACAGGGATCATCGAGTAGAGGGGGAGAGGTTCTTTGCAGCAGCTCGTTACCGACGGTAGGGAAACATGACACACCTCGTGGATTCGAGGTGTTGGATGTTTATTGATATTGTACGAGTACTTATGTATTTTCTTGTATGTGTCCTTGGTGCTCATATGGCCAAGGGGCGGAATGCACGGATGGACATACCCTCCTGGGAACCAATTGATGGTTAGTATTGGCTGTTAGGTACGAGGAGGTGGTCAGTTAGTCCCAACGGCGTCTGTCACCTATGCTCTGACAGGCAGGCAGGCAGCAGGGTATTGGACGAGGGACCAATCTAGTGGGGATTAGGAAGCTGGCTTGAGGCGGGGAAGAAACGAGAAAGATGATAGATCGAGAAAACTACTTATCGTCTACGATTACAATACAGCTTTTTGATAGCCTCGGTATTGTACGCGTATGTACCCCGGGTTGCGATTGGTGGGGTATCATTCCATCGCGATCTTTGACGCGGGTTTTCCTTCTCTTTTGCTTTATCGGAATGAGGAGCTTGGTGACAAGCTGGAAGTAAGGAGGCAACGGCCATGTGGCAGAGCAAAGAAAAAAATCCAATGGACCATGTGCTTGTGGCACCTTGAGAAACTCGGGGGAGGCGTCATGTGGATGAACGGCTACGGCTGGCTGGCTGGATAGCAAAAGAAAAAGGAAAAAAAAAGTTCATAGTCAGCTTGCAAGGTACACAAGGGATCCTCTGATCTTGTGCAAATCCTTTTGCCTTGGACATGAACATGATCTACTAAGCCTGTAATCGCACGAGGTATACAGGGCGACGTAACATAAGTACTACCTTGTAGCCTTCTGGTCTTGTGCTTCTTGTCGATGTCACAACCTTGGTTGGAGGAGACGTTCTGATTGGGCGAGGGGTACACTGCCACAGCTCAGCTGGCGGCGAGAAGCACAGAGGTTATGATGGCGATTATGATGATTACGGAGTTCAATGTCGAAGGTGTGAACGGGAATGGTCACATGGCAAAGTAGCGGTCGCGAAGGTCTTGATCGTTGCCTTCGCCTCTCCTCTCTTCCGGTGCCTTGTCGTTACGGAGGACGTAAAGCAAAGAACCAATTGCTCATACCCACCTGATTCCAGAATAACTAATGTTTGACGAGTTTAGGTAACTACATGTACTAAGTTATGCTTCAGGTATACTGTGCCGCATAAAGAGGAGAAAAGTATGGGGTGATGTGATAGTGCTGGCTGATACATGGATACCAAAGGTAATAGAGTTTACTTATAGTGGATAGTTGGTTTGATTTGAGCCTCCCCCGCCTGTTTGATCTACGAGACATGCATTGGATTATGTATGATATATTGTGCTCAATTGGCACGGGCAGTAATAGATAGGTATTAATAGTGGCTGGAGGTGGACAGTAATGAATCCTCTAGCCTGAGTCCTGACCCCAAAGGAGGAAAACGCCTTAGTACCTACCAGTCGAAGGGGGAGGGAGGGAAAGACAAATGCCCACCGACCGCTAAGTTGTGTTAATCCAACCACAACCACCAACAAAAACAATCAAATCCATCCATCATTCATCAATCTGCTCCTTCTCATCTTCAAACTTCCGACCTCCCTAGGGATCGCGCCAATTCCCACCCATCTTCCCCCTCCGAGTCCACTTTCGGCCATGCGACATCGCTGCTGAGCTGTCCCTGCACCGACTTCGCTGTCATTTTGCCTCTACCCTTCCCCTTCCTTTGCCCTAAGGCGGACGGATCATCCCACTATCCGCCCACTTCGTCTGGTTCTGTGTGTAACTGTTGAACCTCGCCGAACCGCTGCTGGCCGAGGCAGCTCCCAGACCCATTTGACGACGACCATCCATTATGTCACACAATAACAACAACGGTAACAACAATAACAGCGCATCGCCTCAATCGTCACGACCTCCACAGCAGGGCCAACAGGGCCAACACACTCGTACCTACCAGGCTTGCATTCCGTGCAGACGTCGCAAAGTTCGCTGTGACCTGGGACCTGTCGACAACCCTCACGATCCACCTTGCGTCCGCTGCCGTCGCGAGAGCAAAGAGTGCTTCTTTTCCGCTACCCGTCGCAAGCGGAAGCCACAGGACGATGTCGACGACGTCGAGGACGAGCAGGATGACTACGAGATCCGCAATGCGAGAAAGCGCATGCGCGCTCCCGACCACGACGAACCCCACCGACCCCATCCCGTGAACATCAACCGTTCAAACTCCTACTCCGCACAACCACTTACCCCAGGTGGCTCTGTCGGGAGGCATGAACCCTTGCGACGACCCCATTCCAGCTCCGTGCCGCGCGACACCGAGGAGGACCAGAAGTTGAGCAACACATCGACCGCCATTTTGCAGGCGGGCGAGATCTACAGTGGGCATGATGCGCTGAACCTACTCTTCGAGGCTGCTGGCAGAAACGGCGACTTCAACCATCACCGGACGAACAGCACCTCAAGCCATAACAGGCCAACTCTAAACGCTGGCAGCACCCCCGGGTCCCAGACCGCCTTCGCCAGCCCGCAGGCAGCCGCGCAGCCGCAGAACATACGCGACACGCCAGTGCAGTCGCGGCCCGTCCCAGATCTCAACGTCGATCCAGCAATATCACAACAGTTTAACGTCATGCCCGAGGTTCCTAACGATGACCCGGCCTTTGCAGATGCTGTGAGAGCGTGGTCGAGGTTCCGCTTCGTCCGCGCGGGGTGGCTCACGGCGAAAGAAGCAATCGCATATATCGACTACTTCTACCGATACCTCTCTCCTCTGACGCCAATTGTCGTTCCGGACTACCGCGAATACACCTTACACGGCCGTCTATTGAAGGAGGAACCCATGTTGACCATCACCCTGCTGACCATCTCGTCCCGCTTCCACCAGCCCGCCACGCCCGGCGCAATCTCCCGCTCCTATCTTATCCATGAGAAGTTCTGGAAATACCTCCAGGGAATGATTGACCGCATGATATACGGACAGGAGCAATTCGGTGGTGGTTTCTGTGGTGCCGGCCAGCAGCCAGGATCCGATGTCAATCCACTCTCCAGGAAGGGTCTACGGACGCTCGGTACTGTGGAGAGCTTGATGCTTCTCACCGAGTGGCATCCCCGAGCCCTCCATTTCCCACCTGGGGACGACGATGACGAGCTTCTCCTTCCAGACGATCTCGGGGACAGCAGCTATGCTGATGGGGCCGCGTCTAAGGCAGATCTGAGGCAGGGCCCGGGAGGTCAACGGATCGACAGCTGGCTCGAACCGTGCTGGCGCAGCGACCGCATGTGCTGGATGCTGCTCGGCAACGCCATGTCCCTTGCCTTCGAAATCGGCGTGTTCGACGACACGAGCGAGGCCGAGTTCGAGGAGGCGAATTCCCATCTTTCCCATGCCACGGTCAAGGCGTACTATCGCCGCAAGAACCACCTCAAGGATCTTTTGATAATATACGTGACCCAGACTAGTGGAAGGTTGGGGCTGACATCGATGCTTCCCAAGGTCGAGCGCGAGGACGACTTCACGAAGAAGGCCACGCCGAACGAGCAGTATCAGGAACGAGTAACACGCATTAAGGCGCCGGCGCCGAACCTTGGAAACCGTCCGGACGGCCAGCGGCTACCTCTAGAATCCATCGCAACCCAGCATCGCCACGCCGTCCAGGATCTCGTGCTCGACTTCTGGGGCGAGATCGCAAAGATAATGGAGCTGGGCAACCTTCGCCTGTTCCCGAATCGCCGTCAGACCCGCGAGCTGCTCATGTCTGAGAATTACGTCGAGTTGTTGCAGCGGTTCCAGGAGCCCTTAATGCGTTGGAAACAGAACTTCGACCGCGCAAGGGAAGGTAAGCACTCCGATCCGCCTGATCAATATATGTATTGTGTGTGTATCTAACCATCATCATAGTGCCTGACCAACTCCGCCATGTCCTTCTTATTGAGTTCGAATATACCCGCGTCTATGTCAATTCACTAGCTTTACAAGCAGTCGTTGAACGTTGCACGCACAACACTCCATTGCAAGCACACGCCCAGCCACATGGTTCTGCCGCTTCCAAAGACACTTCACGAGACGGAGGTGCGATCCCGTTCAACACGCTGCAGAAGTGGTACGGCAACGACAGGCACTACATCAACGAGGTCATCGAAGCTAGTCGTAATGTCCTCCGAGTGGTCGTCGAAGGCCTGCAACAACAGAACTTCCTACGTCACGCACCCGTCCGAACATTCTTCCGCATCGTGTCTGTCGCCATCATCCTGCTCAAGACGTTCGCTCTCGGAGCCACAGAAGACGACGTTGCCTACTCCCTAACCCTTCTCGACCGGGCCGTGGAAGCACTCCGCACCTCCCTCGTAGACGACGTCCACGTCGGCAACCGTTTCGCGGACCTGGTAGAAACCCTGACCCACCGCATCCGCGCTCGATTCGTGCGCCTCGCTGCTAACGGCTCGACGGGCGTGTCGCGCGCAGGCTCTCGCTCACCCACGCGAGTGACAGCTCCGATACCCATGATGCCGCCACCCCAACCCATTCCCCAGCAGCAACAGCAGAACAACAACGCCCAGCTCAACCAACCCTACCCGATACCCTACCAACAAGGCACCGGCACCTCCGTCCCGGGATCACCCTCCCTCGGCGTGACCTCCTCAGGCCGCCTCACCCCGACCGCAAGCCACGCCCTCTGGGGCATCTCCTCCGAATCCTACGACCCGAACACAAACAGCATCTCCATCATGCCGCCTCCAGGCTTCGCCGCCCCCAACGGCTTCTACGACAGCAGCACCTCATCACTCAACCAACCCCACGACCCAAACCATCAGCAACAATGGAATGGCACCGGCACAGGCGCACAAGGCCAGGCATACGCTGGCAACGCGGGCGGCTTCGCGGGCGACCAGGACTGGCTCGCGCTCCCGCTCGACCCCCTGCTCAACCAGTGGGGCGCCGACATCACGCAGACGGCCATGGGGCCCGACGTTGGCGGCATGGACATGCTGGATATTCTGCTGAACATGGGAGGGCCGCCTGGTAGTGCTTAAAGGGAAAGAGAGAAACAGGGGAATTTGGATGATTTGGTGGGTGGATCTACCGTTATGTTTTGACTAAGGTCGTAATTATACCATTTTCGTTTTGTTGGCTGCTTGGATGATAAGAAGACTTTGGTCTTGTATTGCGATACCTTGTGCTGCGAGATTGGGAGGTTGTATGCTACTATCAGTCAGTCGAGTTGGGTTAGGTCAGATTTAGGTTTACACTTGGAAAAGTAAAAGTAATGAATTAGAGTCAAACGCATGTGCGTATGGACGTACACGTTCACATTTATCAGTCCCTCTCACCTGTAATGAAAGAATCTTCCATGTGGTGAGTAAGTTAGCGAATTGATATATCTCACCCTATAAAAGGGGGACTGGGTAGATTGACAATAGAACGACATGACACGACACGACACGACAACCATACAAACAGATCAAAAGTTCAAGGTGAATGTTATCAAATTAAGAAAAATAAGTTATGTGTTACTGTATTGTCATTTTTTTTTTCTCGTTTCTGCTCGGATAAGTCTCCCTCTCACTCCTTCCTTCACTCTCTCCTCAACCCACTCTGCTCATCCTTCTCTCTCTCCATCCTCCCCTCTCAAACACGACCTCCAACCCCCCTTCGCTACTCCTCCACCTCATCCCCTCTCCCCCTACGAGAAAAAGGAAAACCCAAAATGCATAAAACCCGCATAAACCCTTCCCTTACATGAATCAATCAATCAATCAATACATCCAGTCAAAAACCTCAATAGAAATACAAAACCCCCCTCCCCTCCTCCTCCCCTTCCACCCATTCAACCGTCCAAATCAAACACACAGACGTTTAAGAAAGCACGTTCGGCCTATTCCCCATATCCAGAATCTCACTCGCCACAACACTCCTCGTGGAGAACCTCACTTCCGTGCCAGGATGCTGGCGGAAAATCGGCGCCGTGTCGACGGTGTCGTGGCGTTCGTGGCGGACGTTCTTCCCCGGGAGGCCTTTTGTCGTCGAGGGTGTGCGCTTGGGAGTTGTCGGGGTGGTGGTGTTGAGCTGTTGTGCGGCGGGGATGGTGGGGAGGGATTGCTTCTGCGTCATGGAGCGTGGGATCGTGGGGACGGAGGGGATGCGGTCGGCCTCGTCGTCGGTGGTGGTGGAGGTGGTGGTGGAGGACGTGAGGCGGAATTGCTCTTTGAGTTTCTGGACTTCGACGCGGTTGGCTTGTTGGTTTACCCACGAGTCGACGGTGCGGAAGCGCGGGACTGAGGACCGCTGCGTCATGAAGGAGTCGCGTTGGTTGAGGGATTTCTGCGTGTCGCGTCGGACGTCGTGGGGTGTTTGGGGAGCGTTGGAGTTGGTCCAGCTGAAGCGGGAGACCATGTTGCCGAAGCCGGAGTTCTTTTGCGAGGCGGAGGGTCGGTTGGAGAGGAATTGTTTGAAGGTTGGGGGTGGGGGGAGGGGGGATTGGGAGCGGTCTTGTTGGAGAGGTTGGTCGGGGGCGAAGTAGGGGAGAGAGGTGGAGGATTGGCTGCGTGAGTCGTTTGTTTGTTGGAGAGGGAGAACAGGAGAGGATGGTGTCTCGCTGATGTCACGGCGGTGGGAGTTGTTGCGGCGTGGTGGTGGTGAGTCGAGGAGGAATGAAGATTGCTGGGGAGATGACCGCTGGGCAACTTGGCGGTTGATGCTGCAGAGTGTTAGTCGTTGAGCTGGTACTACAACTAGTGATTGATGAAGGGGAAGGGAGAATAGGGACTGCAGGGTGAATGGAAAAGCGGCAGAGTTGGAGTGTCTCATATTCTGTACGTCTGCTGACGGAAACGAAACATCCATCCACTCGCAATGGGACCGACTACACCTCCCCAGATGGACCTTTCGTGATTTGGAATCACATGCATGAAGGAGAAAGAAATGAAGGGGATGGGGATGCAAATGAGATATCCACGTACCTATCGTTGCGTTGGATGTCCTGCAGCGGTCTCTGTGACGAGATGGACCCAGAGCGAGGAATTGAAGCAGCCCGTTGAGGGGGAGTGACGGTATTCTGCCTCATCTCGTCGTAGTCGTCCATGTACGGCTTCTTGTCCTGTTGCCAGCCAGAGGCTTGCTTCGGAGGAGGAGCTGGTCGTCGTCCCATGGCCCTGTTCTTCACCTGTCGAGAGGCTTCCGAGAACGACAGACCACGCTTTCGCATAGTGTAGATGCCCAGGATGATCATGACAATGACGATAGTTGCACCTGGAGAGATTCAGGTCAGCATACCTCTTTTCGTACAGATTAATACACCACCATTCAACATACCGATAGACCCAGCCGCAATGAGCAGATGCTGAGTGGTTTGCGAGATGCCTCCCTTCTCCCTCGGCGGTGGTGGTGGAGGAGGAACTGATTTCACACCAGTAACGGTGGGGTCCCTATCCGGAAAAGCCGTTGCCTGTGCCTGTTGGGCATTGGGAGATAATGTGACGGTGATCTGTGACCTCATTAACAAACAAACTTCCTTTCCACAGTTCGACCCAAGTTGGGATTCCATACAGTTGGTTGCCCGCTGAAGACTGGAGAAGCCGGCAGTATGTCCTCATCGTCGCTATCATCGCCATCGCTGTCATAATCGGACGCAACAGCAGCAGCCTCGAGGTTGAACTTGGGCAGTGTGTTGTCGACGTCGTGCCTCCTCACGATCCGCCCAATCGATCCTGGTTCAAACGCCCCCAATCCATGCACCTCATCCTCCTCTTCACCACCTCCCACCACACGACTCCTCTTCACAATCACATAATCAACCTTCCTCTCGACCGCTCCAAGGTGCCTTGCTACTGGCATTGTTGTCGTTGGTAGTTGTTGACGTTGTTATTCGAAAAGATTGATCCCAAGTTTGATATTCCCAGTGACGGGGGTGGAGGACTCCCTCTCAGACTTCCTTCTGCTGGATGGCGGCCAAAAACATCTCACAACGGGGGAATTGTCGAAGGTTGAATAGGCCGGCTGAGACCAGAATCCTTACAGTCCCAAGCCTGCTAGGACCGATGTTGAAGGGAAACGTACGCAGTACGTATGTATATAGTGCAATGTAGTTGTCGGTATTGCAGGTATCAAAGTTATAGAGTGGTCGAAAGAATGAAAGAACGAATGAATGTAATTGATTTGGTTTGTCGATTTAGAAAGGTATTAGCAACAGCAGCCCGGCTGCGAACGAAGGACAAAAGAGAAAAGAAAGGGAAGAGAGAGAGAGAGAGGAGAGTGAGACAGAGTAGGAGAGGGAAGGGGTAGGGTTAGCAGATGATGCAGCAGCAGTGCGGAAGTGTGGACCGGGCCAGCGTTCTCGAACTACAACAACATGGGAATTGGTAACGAGGGCGGAACGGAGGACACAGCGAGGGGGGGAGGGGGAGAGGCAGAGGGGAAGAGCAATATGAGGAACGTCGCATGAATCGAATGCTTGCACTAAAGTTGAATCTGGCTCCATCTAGGTTTGAAGGGAGGTGGAGGGTTTGGATGTGTTAGGCGTGGCCTTTCCACCAATTCCCACGCGTCCTCTTGCCCTCCAGGCGAGATTAACTCCCTTCATGGACATTCATGGGGTGCATGAGGTAAGGCTTGGAAGGTTAATTGCAGGTAAATTTGCTGGATTGGGTGGAATCGACGAGCGATTGGGGGTGGATGAGATGCGACATGAAGCGTCCGGCGAGAGCTTGTCTTGGAGTCGTCTCAGATGGCGGTGGTAGCGTTTCAGGGCCCGACCCGCAAGGCTAGTTAGGGCCAGGGGTCAGGCAATAGACTCAATACAATACAATAACAAAGACGCACTCGACTGGGACTGCAGATCAAGGCGCGTTAGCGACACCAGGGGGTTAATACCGTATTGTCTCTTGCGCCCGGTCGATCATAGGCTTTGATTGGGTTATTGGGTCATTGCTGGATCAGTAGACGATCAATAGACATGGCAGTCCATACCATAGCTCCCGCTGCACTGGGGCTCGCATGTGCCAGGAACACGAGAGCCAGAACGATCCTAAGGAGAATGTCACGTTCACGGGGTCGAACCTAAATCGCGAAGGGGAAGGGGAAATAGTTTGCTCTATAAACTTTGCAAACATCAGGAGGTCCAGGTTCAGTGTAGATTGTTCCACCACTCTCATGACTCGGTTGCTCACGAGGATGTACTTTGTATTGCGTGTATTGTGTAAGTAAGCCAGATCTAGATAGAGTAGGCCCAGGCGCAGACTCCATTGAAGAACGGAATTAAGACCGCAGCCACAGGTCGGAGATGTCGATGAACAGCCTCAGATTTATGAATGCGTTGACGTCACCCGCCAGAAACACATGAAGCAATTCGTAAAGATAGAACAATGGGGACGGCTCAGAGAACATTGCCGCAATACACGCACACAGTACTCGTAATTCCTCCGGCACCTACAATAATCGAATCAACATGCTTGAGTATTAATGGAGATGTATACGAGTTCTGGTTGAACAAGCCACATTCTCTTTCGTCCACCGCTGCGCCTCGTCTCGCCTTCGTGGCGTTGGTACGAGAGAGAGAGACGGCGTGAATCAATCCCACCAGGAGCCAAGTCGTGCTGAATAAACAACAACAACCCTCCAGCCTAGGTATCCTGTCCTATTCATCTAGGTAAACACATTCCCTCCCCATCTTCGGACCGTCCTGGACCGACGGCCAGCGCCGAGCTTTTCGGGAGGTGTTATTGGCGTTTACAGTTGGTGGGAGGGCAGATGCGCAACAAGTTTCGAACAGTATCAGTAGTAGTTCAGACAGGATCGTCAAGACGGAAGCATTTGTTTCCTGAGTCCCAAAACGCCAATGCCTTGCTTCAAGCAAGCAAAAGCGCGCGCATACACATGCTTCGGATCTTGGGATTCCTAACTTGTAGTCTGGAGTTGAGGAATTGTCATCAACACGATACGCGGTGTAGGGATGGGGAGAGGAAGTCAAACTGAGTAAATCTATGCGGAGATAGCGAGAAGGGAGGCACTTGAGGATGATGCTAATTGCCGCCATCTCAGCCTCGCCAGTGGGGCATAGGAGCAGCTGGACGAGTGGCTGTCGGTTACTTTCATTCCCGGCCACTCCGTATAGCGAGCTGAAGGAGAGGCGAGTGGAGAAGAGGAGAGAAGTTGAGAGAAAGGAATAGAGGAAATGGCGGTTTCCTATCGATGTTTTGACCGGTACCATAGTGATTTCTTCATTCTATCTACACGATATTTACACGTAGCTAATTACCTATACCTGGGGTAGTTCGTTGAGTCCCGCACTTGCATGCATACATGGCTGTGCAAAATAGGTACCACAATGTTATAAGGAAGAACAATGGAAGCATGGAAGATAGAAGGAATGAAAGTCGGTCGGCCGGCGTAGTGCAAGGCCAATCGTCATCCTCAGGAAAACTTCCGGTCTGGGGAAATAAATCGCAGTGTTCGTGGTGCAATTTACTGCGCCTGTCCGCAGTCAAGCTCGTAGCCGTGGATGTGGATATGGAATAGACTGTGAATGTGGCCGTGACGGCTACCGTGACTATGGCCTGGGGCTGAGCCATGGTGTTCAGCCCAACATCATTCGTCAAAACTGTGCTTCGCCTCTCCGTCTTGGTCCTTGGGGATGGAGTTACGATTTTGCTTGCTCATCATCAACTGTCAGTCATCATTCGGATGTTCTGTGCCGTAGTGTATAAGTAACCTCTTCGCTTGCCCGTCATCAACTCGCCATTATCCAACAAGTTCTGTTAAACCCGAGTCCTAGATCATCTTCTAGCATAATCTTTTCTCCGTCGTCTACCGAGTAATCAATTAATTACTTATATTTAGGCGTTGCTGCCCCTCCATCCAATTCCTCCGTTTATCGCCCCCTCTCTATCATACAAATAGAACCCCTCGGACGTCATCCGACGACCTCTATCTTCCCCCAACACAACATAATAACACAACCACCACAAACAATAAATCCTAATTCAACCTACACCGCCAAAATGTCCGACCCTTACAACAACCAGTACAATCAGTACAACAACCAGCAGTACCCCCCGAACCAGTACGGCTCTCCCGCACCCAGCCAACAGAGCGGCTACGGGGCTCCGGGTTACCCGCCTCAGCAACAGGGCTACGGCCAGCAAGGAGGATACGACCAGCACAACCAGCAGGGCTACGGATCGCAACAGGGCTACAATCAGTCCTACGGACCTCCCGCCGAGGGTGGATTCCAGCACGGCCAGCAGGGAGGTTACGACCAGCAGTACAACCAGCAGCAGCAAGGGTAAGTCAATATATGTCCCCTCATTCCCCCACGTTTCGAAACGCACCATCGAAAGAGTCATGAACAAGTCACTAACATCATTCCTCTCACACAGTCAATACGGCCAGCAACAATACCCGGGCCAAGCCCCCTCCCAGCAATACCCCCAGCAGGGAGCCTACAACCAGTACCCTCCGGACCAGCAGCACAACGCCTACGGAGGTCAACCCCAGCAGGGCGGCCAGCAGCAGTTCGGCGCTACCGACCCCAACGCTCAAGCTGAGGGCGACCGAGGCCTGATGGGTGCGCTCGGCGGAGGCGCCGCAGGTTACTTCGGCGGCAACAAGATGGGCGGCCACGGTGTGCTCGGCGCGCTCGCGGGTGCCTTCATGGGACACAAGGCCGAGGACCACTTCAAGGACAAGAAGAAGCACAACAACAACGGCGGATGGTAATAGACGATCCATTCTCCGCTAGTGTTGTAGTGGTCAATGGCTCCTTGATGTTTTCCTAGTAATGATGGCGTTATTCTTCTGCAATTCTCCGAGACATGGGTTGCTCGTCGTGTCGGGCAGATCAGTTCAGATCGATCACACTGGCATATTTTTTTTTCCTTTCCGGGCATCATTGGGCGGTTACCTACTTATCTATCTTATTCCATTCCATTCTCATGGTCGCGCGGGAAAAAGCGTTACCAAAACGGCATCTATGTAGCATGCGAACGAATGAATGAACAATCCATGTTTCCCTCCTTCATGACACTACGATTGCAATATGAATACGTGAATGTATGGAAATCGACTCATCGTTATCTGACTCGACATGATTAAACGCAAACACTCAGAAAAAAGCAATAACTCCCTTCAAAACAAACCCACAATTCATACAGTCCTTCCATCGATCCGATTGTTTTGAACCCAATCACTCGAACCATCGAACCATCGAACCACCATTGTCGATATCCCAGTTCTCCCCATCAACCAAGTCATTCAAACAAATTGATAACCCCCAAATCAAATCAAAAGTAACATAACGAATACGCAATTCCATTCTGCCAAAACATTACCATCCCCCTCCACCATTTAATTATCCAGAGCCTCAGACCAAACGTCGCGCCTCGTAGTTCGTTTCAGGCACCGTCTTCCCACGGCACGGCGACCCACAAGCAATAACAACCGCCTGGCCTCGAATTTCCAGATGGTTTACCGGGGAGACGGGAGGGAGATGAAGGGTTGAAGTTAGATATCTTGATATTTTGTACACTCTATTGGTTTTCTGCAATTGTTTGGTGGGTATGGTGGCATACTATGGAATTGAGCGCTACGTTGACCGGTTTTCCCGAATGGCACAATGCAACCACCGCCATAGGTGTGTACTCATACTGTTCGTGCATTCAATCCACCTCAATCCAATTCAATACAATACACTTATATCGGACTTTTTATAGTAGAGCGATTATTATCACTAGCATCCTCGCGAATTGCCCTATTTCCCCTTCCACGACTGTACTACATTCCCCTCTGTCGGCAACGTTTTAGCACCATTCCGAGATTGACTCGCGACTGAACCTACCCTCATCATCTTGCAATGTATCTTTGACTTGTGCTCCAATTTCCTTTTTTACTTTTTTGTTTTGTTCATAGTTGTTCAATCTACCCTAATACTTGCATTGGTGACGTATGTGCACATTGCATAGCGTGTAGTAATTTTTATCTGTTTTCATGTAGTCTTGTTCTTCGCGATATGCGTGCAATACCGATGATTCCACGCGTCCACTTTCCAATACTCATCATTTCTCCAAAATTAACCACAATAATAGTAGAAAACCTTTACACGGTACTCCGTCATCAAAAAATCCAGTAGATTCCATTCAAAATGATTATCTCGAAAATAATCGTACGATATTACGGACACTCTCCTCCACCCTCCTTACACACTTCCGGTCTCCCTCTCCCTCTCCCGCTTCCGCCCACAAGATGAAAAGACAATATCCGAGCCGAGCGGAACAAGAAAAAACGTGGGAAAGTATAGCCTAGCATACCGAAGAATAATTGATCTACGATGGCCCGGTAGACGGTGCGGTACCCCAGACACAAGCACGAGAACAAAGTCCGACGGGTCTCGAGAATCCGGGATTTCGTAATGCATATCACACAGATGGTACTGGAGCCAACGGACAGGACGGAGGGAGAGAAAGTCCGGGGAGTCAGCATTTGGATTGGAATGAGTTATGTCATGGGTTGTTCTTTCTCGTGTTTCCTAATGTAAATGCATGTGCAGCGCGCTCCACACGCATGTGTTATGCATAGAGGGACGGTTTAGGGAGAAACAAAAGGTCGAGTCTAGAATCTTAAAGGTCTTATGGTGAAATGGATGAATAAGTCATTGATGGTTAGAAGATGATTACTCTTTACTGTGCATTTTTTGCGAGGTAGACATTACGAGCGTCACCGGCCTCATGCGGCCCTCTCGATAATGAAATGGTATCTTATTTTGAACCCTTCTTTCGGAAACCCGTGAACCATGACCAACCATGAATGCCCAATTTAAGTCCGGACATGATGCGAGAGAAACTCCTGAACTCCTGATTTGTGATATCTTTGCTCTTTCCCTTAGTCGTCAATTTTTCTTTAGTGATCCCTTGCGCGTGTCAAAGCCAAGGGTGGAATCCAGTCCATCATGATCCACAGTAGAAGCTGCAATCGACCGTACGTCTCTGCACACGAAGTCAGCCATCAATATCTCTAAAATTAAAAGTAAACAGAATAGTGAATACAAGAGAAGAAAAAGAACTTACCCTCGGAATGGCCAAGCCCTCACACCTACGATCCCAAACCCCACTCTTGCACCAATAATCCTCCCTCTCCTCCTCTCCAGTCCCCCAAACCTCGCCCTTATACTCGAACCTCATCTCATCCCCCTCGGCCCAAACCCTCAACGGCGCCTCATCCTCCTCTAAATCGCCCACACCTTGAATTTCATACCCTTCCTCTACGTCCCTGCTGTTCTCTAGCTTCACATACCCATTCTCATTCCCCGGCCGCTGCGCAGCGACGTTGACGAACCGGGCGTGCTGGGGTGCAGAGGGCGGTGGTGGGAGGGAGATGGTGCGGATTTGGATGTAGGATGTTCGGGGCGGGGTGGAGGCGTTGCAGTATTGGAGGTGCGTGGAGCGGAATGTGCATTTCTTTGAGGAGTCTTTGGGAGTTTGTTGGAGGGTTTCTTGTTGCTGGCGGTGGTGGAGAGGTGTGATGTCCGCGTTACGTGGTGGGATGCTGTATGCGAGGATGGTGGTGGAGGTGGTTGTGAGGGTGGTTATTAGGGTGGTGAACTTCATTTTTGCGTAGTAGTTTTGGTGTTGGATATTGTAGTAAGTCGGGATGGAGGTTGAATTGCTATGCCATTCAATTCAGTTCGATTATGGTCTGAACGGGGGAATATAATAAATATAGGTAGTTAAGGATAGATAGATATATTGCGATAGAAAGGCAAGACAGACCAGACGGCCATCAACCACGGTTCTCCCCTTCCTTCTTATTCCTTTCCCACCCAGCAGCCAGCAACTGCAAGTATCCACCCCGAGAAAGGGAATAAAAAGTCCGATCTTACTTCGACTGTGGCGATGAGAAGTTGGAATGCGTAAGAGCGAGTTGAGTCCATCCTAATGCCCTTGCTTCGCAACGCCCGTCCGTCCGTTTGTCTCCAGTCACCCTACATCCAACGCGTCGCTACGTATCTTGAACTAGGAGTATTCACGTCTCGCGAACCAGACAGCACGCTTTCTCCCTTGATAGTTGACAACGAGGAAGACAAGAGACGAGAACGAAAGACCAATCGATCCCTTACAGCATCAATTGACTCCACGACACGACTCGTATTCGAGAGAGGAAGGGCGTAACAAGAAACGAGGCTCTGCATCTCCCCTGTCAGACAGCGCAGGGATCGACGGCCGTTTTTGTTGGTAGGCCTACGGATAATGGACTCTTCTTTTTTTAAGCTACGGTTTCGTGCGATATGCAATGTCAGTTGCGGTTATTGGACATGCTCTCTTTCTTCTTCCTTTCGCGAGTTGGTGGTCCAGAAAGGAAGGGTAAATAGCATGCAGCTCAAGAATCGCGTCTACCAACGAACCATCTATGTACGCACATGCGCAAACGTATGCATGTAGTCAATGTACACGTATGTCTGTTTTAACAGCCTGCACCTTCCAGTAAGACATCTGAAATGCATAGACACTCATAGCACCCGCAACGATATAACGTCGAATGGCAAGATTTGTGAGTCTTTCTACTGCACTGGGGGCTGTTTGGGAAATCTGACGTTTGCTGATACGGAGATGGCGGGGCGCATTGTTTCATGTCAGTTGGTTGCGTTGGCTGTGAGTGGGTGGCTGTGAGGAGGGAAGGGAGGGGCATGTTTGAAACAATCCGTAGAATTAACCAGTCATGCGCTGATACGTAGATGTGAGGGTTGGAGATGGTTATGAAAGGTACAAAAAGTTTATTCATTGAATTATAAATTTGATTATTATGATCTCACTGAACATGCACGTTTGATGATGAATTTATGCTGGTTTGGTGGGAAATGGACGAATGATAAAACCACATTTGAGGTAATCGATTGCTACTTACATTAGGTAGGTATGGAAATTTCGATTAGAAGTATTGAAACTTTTAGATTTGGCTTTGATCACAAGCTCTTATAACAACTACAAAATTATCTATCATCGACATCATCCAAGAAACCCACTCCAACTCTCAGATCTTTTCCTCCGTAGCCACAATTCCTTGTCCTCCTACCGCAGCTTCGTCATCTCCACCACTCCCAATCTTCTCCTTCGCCTCCCTCTTACTCAAATACAGAATCAACAGGATCAGAAAGAACTGCACGATACTCGTCGCAAGACTGCTCCTGAACCCCATGATCCATCTCGGCGCCCCGGTGGCAGGGAACAAAGCCACCTGCGCGCCGGCAGAGATGCCCTGGCCGATGGAATTCATACTCGCAGTGACGACAGCACGTTCCTCGGCGTCTTTGGCCATGATGACGGTCGCCCAGCCCATGCACATTGGGGAGATTGCTGGAGATGAATTAGCCATTGTCAGAAAGAGCATGGATGGTCAAAGGGCAGAAAAGCAAGGATGAAAGAAGACGGTAGCAACTCACGAGCAATGAAACCCTGCAACATAAACGCCGCCAGACGGCCACTCTCCCCAACATCCCACACATTAAGCATCACCATCCCGACAAAAACCGGCACCGTAGTCACCAGCGCCGGGATCCAAAATCTACCGTTCAACCGGTCCGCCGTCACGCCTGCAATCAGCGCCGCAGCGATCATGACCGCCGACGTGATCGTCGGCAGCGTGTTCACCTGCACGATGGAGTACTTCTCAGGGCTGTTGGCGCGCAGGTAGAGCGAAAACGGCTGGCCACCCGGCAGGAAGTTCAAGTCAAAGATGGTCCAGAGTGTCACGAAGACGTAGAAGTGCCAGCGGCCGAGGACGCGCTTGAAGATGGAGGCGGAGATCTTGAGGGTGGGGGGACTGCTGAGGCCGGCGATTCGAGCTTTTGCGAGCGCGAAGTCGCGATCTGTGAGGGTGAAGGGCTTTTTGCGGGAGGGGATGTCGACGAAGAAGACGTAGCCGCTGTGAGTTTCGTTAGTTGTTTTGATGTTCAGGGGTAGGACTGAAGTGAGGGAAATGGACTCACAAGAATGCGATACCGAGAGTGATGATACCGTCGCAGATAAAGAGCCACCTAAAATCGATCAGTAAGTAGAAGTTATGATCGAGTCCATCCACTTCACGTACCTCCACCCAGAAAGCCCATGCACGCCATCCAAGTTCGTATGCGCCGCCGCCTGAAGATATCCCGCGAACATCGTGCCCGCTGGACTCGCAATGAAGAACAACGCAATCCTCCTCGCCACCTCAGTAGGATTGTACCAGGAGCCTATAACATAAATCGTGCCCGTAAAGCTGCAGCACTCAAACAATCCCACCAGAAAGCGAAGAGCGTAAATAGCCTCGACGTTCTGCACGAACGCCAATCCGAGCGTGCTAATGCCCCATCCGAATTCCAGAGTCGGCAGGACGATGTTGGCAGGGTATCGAGTCAGGAAGTAGCAAGCTGGAATCATGAACCCGCAGTACGAGGCCCAGAAAGTCGCGGTGATGTAGTTGAGTTCGTTGCCCCATAATCCGATTTCTTCTCTCATGCCACTGTTGAATTCGTCAGCTACCAAAATATCGAAACGGTGCACATGCAAATTACGTAAAGGCACTCACCTAACGAAAGCATTAGTGAGAGATTGCTGGTCCAGATATTTTGTGAAGAACGAAAGACATCCAAAGATCAGGATACTCAAATCGAGCTTCAACACGACAAGCTTCTCCGAACTTGGCATGTCTTTGGGATACCAGCCCAGAAAGCTCACGAAGCGGATCCATAGGTTCTCTTTCCCATCCTCTGTATTGCTACTACCGTCAACGTCGCTCCTTGCTGGCGTGTCGTTCGCCGTTGGTTGGACAGTCGTGACTGGACCTACTTTGCTAGTAGCCATTTTCAGGGATAGATGTATTCACACATTCATTATTCCAATGCATTCATAGTCGTTGCTACCATTATATATGATAATTAAGGAAAATTCAAGCCTTTACTACCCTTGTACGTATCTTCGACAAGTCGGCATATCAACAACCCCCAAAATCACGTCAACGCAGCTCATTATTGCGGCACGAACTCCAACCCACCAAAGCTTCTTTCTGCCACCCAGGAGCTTAGGACCGCGCCTCAACGCTTGACTCGAACTTTACCATCGTTTCTCCGATGGGATGATTCAGGTCTTGTCTTTCATTGGGCCGGCACGTCTGTCGATGTTGTGCGGAGGGTGGGTAAGCGGAACGGCGTGGCTTGATGCGGGACGGGAGGCATAGGTACTTGTATAGTCGACGCCATTGGCGAGCGAAATCGGGATGGAATGGCATTACTTGATTCCGATATAAAATGCCATTATTCTGATTTGATATACTGTGCTCTTGGTCTGGTAAAGATACGATCTCTAATGATCAAGCATCCTCACCACGTGCGACAACCACTCGCAACAATTTACACCAACTTGGATATGAGAACTAGTTCTCCCCTCAACTACAGTATATTGTAACATCAAATTGGAGTATTGGAAAACGCGAGAATCAATTGAAATAGCACGCCTAGTGTTCAGAGATCTTGCACAATGGTGCTCCACACTTACGCCATCGTGTAGACGCGAACTACGTCCCGGGTGAGATCAAGCGGGCACGACAACGAACGACGCGTTGTTAGGAATTACTAGTAAAAATTGATGGTAGTGAGTGGAAGGGATGAAGTTGAATTTTTGTGAATGTGGAGGGAGGAGTGGACGATATGTATCAGTTAAGGGCTGTCATACTCGGGTGATTGATCAATCGAAAAAAGCCTTAAAGCAGAAGAGATAATTCAGTGTTCATAGCGCTCGTACTCCTTTTATGTTTTTTTTACACATATTTAAATTGTTCTACGACTCAAAGGGTATCGTCAATGTCATCGTGATCACAAAAGTCCTCCCTCAACCAAACCCTGTCGACATTTGCGCCTTTCCAACAAAAGGCATATCTCTCTTTCTACAGCGCATAACAAGATTCAAAATCGACACCTAGCTCAGACGAAACCGCATCGTCCCATCAACGGAAAACCCAGAACATTCAACTCGGGCTGTCTGTTGCCTATCTTACTCCCCACGAGAGGCTCTATTGTCTCTCTCGCTCTTTCCATTCATCTTCTTCCATTCGTCCCACACTCCTCGCCAGACGTCCTTGCTCGCCCTGTCAAGTCCCGTAAACATGGCCTGCAGCGTGTCACGGTCCATGTCGGCGACGCTGATCGTGTCCCAGAGGCCTGGAATCAGCTTATCTCTTACGTTTGGCTCCAGCCTGCCGCTGAGGGAGAAGCGACAGAAGGATGCGAGAAGGGGGTAGATGAAGTGGCTTGCGTATTCCTTCGCGGCTTTGACGGGGTCGTTGAGCGTGGATTTGGTGCTGGCGTTGCGTTGGTGTTTCGTGGTGGAAACGGAGGATTGCGTGGGCGATGAGAGGGTGGAGAGGAGACGGCTGAACTGTGTGGCATTCGCGGGACTGAGTTTGATCTGGGAAGATGCGGATGATGAGCGTAGCCAGAAGGGGAGTGAGCTTCCTCGGCCAGCGTGCGGTATAAACAGACAGAAGAGTAGGTTCTGGAGGGGTGGAAGGAGGATGTGGAAACGTCCTCCCAGGCGTCCTCGGTGGAGAAGCAGGATGAGTCGGCTAGTCTCGCAGATTCGCCCGTAGATCGCAGATGCGTCGGAGACAGGAAGACTTGGGCTAGCACGGGACACAATGCTGGCAATAGCAGCCAGAACGCACTCGATGCCGTGCTGGTTGGTGCAATGTGGCTTGTCACGGATCGTGACATTGATGGCGTCCATGAGAGAGTTGAAGGCTTCTGAATCAGAAACCTGCTCCAATCGAGTGCAGATGGTCGGCAAGATCGATAACTGCTGTGTCCGTATCTCTTCATCGTCTGATGTCTTATCGTCGAAAGTAGACAAGATAATCGGAAGAGAGACATATGAGTGAGCTTGGTCGCTAGACTCAACGTTCGAAAGATCAACCGCGAGTGCCACTCTACCGAACAGTGGAATCGAAGATACAACATCATGTATGGAGCGTGCAATGGCGCCGCGAGCTGCAGCCGTGGAAGTACTACTCAGCACGGCTGACGATGCTTTGATGAAATCTTCAATGGATTCTACCGGGCACAAATGATACTTCCCTATGACCTGGATGAACCGAGTCTTACTTTCTCCTGTCTCCAGTGAGGCAAGCAGATCGCTGGACCAAGTAGATGCAGAGCCATTGGATTGGAGCTTCTGATCCAACCAGCCTTTCAACGAGGAACGCGCTTTGTTGAACAACCCAGTGTCATCGTTCAGAACTTGGGAGGGAAGATCGATGTAAGCACCGAGGATCCGATCTTCAGCGCTGTACACGTCGTTCAAGCCTTCATCAAGTATATCTAGGAAGCTCTCCCAAGAGGATATGTCTTCCTGCTTGGGAGCCAACAAAGTACCACTGAGTAGGGCAAGCCTGGCTGGACTGTGAGTCTTGAGGGACTTTGAGGATTTCGACAGCTTCTTCTTGTACTTCTGCAAGAACCGCTCATTTTGGGCTTGGTCCTTATTCTGCAATATGTGACCTAGGGTAGAGCTGACCAACTCCTGTAAAAGACGCATAACGACGGTGTCCTCGATCTTGCCTTTGGTCAGACGTTCAGCAATATCGAAAAGAACACTGCTATCCGATGAGATGTTGGCTGTGGCGTTGGACGTTTCCATAAGGTAGACCATGATGCGGAGCAAGGAAGCTGCGTTGCGAGGGCGTTCTAGAAGAATGTCGGTGATCTTGTTCAAAAGCTCTTCTCTTCGATCTCGGGGTAGAGATTCAGGTCTAATTTGCAGCAGCGCTGGAACAGCCAGACTATACAATTGATGGCCCTCCTCTTGTTGGTCGAGGGCTCGAAGTAGTGCACTTGCAAAAGAGACTCTTGTAGGGACAGTGCTTGTCGTAAAGATTAATTCGGCGAGTTGCTCTGCAAGTATAATGCCAGACTCTGAGTCAAGTGTCGAGATACCGTTCAGTAACTCGAACAACGTCTTCTCCCTACGTTTTGAATCATTATGATCCAACAATTGTACATATTCGGTACAAAACATAACTAGCAACTGTTGGAGATCGTCTGGTTCGAGATGGCCTGGGGTGAGAACCTTGAGACCTTTTCTTAGACTCTCGTGCAATTGATTACTCCATCCAGGAACCGTTCGTAGGAGGTCGCTGGAAGCAAGCAGAAACAGAAGCACAGCTGATCGGCACCGAGAATTGAACCCATGTTCATGCTTGTTCTTACGGGCATGTGAAACATCTTTTGTAGCTCGAGAGATCAGTGGTTCTAGTAGTTCCTTCTGCTTGTCGGGGGATCCATGCAAAGTCAATGGCCAAAGGTTGTTTGTAACTTGGGCAATCGTGATCCAGCAAGGATAAAGGTCGATATTACTGCGATACCAGGAACTTTGGACGGTTGACGAAAGCGACAAGAGTACATCGAGTAAAGCTGGCTGCAATGCTTCGAGGAGCAGGTCATTGTCAATTGACCCCAAAATTGCTCGAATCAGGGTTGCGCTGCTGTACGCCTCTTTCAATGAGAGGATATGTTTCTTCTTGAGCTCCTGAGTGGACGTTTCCTCAGAGATCTTTAGAGGCTTGATGCGTTCTGCATGCTCTTGGAATAGAGTAACGATCTGCGCCTGCGTGAGCGACTGTTCAAGCTTGTCTGCCAGTGCCACGTTGAGGCTAAAATCCTCCCAGATCAGCCGGGTTAATTCTTGCAGCGGCTTGCGCACAATAGGAGCATGCAAGACAAGCTGAGCATCCCATCGGCGAAGAAATCCGAGAAGGTCTCGATTACGTGCGAATGCCGTGAAAATGGGAATGAGGATCGAGCGAATGATGGTCTGGTATTGCGACTCAGAAAATGCCTGGGCATCATCGCTTTCTTCGACACCATCTATATCCATCTTGTCTACCGTTGGTAAACTAGTGCTTGCCGCCTGGAAATCAGAGATCTGCTGGAACAAAAAGGCAACCAAGTCATCGGTTTCGTTTTCCGAAGGAACAGCTTTGGAAGCTGATTTCATGATGAAAGCTGTAGCATCGAGTTTGATGAGAGCCGCGATAAGTGACCACTGGATTGTCCTCGGTTGCGATTCGGGGTACTTGACCCCTGTGTGGAACCAGAACATTTTGACCAATACTTCAGGGTCGATTCTGACATCTCGGGCTTGCAGAACGCCCAGAGACTTTTCTAGCGCATCGATAGAAGGCTGAGGAATCGAAAATGATGCTGCCTCGAGTGGGCAACCAATGCATTCTGCAAGCGCAATGAAAACAGCCTGTAGCCATGGTTGCTCGTTAATTCTTGCCCTAGGCGTGCGAGAAGGATTGTAGCGAATGGCGATATCGAGAAGTTGCGGAACAGAATCGAAAAGAGGCTTAAAGTAGTCGGGCAAAGAGATGGAAGTATCTAAAATCTGTGCGGCTTGTAGCAGTTTAGCACGCAGAGGTTCAAGGTTGGCTGCCAGCGCACTCGAATCATGGTCAATATCAGTAGTAGTAGTAGTCCCAATGGGAGCAGGGCCCGAGAAGAACGCTGCCCTTGATGGTACAAAGATGTGCTTCACAATCAATATCTCAACCGACTGGAGTGATTCCGTAAAAAGACTCTTGTCTTGCTGAGCCGCCTGGGCCAGAGCTTTCTGGGTGGTATTATGAAGGGCCAAGGTCGGTATCAGACACTCGGTCGAGAACTGCTCTGCCGAGGCTCCTTGCTCGTCACCGCTCTCGAAGTAACGGAGATTCCAGACCTCCAAAATGCTCGAAAGGTCCAGGCATTTTTCCGACAGCGTTGACGACGGGCTCATAGAGATCTGCAAGAACCTTTCCACCGCTGTTAACCAGTATTTCAATACACGGGCCGCCTGCGCGCTCTCGGTTCTCAAGGCCATTTTCATATGCTCGGCATTCGGCGCATCTTCGCTGCTGCTGAGTGCTGATGCTTTGCTGGTGATTGTCTGCAAGGTCCGTGCTACTGCATCGAACAATTTGACTAGCCCTCCAATGTCGAGTGCTCTTTTCTTCGAAGACGTTGGCGCAGTCTCAGTCGAGGGCCGTTTGCGTTTCCGAGACGGCAGCTCCTCTCGTACAGTCTCACTCGAGTCAGAAGAGCGCGGTTCAGCACCATTCGAACTCGGTTGTATTGCCGCACTACTCTCGAAGCTTTCCTGCAAAGTCTTCTCCAGGATACCAAGAAACGCCGCATCGCGAAGGTGAGTCGCAGAGCGAGGAACGGGCAGAATGTAAACCATTAAATCCAGCAGCGCCCATAATTTTGAGTTCGCTCGAGCTGCGGTCCCGTTCTCAGAATCGTCCTTTAGCTTCTCAATAGTCCAGCGTAACACCCATTCGGCCCTCGCCTTTGGGAGTTGTTGTACAACGGTAGATCGATCTTGCTCTTCGAATGAGTGACACCATTGCGCCGGGAGCCCAATTATGTGCGTTACTTGAGAAATTTGCTCATTGAGATCGCTGAAATCTTTATTAATCGCGAGTAAACGAGGAAGCGTTGCAACGGGTGCGGTTTTAGAGACCTAGGAAAGGGTTAATTTGGTCCTGTGATAGACAGTATATGGGAGTCACGTTACCATGGTTGCAGTAGCAGGCATATTGTTTTCCGACTCCCTCACCGGAGTTTCACTCGTACAATTTATGAAAAAGCAAAACAGTGAAGCGCAAGTTATGAGCGGAGGAAGTTTACCAGAGAGAGATTGGAGAAAAAGTTGAAGCACGGACTCCCTCCCTCGTTCCCGCGCGCCGCCAAGCTCCCCGAACCTCCGACATCAGATCTTCGTGGCGTGCATGAGAGCCAGCAGGAGAGCGAAGAAGAGACGACCACACATCTTATCAACAACAACAACCATTGTCATCCGGGATCTCTCCTCGCCCACCACACAACCCCAATCCCCCCTCTCTCACCCTTTTAATCAATCAATTGCTCGAGCAATTGATCACATACTTCACACGCAATGGCCGACGAGACACCCAAGACCACCGCGCCCATCCCGCGAACCACCCGTCCGTTGAGCGAAGCTCTTCTTAACGAAAAGGTACATACCAAATCATCCCAGCCATCTGGAAGACCCTCATGAGCCCCCGGGGAGGAACTCCAGAAGCTTCAAAGACGTTATAGGGAATCGTTGGAGCTCTGAAGTCCCTCCCAATTGCTCTTGCTGTATATCACATATCTGTCTATCGTGTCACGCTACGCACCTACGTCTATACATACGCCCAAGGTCTTCATTCAAGAAAAGAAGAAAAAGAGAAAGAATGCATGCTAAAAGAATTCACAGTGGGATCGCTGCGCATCCTCATTCCTTATCCGCTCGGGCCTCGGCCTCTCCTTCGGCGTCGTCTTCTCCGTCCTCCTCTTCAAGCGCCGCGCGTGGCCCGCCTTCGTCGGCCTCGGTTTTGGTGCCGGTCGCGCCTGGGAGGAATGCGATAACGTTAGTTGACCCCAATGCCCAGCCGAAGAAAAAGAGATAGAAGATCAGCCGATCCGGGCCATTGTGGTGCAGTGGCATCGTGAAGGAGAATAGAGGAGCTAACATCGTGCAGTCATTCAAGCGAGCCGCCGGCCCCTCAAAAGACGGATTGCGTGTGATAAGGCCATAGACAAAGAAAGAGAGAAAGGAACACACAGAGACTCTTCGGCAAGGACAAAAGGCAGACAAATGTGTGTGTCCAATGTACGACATCGATGTCAAGGCTTGGGATGCGAAGGTCTTACATCGAATGGGGGGATGGGCATAATGCTGTCATGTAACAACTGGGGGAAAGACCAAGATGATTCGTTTCCTTTGCTTTCCCTTCCTTTTTCATTTCATTTTTTGGCCAACAATGAAAACAGTATGCTGTATAGTAGATGTATGTGTGAGAGGGAGGGAGTGAGATGTGTGTGCGCTGGAACCAACTAGACAGACCTTTTCCTCTTTCTCCTTCCCTGCCGCTCGAAAGGGGGAGGAGAGGAGGAAAAGAATTCGAATCTTTGTATATTTCCCGTTTGCCTATGAGAAGTTCTCTGTGGGTGTCACTTTCGCACTGATTTTATTTTCTGTGAAGAGAAAGTGGCATATTTCTCTATTGACAACGAAGAAATATGAAATAGACGATATACCAACCCGGCCGTCCCCTAGAGTACACAGATCGACCTTACCAATCCACTTGTTTCCAAAACCATCAAGCCTCCCCCAACATAAACACCATAGCCCTCTAAATTGTGCTGTTGCAGGGAGTGCAAGTGCGATAACTCACTGTCAGTGCTGTACTGGTGAAAGAACATTGAAAGGCATGTCAACCCGTGAAATGGAGACAATCAAACCGCGAGAACGGGGGAGGCTGCCTACTTCGTTTGGCACGAATCAAGCAGTTTAAGACGGCCATAAAAGTTATAGAATGGCCCCTCTTAAAAATAGGCAAGAAGGTAGGGCTCGAAGATGGGTCAAGATCCACTGGCAGACGAACAGACCGAGATCTAGCTCTCTCTCCGAACGAAAGGATATCTTCTCGTCGAAAGAGTCACTTCTCAATGGTCTTATAATAACCGCTCAATCAGTCAATCATGTGTTACTTCAGACATTTGACAATCATACTTGCAAGGACTTTCCCACGTCGGTGTTTGCACTGTATTCTCTGGTCAAGAAAATGGGGGATTTATGGAAATACGGGGACGGAACGAACATGAATTCGCGGCGTCGTTTGCACCATAGATCATTACGAACATTTAGCATCACGGAGACCGGTATAAGGCACTTGGACTTCGCACGATACTCGGTTCAACCAAAGCGCTCGCGTTGTAAACCTTGTATACGAGTTTTACTACATCCAAGTGAGCTATTCTGCAAAACCTGCAGATATTGCTCTGCAATAGAGACATCCGATCAGTGTTGTGTGATGCTACTGACCAAAAATCACTTGATATCGCTATAGTTAAGTTGTCCAGATACTTTGATCCAGAAAATAATACGAAACACATGCATGGTACTTGAGTTGATATCAACCCTTTTCGAATCATCCCAGCGAAACACCCACCAGCACCCCTTAAACCATAACATTCGCCCTCCTCCAAGGTCAGCTATCACACCCGACACCTAAAATAACAATTCATAACCCTCGACATCCCCACCATCCCATCTCCACAACTCCCATTCTTCATCCCCGCCCCCTCCCATTCACTCTCCGCCATCCTCTCACAGTACCCACACTTCGACGCCGCCCTCTCCTCCTCCCACGGGGACCCCACACCATCATCCCAACCGCACGACCGCGTGTTGAACAACATCATCGTCCTATTTCTCACGTCGACGTAACCCCGTCCTCAGGAATTTGATTTCTTGGTCCCATAGAAACCTAATAAAGTGGTTTTCCACCGTCGGTCTTGTAAGGTTGAATGAGGAGAGCGGTGATAGCGGCTCAAGGAAAGGCTCGGACTCTTTTTCAATAACGCGAATGTAAAGTTCATCGCCCGTGCTATTACGAATCGAAGAAACGGTGACCGACGTGGTCAGTTTTGAGGTCGCGTTGTGCGTGCTGTTGGCGCCATCTAAAGAGTCGGAGCAGGTCTCGTGGACTGTGATGGAAAAAGAGCAAGGAACGTCCGTGGCCCATGATGGCCGTTGGCGTGGGAGGAGTGATTTTGGACTCGGAGTTGCGGCGACGACGAGTATCGACATGAACCATATAAAAAGCCAGGTTGCAAGCATGCTTATATGCGAATGCTGAGCATTTGTTCGGGAAGTAATGAGGTGTTTGAAAGATCGTTGATTTGCGCTGAATTGTTTTGCAGCCAGGTTTTATTGATCATGTATGACTGAATTCGTCAGACCATTCATAGCGACTCATGCGCACATTCATATTACAAAGAAGTCATAGGCGCGGGTTGAAGAATGACCGAGCTGTCCTTACTTGATGTGAGATCTCGAACATGTTTATTTCGTAGTTTCTGTACGATAAAGACAGCAGCAATATATCGAGCAGCTCATCATCATACAGAAAATCGCCTCTTACAAGACACTCTAATCATGGTAGATTTTGGTATCTGCTATCATGCGCATGCGCTCTAAATTATGTACTTACCGCCGCCTGACAATACAAATCTCTTCAGCTTTTCAAGTAGGAATCTCTCCAATTGCTGAGGTCTCATAAAATACATACAAGAGCATGTGTTGCCCTGACATTCCGCAATCAGACCTGTAAGGGCTGTCTCTCATCAGTCTTTGCCATACAACCTTCGATGTTCGCATGGATTCGCGTTGTCGTCTATGCCCTCTATTGTAACAATTGTATAGAGTTGGATAGGAGACCGTTATGTAAGAGACAAATGGTCTTTGCACGATGCTTACTTTAACGCACTGTCTATCAGAATAGATCTGTGAACAGTCATATCGTCTCCACAGTCATTCGAACATCAACGATAGATCATAAATTAAATGCAGGTACAGTCAGTCATCAATTGTTTCCTTCGACAAAATTAAAACAGTTAGTTACAGGAAGAGGATATACATTTGTGACCCGACTTGTGTAGTGCCACTGAGCAAAAGCCACTTGATATCGCTATATCTGAACGAATCAGACACTATGTTTCGGAGAACAAGACAGAACGTGTGCTATCTAAGTTACTATTACTCCCTTGTAAACAGCAGAAGGTATTTCTTCTGGCTACCGGCTGTGAATAGTTGTTGAAAGGCTACTTTGCTGAATGTACGAAATGGTTCTGTTACCTGTGTTCTCAAACATTAACTGCAAACATTTATCGCAAAAGTTAGTATAACATCCAAGTATATTTGTAAACATACGCTTGGAAGAGAGTTTTGATAGAAGATTTGTTTGTATCTTCTACAGCTTAATCAGCTTAATCCACATCTCCTGATATCAACGGTCTTCACAAAACATCTCATTCGAAATCACTTCCCACCCTCACAGCCCAAAAGTCCAAAAAGAGAGCACATAGACCCCGCCTATCAACTATTGATACCCCTTCTCTCGTCTATGCACACCTCGGTACCACCTAACCGCCAAATTCCCTCCCACGCCACCACACCAAGACCACCAAAAAAACCCACCCTTTGAGCACCGCAACACCACCACAACACCACCACAACACCCCCAGACCTTCAAAAAAGCAAAAAAGGAGTAATTCCGACACCGGGAATCGAACCCGGGCCTTGCCGGCACTTGAAAGTGTAACTAACTCTCGTGATGAGAGCGGCAAATCCTAGCCACTAGACCATATCGGATGTCTTACTTGTTTTTGATGGATATTCTACAATCTAACAAATCTATATACTCACATATAGTTGAGTCAAAGCTTTTAGGCAAAGAAATATAGGTGGGATAAGGACTTTGTGGGATGTGAGACAGCGTTTGCGCGGGATACGAGCACAGGCTATTAAGCTCGCGTATGTTCCGTCCCACCGGCTGGAAAAAAAAGACTAAACCGGTGGAATGTCACTCCTCGCTACTCTGCTCTCCCGGTTTGCCGGGCGATCCTAATTCGGTGGGTCCTGGTCCGGGTACACAGTATGTTGGACCTACTGTGTTACTCTACTCTACACCTACGTAAACGCACAGCAGCTGTATCACAGGTACGCTACGTGTGTACGAATGTAAGATAAGCTGAGCTTATGTCCCGTCTGGCCATCAAAGTCTATCGTTGAGCTCCTGGAGGGGAAAGAGCGTAAGCACTTGTCGTTGCTGATAGTTTACTGCTGATGCGACTTGGACTCGGAACCATGAGGAGCTTTGAAGAACTCTTCCGTCCTGTGCTCTGGAAATCCTCGTACGAGGGGTGTCTATGTCGTAAATGTCTCGTCAATTAAAACCCTACAGCGAGACTTCTTGCGACTCGTATCTCCAAATGTCTCTTGTATGTACTCGTATGGTTCTCGAGCTCTAGCTTCAGATCGATCGATTGTAGTACAGCGAATCGAAACCCACCTCATCGGAATGCAAAAGCGACACGCAACTCACGCATGCACGCAGGCTCCCCTCCCCACAGTTTTGTCTCGTATAATACACGCACACGTTTCTCGACATAAGAGGCCCCACATGCAATTCTCCACAGATTGCCCTCTCTTTGGTCAAGCAAGTGCATAGTGGTCAACATGGGATTTCGAGAATCTCATACCGTGTGATGGGGCGCACCGGCGGAGGGACAGGATTTCCGGTTCTGTGGTTCTAGTTGTTCATCGCTTTGTTCACTGGCATGGTACGGAGTACAATGGGATTCTTTATGTTCTGTATTACTATGCTGTCCAACGCTCGTGACATATGCGTCTGCGTTCGCGTGTATATGATGCCAATAAATGCACCTATATCATCCCTCTCCCTAATCATGAACGAATGAACTTCCGCCAACCGACTCTCTCGGCCGGTGTAACAAGTCGCTGAACCTAATATACTATGCCAGAAAACCGGGGAATAAGTTTACAACCATCATTACATTCCCCGTACATCGCGAAAAATGGCAAGGCGCCGTGGCATTGCATTCCCGTAGATAAAAGCCAATTGATTAGATAATTGAGAACTCGGAAGTCTCTTTTTATGGAAAAAGTTCGTTATTATATGAAAAGAAGAAGGTGGAAGGTGAGAAAATGATTTAATCGATGACCGCGCCCTTGATGGGTGAGATCGCTCGGGTGTCCCAGGTATCCTCGATGCTGTCTCCCTCCTCCTCGCCGTCGTATCCGATGACCCTGCGCTCAGGCTTGTGGATCCTGACGAGCAGGAGGAAGTAATCTTCCAATGGGAGGAGGTTGAGAAGCACGCGGTTTCCGGTCCATGCGAGCGCGCAGACGCAGGCTCCGGCCACGGCGTCGAGGACGAAGTGGTTTGCGGTTGCGATGATGGCGAGGAGGATGGTCAGCGGGTAGGCGATGCCGATTATAAGGCAGAGGAGGCGGCGGGCTGTGGGAAGACGTAGGCGGAGGGTGCGCGAGCGAGTAAGGCGTACGGGAAGAGTGCGCGCACGGCGGTGTTGCGAGGCGAGTGGGAGGGTGCAAATGGTCATGCCGATGAGGAGAGAGTAGCCGAAGTGAAGGGAGGGCATCGCCGCGTATTGATTGCAGAACTTGTTCTGTGTCCATACGCTGGATTCGCCTTCGGCGCCGTGGACGGTGTCTACGAAGCCGTAGCTGCGGGCTTCTTTGCCGACTGCGCCTGGGACGTCTGGGTCGGAGAGGAGTCGCGGTGGCATACAGGGCCACAGTGTGAATACGATGAAGGCGAGGAGATTGCACACGGCCATGGTTCGACGACGGGCGGCGTAAAGTTTGGGACCAGCGGGAGAGCCATCGGCTTCACCTCGTGCCTTGTTCGGAAGAGGGAGATCGAGGCGGTTGCGGGTTGTCGTGTAGTAGTATAGTCCTACGAGGAAGAGAATCGTTCCTGGGATGTGAATGAACGAGTAGATTCGGTTCGTCCAGTGCATGATGAACGGATGCTTCAAGAACCAGTGCTGGATGGGGAGCTCCCAGAAGATCTTTAATCGCTCTTCCAAGTGAATGATCTGAAGCGCATGGCGACGGGCAATATCAACAGTATTTTCGACCATAGTAACTGCAGTGAAAGCTCGACCTAATTGATATACCTAGAATGAAGTTAGTAGAGGTCCTGTCAAATCATTGATTCTGATGAATGCATACCCAGTAAATCAACGCCCAATACCATGCCTCCACCAGGAATGGAAACTTCTTCAACAGTCTGCTCAGGAAATAACCTTCAAACCTCCTGGTATTCGGAGACACCACCTCTTTCCTTAATCCAAAGAACCGCAGCTCTCGCTTCCTCCATTTTGGCTCCTGAGATGTGAGTAATGATGGCGAAGAAGCCCGGTCGAGTAATGTGGTTGTTGAGCGAGGACTAGATGCCCCGGATCCGATAGAATCAGGAGATGTGGATCGTGGAGAAGAGTTGGCAGATCTACGGCGGTCGAATATGCGGTACTCTGTGTTTCGATTCACCCATGTGCCTCCAAAGAGAAGCGTCACCACCACAAGTGGTTCCATAAACGCTCCGACACCCATACTGTGCGGTTGAGAGCCAGCAAACCAAATAACAATAAGTTACGTTAGATCTTAAGGTCTGATAATCCAGCAAAGTTTCACGAGGCTGCGACGGCGATGTGACCTATAGCTACCGAAGCTCCTCTTATCCACCAATGTCGTTCTGTTTGCCTTCAAGATATACGGTGTGGTAGACAAGGGCGGGTGGCCTAGTCAACAGCAATATGAGGCGAAATCCAGTATTTGAAGAAGAAAGACAAGTTATGTAACAGCGAACATCCAGGGGGAAAGTGGAAAGAAGTATGCGCGAGGTCAAGAGCAAGTGGAGAGTAAATAGGTTTTTAAAAATTAAAGTGGAGGAGGCGTAGAGTGAGAGGTCATAGAGCAAGCTGGTCGGATGCAACGGAGATTGAGAGCTATCCCAGTCGAGTGATAAGAAATAGCTAGTGGCCGCCTGCAGAGACAGGGCTATGGTATGGCTCCCGTTCGCTACTGGTGTCCGACGACTCGTCCGCTTGTTCGTTTGGGTGCACGATAGTCATGTACAAGTAATCCGGCGGCTGCGTCAGAGATCTACCAATATGCTACTGGGCCGAGGGATGACGCCAAGTTAGTAGGAAGGTGTAAACGCATACTAGCGATAGTAGAGGGCTTCAGTGAGGCACAGGTATCGTATTTGTACTTGTAGGACGTGAGGCAGCCATGGTGGCATAATCAAAGCAAGAAAGAGGGTGGGGTTGTCAGCTGCATATGCCTGGCGTTGATGAAGCGTCGGTGGCACTGGGATCAAGCATTAATGAGGTTTCACAAGACAAGCCAGACAACAGGTTTCTTGTGTGGCGGCGGCGTATGGAAATGGACGATGAAGTGTACATGTATTGTACATAATTGGCGTTGAGTCCTGAATGGTTGGTTGTGTTTGTGACTGTGAAAAGTGTGGTGAATTGGATTGTGAATGGAGAAGAGCACAGGGCACGCGACCACATGGACCTGCTTACCAGGATTATACCCATATCCGTCTTAGTGCCCGACACATCCGTACCTTGTAGGCTTGTCGGCTTGTAAAGAAACGAGGCTGATGATGCTGATGATTAGAATATGTCAATATGACAACAGTGACAGCAGTGACAGCACCCGACCTCGCAGGCTCACATCTGCCCATAACCAGCAGCAGCATCCTGTCCTACTCTACCGCTAATAAGTTACTCCTCGAATATTCGTCCATCCCGAACCACCGAGCATTGACATGACTGGTCAACATTCTCTCTTCCTCATCGGCGACCCCCAGTTCCGAACTTCCGGCACCTTAGAAAACCTTACCTGAACCCTGACCCTGACCATCATCCTACCCTGTTACCATCATTCCATCACATCCTCTCGCAGCTCAGCGCAGCCAACTGGCGACTTTATTTCCCTGTTCAGTAAACATCATCCACAGGAACGATGGCGCTCCCTCTGTGTCTTACGGCGTATTCGTCGTACTTCGGTCTCGGTCTCCGATTCCAGCTACCCTCCCATGCTCCGTACATCAACCTATCTATGCATCCTGATTCCACCTCCATATTGCACTTCTATCCTCGTACATTCACACTCAACCAGTCTAGCCCCTTCAGCTAAGTAGCTTTCCCATGTCAAATTTGTCATGGCCTGCTCTATGCTTCCCCCGCCAAGACGGTCGCTTCGACTTACCGACAGCCGGATCGTACACTTGCACCAGCCCGTCAGTAGACTCGTACAAACACGAGGATTACAAGTGCCATGGTAATCACACCAAATCCGCGCTTACTAACCGCCTTCATGCCCTTATGTAAAGCGGCTCATTAACTGAATGAATAAATGGAGCTGCAGATGCCCAACGGCGATTCATGAAGAAAGCGAACTTGGGAGTAAAAGTCGTGCCTGTCCCCGGGATTTGCTCGCGTGCCACTGTTCCTGGCATTGATTGCCGAGGCTGGTTTGTGTGGTTTCTGGTTGCTATATTGACCAAACTTGTTTGACCGCCTTTGAACTTATCAAAATGATACCCATGTAAATATACAGAGGACTAGTATGTCAGGCTGGCCACCTGCCAGAATTATATACACTTGACCCCTCAGCAGCTACTTTATACCAAGAAAGATAGGCCAGCCCAACGTGCCAACCCTTTGTGTCCTCAATACCTAAATACCGTTGCTTATATACTACGGAGTTGAACATCACGACCTTTCTCAACCATTACGCACATCTGCCCACACGAGTATACACGAAAAATAACCATATGCTACGTTGTAACTTTTCGTCTAGGGATGATCCCTAATCCTCACAATAGTCGACCATAACTAGCGAGCCACATCACTCACGTCACAAAGGATTATCCTTGTCAACTTGGCCAATACGTTCAATACCCACTCAACTACTGTGGGAATCATGGTATTCGGTGATGGGAAAATAAAGTATGAGTTGGTATACAAATACAGGCCCGCGAGGGCGTTGTCTCCTAGGATACTATCGGCATCCGTATCCTCGTCTATCCAAAATAGGAGACCACAAGGAGAAAGTATAAGAGGAATGATGGAAAAGAAAGAAAGTTGAACAAAAGAGATGGGCCCTGAACAAGGGCAAGGGGTAAAACTATTACAACGAGCATACCGCCCTACGCTATGCATGAACGCCTTGATCCGAGAATTTTGCACGACCCATGAAATGAAAATTGGCGCCCTGCCAGAATGCTAGAGATATTACCCATGTTACCCAGAATTCTCCTGGGTTTGTCCAAGGTCCTCTAACGCCGCTGCCATGGTAGCCGATGAAACAAACAAGGAAATGTGTAGTGCGGATAGGCCAAAGTCGACGATAATCGACAAGGATAGAGGCAAAATGTAATGAGAAAAAAAAGATGGTAGTACAGCAACGTCAGACGGACTAGAATTCACGTTCTAGTTGGCCCAGTATCAGCATGTGACGCTCGTGAATGGTGCGGTCTCCTGCAGGTCCTGCACCAGAGCCTCCACGTTGCTGAGATATTTGGAGAGCCAATGTTGCTTCTCCTCTTGGGTGCGAATGTTCTTTGTCGAGGTACATCCGGTGTCGTCGCCGTGGACAGTGCTGCTCCTCCGATCAAAGGCATTGACGAGCTTGCTGGGACTCCGCTGCAGCCCAGTTGCAGCTGGTACTGGCGATTCTGGCATGAGGTAGAAGTATAAGAACTCCAGAAGCTTCAACTTAACGCCCTGGGTTGTTTCGTCGTCCTTGAATAGCGATGTCACAGTGAGCAACCCGTCCATATTCTCAAATGTCCGGGTGTTCTGGGGTGTACCCAGAAGTGCAGTGACCAGCACAAGTACGGCAGATGACTGTATCGCGGGGCAATTATAGGGATCGAGTAGGTCCAGAACAAGATTCATGTAGATCTCGCGGCCAAAGATCGTCCGGGAAGGAGGGTGGAGGAGGAGGAGACCTTGGAGGTTCGAGAGCGCCGAGAGTATGAGGAGATCGTTCTGACCATCTGCTGGTGCGTTAGCATTCGAGCATAGCTTGTGGACGGCATCTTTGCTTACTGCTTGCCATGCCAAGGAGTCTCTCGAGGCAGTCTGCCACTCTTGTCGCAACTATCGTCGACGTTAGCAATTGTCCATACGTTTGAGTGCTACCAGTACTCACCATTCCACTCGAAACCTTCCTGCAACCTGAAGAACTCCCTGAAAGCAAGATCTTCCGAGAGAGCACCCAGCTTCTTGGGTGATGAAGGTGGCTGCTCGCCCAGGTTTATGGCTGATGCGTTCCGTCGGTGGCCAGGAGTTGAAGGTTTTGACGATTTCCCGTTGGACAAGCATATCTGCGCCAGCATGCCCTCGATCTGGCGAAGACCCTTGCGAATCTTCTGGGTGTCCTTCGACGCAATGTTGTCGAAGGCGAGGCTCAGGAGTGCCTCCATCGCGAGACCGGCTGGTGATGGGAGGAGGTAGATGCAATGCTATACACAGAAAGGAGATGACCGGCGCTCGAATAGTTGGTGAGAGGATGGCGCTTAAAGACGCAGGACACAAGATGCAGGTTGAAGTAAGGGAGGTTGAAAGTGCATGCAGCTAAGGAGTTAAGAGAATCAAAATGCGGAGAAGACAACGGGTATCGAGCAAGTGTGGGCCTGATCATTGGCCGTTGAGCATTCTGGAAGGGCCGACATGAAGGTGTGAGTTGGCAGAGGATAAACAGCTCGTTGCTATGGACGACGCGAGGGAGTGAAGATGGTCCCGTGGGGCCGTTGCCGAATCGGGTTAGACTGGATGGAGCGGCTAAACCTCCGAGCGGTCCATCGCCATACTGTATGACCAAAGAGCATCTCCACCTCTTCATCATCTCACCACAGTTCATCCCTGCGGCTCTGCTCTAAGCTTCTGACATCGCTCAGAATCTTATCTTAGAAATCGAGCTTCATAGACACCATGTCCAATTTTATTGACTTCCACCGAGCAATTGCCTGAGATCGCATCTCCAATTACTGCGCCACTCACCAAAGTATACAACTGCAAGCAGATAGCCTTTCAACGAATCAATGTCCAATACAAATCCAAAAATGACATTCTGCTGGCTGTGTTTAACACCCTTTTTGCAGGGTCAAGCGAGATACGGGAGTACAAGATGCATGATGGCCACAACAGCTCATCGGCTTGCCATTCGTGCTCACCGGACCTTGGCACCATTCCAGCCGACAGAACACATGACAGAACGCTGCCTTATCCATGGTTTGATTCAATCCAAACCCACGGGCGTGTTCAATTCCAATCTTCAGTTAACTTGATGTGCCTGTGGCGAAGTCACTCCAGTCCTACTTGGGACTATACAGCCCCAGTAGGTCGGTCCATATCCTATACTACTCGTACCTTGACCGCGGCTCGTTTCGGTGAATGAGGCTGGAACCGAACGTGGAGCCGTTGAGTCTGTACTTTTGAACCGCCATACCCAAGTTTTTATTTCGATTTCATTCATTCCTGATTGTTCTTGATTTTACAGAATTTGCACGTGTTTCTAACCAACGATTGAACTCTTGATGCACACTCCCTCACCGGCCAGTTGGTTCCGATCACTACCTGTTTCAAATATCTTGCCGTGAGAATGGCATCGCGACGCGGTCACGTATATATGAGAGGTAAGGCTCCATATCTGAACCATCTACTACAGTGCAAGTACTTACGCTCAAAGCAGATAATGGCTGGATATATCCTAGTCAAATTATACGATTCGCACTGTTTTTCCCAACAACCATCTACAATTCTGGGGCAAAGAGAAATGCAGGCATCCTTCGCCGTCACCCTGAGCTACAGACTATGTTTAATCCATTACTTGGAAAGGGCGAATTGATGTCGGCCAAATGGGTAAGGGAATTTCAGTACATCTGTCTCCACAACTTATCAAACATTCACTATGTTCCACATTTTTTGTATACCCAACCCCGCATGAACCTGAAAATATATCTTGCCATCTGCGCCGTTCACACTGTTAAGCACTCTTCCAGGCCAACATAGCCTTCGGTTGGAACATGGCTATGTTCATATTTTCTCTATTCGTCCCCGTTCCCGTCAACATGCTCTTCATAGCGTTTGATGCTGTGATAGTCGCTTTCATCAGCCAAGTCGCCCATATACAAAACAGCTATACGCCAAGAGGAAATGGACTATGCAAAGACGCCCACAACTGGCAAAGACCGCCACAAATGAACGAAAGTTTCTTCGAAGCTATGGGTCGATGGAACTCGACGCAGGCCACAGGGACTAGGTTTTGCAAGTCATTCGTCGAGCAGAGAAACTACAGTATTGCCATTGCGTGAGTAAGACTGTCTTCCTTCTCCGAACGATCCGTGTTAATGTTGCCTGCTGCCAAAATACAGCAAGACCCTGCTTTGTAAGATGTCCCTTATGCTAATGAGATAACAGCGTTCTTCTCGCCATCATTGTGGTTCTGAACACTGCCGTGCTTATCCTCTCTTTCACGCACATTATCAAAACCGTTCGTGCAGAGGGCAAAGGCACACTTATGTTTTTCTGTGAAGCGGCGCTTGTCGCCCCTCGTGCCATGGTCATTGCCTTTGCGGTCCTTATCTGCGTAATTCCGCTCCTGCTCCTCAAATGCCTGCCCATTAGCCTGAAAGTGCGCATCCGCTACGCTCGACGCTATCTCACGAAAGTCCTCGGACGCGTGCCACCGCCAACAGAAATCAAACTCGCAGATCTGACTCCATTCCGAAAACCAGGTGGCAAGTCCCGGAAGAGAGAGTACAGGGGTACCGATCCAGGGACCCCGAACAACCTGTCCGATTTCTTGGGTATATACGATATGTTGATGCTAGTCACCCAACACCTCCACTACTCAGACATTCAATCTCTTTCACTCGTATCGAAATCCGTTCGCGAGGCTATCCTACCATCCGATACGCCGATCAGTGTACGCGACCTGCACTTCCGCATGTACACGTGCAGCAGCGAAGACGATATCAACGACAAACGGCCATGTTATGTATGCAACGCGCAGATTTGCAAGGATTGCGCATGCGAACAGACCATAAAGCAAACGTACGCCATGTGGCACGAGTGCACGTGCAAGGAGTGGTGCACGCCTTGTTACAGGAGATTGCTACGTGAACATCGACCGAATGCGGTTGCGGATTCGCTGAAGTGTCGCTGCGCACCGCCCTCGCCTGGTTTTCATCTGTTCAATACCATGATATATGGTTTCAAATGGAGGGAGCAGAAAAAGTTCAACCATCCTTTCCGGGACATATGTTCACATTGTGCGACTATTCCTGCGGACGAACTGGCGGAGCGACGGGAGAGAAGAAGCAATTTCGAGCTCAGACGTGCCGAGAGAACATATACGGAGACGTGTGGCAACACTGGGTGTGGCAGGATACTTGATGAGGGGCCAAGATGGTGGGTTTGTTCGAATTGCAGATTCGAATGTTCTGCGGGATGTCATTTGGATTGGGCGGAAAAAAGAGCAAGGAACAAACGCGAGGCGGTATGAACAATTTGCTAGGCTTACGGCGTATGTTGGTGTTGAATAAACGATCATAAATATAATATTCTCTGAGTTCCTTATCTTCGAAATCATACAAAATAGACCTCTCATAGCCCGAAATTGCCCTCAAGGACCTCGTCCGGTGGTGTGCCCCGATAGAACTGTCCTAACATGCGAGTGTCCAGCGCCACCCTAGCCTCATCCTCAATTATCATGTGAAGCCACTTCGCTGTATCTTGATCCTTTTGCGTGAACCGGACGCGACCAATCCTCACGTATCTGATGAATAGGAAGATGCCCATCCAAATGAAAATTAACAGTACCATTGCAGTGAACTTTGGGAAGACCATCGCTTCGATCCAAAGACTCCACCTATTACGCATCACTCGCCCCCCCATCATTCGAGCAAGTAGGTTGTGGTTGGATGGCTGCTGGTTGGCGGTGATGGCCCCGTGAGAAGGGTTTGATGACGGGTTGACACTGGTACATCTGTCCGAGCTCGAAGAAAGTGTGGAATTGCTTTGCCATAATCCTAGGTTCTCTACTAGGAGTTTCTGAGTGCAGAAGCCAGAGGCGTCACTCAAGGTAAAGGTTGAATGGACGCCGGCCTTGAGAATGAAGTCGTATACGCAACGCGATAGAGCCTCGTCGGTCCAATTAGCTACAACCTCTTGCATCGTGATCACTATCAGAGTTCGAGAGGTCCGCTTCCTTCGAAGTACGTTCGTTAGCGATTGATCGATGAAGAAGGCGATGCGGCCATCGCATACACATGCGAACCTGCAGGGTGCGGAGGATAGACGCTCGTGAAACTGATGAGAAAATTAGGGTGCGGTTTTCGGCTGCGACGGAATTTGGGAGTCGATTGGAGAAGTCCAGTGAGGTAGAGAAAGATGTGTGTTATGGAGGGTTCTCGGTGTGTACCAGACATGTCATACGCATATGCATCCGATACGACTCAAATGCTGTTTATTGTCATTTTAACCCTAGACAAGTTGTGAAAAGTTTGGGTGAAAGAGTGACGATTGAATTCAGCAATCGAAAGTTTAGAATACGTTAGTCTGGTGCAAAAAGACAGGTGCCGAATTCTTGAAGATGAAGTGGAAGGTGCAAACGATCGTGACAGTCGATCACGATGTCTTTTCCTCGCATAATAAAATCTGCCATCAAGCATCGCTACGACATCAAGAATTCATTATAAGTCCTTTTGAAATTCCGGTAGATACGATTCGATGCAATGCTATATTCGATTTCTTTACTACATTCTACTATGCTAGGGAGATGATGCAACAAAAGACACTTCATGCAAGTAATTTCATTCTGGATACAGGATACCCGGAGCTAAATTGTCCCAGTTATGTGACAATCTTCTAACCCTTCCAGACCCTGGGGCCGGGAGTAGTGTATTCGGTGATGGCGTTGCTGTAGGTGTCGACAGTGATTCCTGGATCACTCTGAGGAGCATATCCGGGAATGTTGGCGAGATATTCGCCTCCTGGTTGAGCGGATCCAGATCCGGAGACCTCGAGCTGAGCGCACTCGGCGTAGAACTGAGGAGTCTTCGCCTGGTGAAGAGCGAGAAGCTCGTGTCGGATGAGATAGTTGCCAGGGGCAAGCGAAGAGGGGATGGTGCTCTCCCAGTAGAGGTTCTTGAGAACCTTTGCGGTGCCCCAGTTGCGTCCGGAGAGAGGAGGAGCAGTCATACCCTCCTCGTCGATCTTGAACCATTTCTTGCCAGAGCCGTCGCAGGACTTGAAGTCGCCAGCACACTTGTACATCCAGACCATGACTGGACCTTGCTCATGAGTCCACTGCTTCCAGTTGGCACGAACCTTTCCGCCAGCCTTTACGGGGGCAGAGAGGTCGGCAGAGGTACCACCGTTGCACATGACCTTCCTGTCGGTGACAGTCATGGTTGGGTTGTAGTCGGGCCATTGACGCTGAATGGTCTTTGGCGATGTAGCGGGAGCGAAGCCCTCATATCTATCAGGGTGAGAACAGGCCGGAATTCATTGATTCAGTGTGACTTACCCTGGATAGCTCTTCCCGTCGATAACGTAGGACGTTACGGCACCGTGAGCGGCAGCCTGGGCAGAGAGCAAAGCAACGGCTGCGATGGCACTGGAGAACAACATCTTGACTGTATGGACTAGGCTTTGAAGACACTCGTAAGGACCACAAGTCAACGCCTGCAACCATCATCTTATATACAGAACTGACAGTGCTCACAAGACCATGGCCAATATCCTCGATACTACTTGCCCCCGCCTTTTTTTCTCAACGTTGCATGGCCACGATGAGCCGCAAATGCAACTTCCCCAGATAAAATGCAAAGTGGTCGGAGATTAAAAAGTATTATATGAAAATGAAATTGCCGGCCCGACGTGCCCTGATTGGGTATTATACATGATAATGGGCAAGGCGATTCGCTACTATACCGGCTGTTATACAACCGAGCGATTCGGGCAACGATGGACGCACCCCAGACTATTAATCTCCAGGATAAGATGTCCATGCGGTATGACCGAATCCTTCATACCACGAAATATAGGAATATGAGGTGTTTGCTAAGCAAGAGATTCTGGAAGTACCGACCGTCTCGCCCAACAATCTTGGTTGCGATGCTCGTCACCATCTCGATCGCAAGGACCGATGACCCGGTTGGGCGAATGTTTTAACCTTGGGTACCGACGGATGAGGCGTTTATGGCACTGTGGCTCATCCAAGGAGATTGATCAATGCTGTTTGAAACTTCGCAGATCCTGTCTCGAATGAAGTGGAAGACTGGGACTCTATTGGCAGAGGTGCTCGGATGCTTTGAATGGTTCTTGTGGCAGGCTGGGTGTGAGGGTTTTTGAGCAGTGGAATACCGAATCTTAACACTCCCTTCATTGCACTTGATCAGAAACCTTCAGCGCGCTCGGAGTACTGTTAAAATCATGTATCCTCATAGTATGGAATCGTATTATTTCAACGAACATACATACAAGAGGTCTTCACTGAATGGAGGCGACTTGTAGGCAGTTAGCTACCGTTGAGACTAGCTGTTCAAGACAGTTCACAAGGAAGAGATTAGGTAGCTTGGATTCCTAAACAATTCCGTCTAGTCTATTTAGTGTCAATTGATGTTATTTGTGCAAGTACTTGTGAGAGGAAGCGCTGTCTATGAGAACGAGTACCATGAGGCTGTGAATTCTAACCAATCAGATGAACTCGAAAACTTGGCGCATCCAAACCCGAAGAGGCTAGCCCACACTCAACACGCGAGCCGCAAAATTGAGACCTCCACTTTGCGACCAGAACTTAGATCGACCACGACTCAATAAATTTCTCACCACACTCCCACACACTCGACGCAGGATATCCACCTCTTTGCGTGTTAACATACCACAAAAATCACAATGGCCGGACCTGTACGTACATCGCTTTGCTGTCCGCTGGGATGAGCAATGGCTCCTGGCATAGAACAGTAGGCTAAGTACCCATTATAGCAGAGAACCTCCGCCGCTGCCGGCAAGAAGAACCAGAAGGTGACCAAGAAGGTATGCAAAATCCAGAATTGAATCCTGTAAGCTACGCTCTTGCTAATGCCTTCTCCAGTTCATCATCAACGCCTCCCAGCCTGTCAACGACAAGATCTTCGATCTCCAGGCTTTCGAGAAGTTCCTCCACGACCGCATCAAGGTTGAGGGCCGCACCGGCAACCTCGGCGACACCGTCACCATCAGCCAGATCGGTGATGGCAAGATCGAGGTCATCGCCCACCAGGAGTTCTCCGGCCGCTACCTCAAGTACCTCACCAAGAAGTTCTTGAAGAAGCAGCAGCTCCGTGACTGGCTCCGCGTCGTCTCCACCTCCAAGGGTGTCTACGAGCTCCGCTTCTTCAACGTCGTTAACGACGAGGCTGATGAGGATGACGAGTAAATGTTTGCTTTGGGATAATAGGCGAATATGACTGGCTTGTCGGACTTGGTATACCCCTACAAAAATGGGAGTGTTTCGGTGGGATGAGGGTATATAGAGCAATCTAAGAGTGCCATGTTCCCTCACAACTTTGTCTTTGAAGATGCATGCATGATGTGACAACATTGTGTTCCTCTGTCCGTGAGACAGCGTGTCATGTCTTCGTCTCTGTCGATGCATATCTACTGGCAGCATTTCTCACATAAAAGAATCCACATTGTGTAATGCCAGTTGCTGGCTATTTAGTACAAGACTTTAACACTTCTATATACTAACTGTCCGCCTCTACAGTGTTCGGAGATTACGAGTACGAAAACAGTTATGTGTATAATGCTTCAAACTGTCAACGTTCATTGTCAAAAACCAATCTACTCTCCATCACTCCCACTTCTTCTGCAGAGTATTCGCCTCCATCTGCTTATCAAACCCTGGAATATGAGTAGTATGGCACCAAGGCTTCATCCCCTCCTCCCTCCTCACCGTCCCCGCAAACCATTCACACCACCTCAGTCTCGGAAACGCCGTATTAACCTCATCCTTCGTCCTCTCATGCACCACCTCCCCAAACCCCTCCACCCCCTCATACACCCCAACATTATCGTACAGAGTCGCCAACTGTATCAACTGCCCCAGGAACGTGATCTGCCCGTCGACGCCCATGTCCTCGTGGCGGATGATGGCCTCGGCGACGGCTTCCGCCTGGTCGGTCGTGGCGCCGAGGATCTTGAGCACTTCGAGCGCTTTGATGCCGCCGTAGATGTCGAAGGACATGCGGGTGGTGCTGAAGTATGCTTCGGCGGTGCCGATGTCGTGGAGGAGGCAGGTGAGGGCCCAGGTTGTTAGGGAGAGGTCGGCGGCGTGGGTTGGGAGGATCTGAGTTGCTATTGCGCGGCCTGGGGGAGGTTGAATGTGTCAGTTGATGGATAGTCTATATGGGTAGGGCTTGGGATGTTGGGTATGTGGTTCACGCACCCCAGTAGAACACTCGCATGGAGTGGTTGAAGGCTTCGGGGGAGAGCCGCTTCCTAACGAATTGCTGTGCCTCTGCCACGAGAGGATCATCGGATGGGAACCCTGCATCTTTGATTGAAAGAGGAGAGGGTGCGTCGAGGGGTCCTAGGGCCTCGAAGATCTGCTTCCCGCTGACAGAGACGGCGGTCCAACCGTTGGCTTTGACTTCGTCGGCAGACATGGGTGCGGTGGACTTGGGGGGTGTTCGATGAAGAGGTTGATGGAGACTGAAGATAGTATAGTACTATACTGAATCTGGTGGAATGTGAATTGATTCTGAGGTGTTTGGTCAGTTTCTCTGCTGGCGTTGTGCCATTATATATATATTCGACCTGCCTTTGCCTCCAGTCCACGGCTTCATTTAAAACTCCGAAAACCCTACCTCACCACGGAAAACACTTCCAAACCTACGTAATCCCACCGAGAAGATCCATCCGATCGCTTGAATCACGTCGAAGCTGGCGCATGGAAACGTTCCATTTGCAATGGAATATAAGTCTAGATTACCCAGACAGGACTAGCGCAGGGTTGTAGTTTTTTGCGCACGCCTTCTTGTCGAAGATTTCCTATTTGGGACTGCTGGTCAGAATGACATGCACTCATTGGTCCTCGATACGGCGCTGACTCGGCTTAGCGTCCCAGGAAAGAGAGCGGAAGTGTGAATGACATGCTGGATGGAACGACGTCTTATCATCATTATCAATGTCCCTTTTTGCTTGATTTCTAAGTTCTTGACATATGGTTTCCTGCATCTAGTTGAGCCCTTTGAGGTAGCATCGCTCAAGTTCAATTCTTCCAATGGACAACACCACAATTCCTACTAACGACCCTGTTTACCAATATAAACAGTTGGCACAATTAACACAACATATGCTTTCAAGTAGCCCCTCAAATCCATCAACATATCAAGTTACCCACCAAAAACGTCACAACCCGCCCGACAATCAGCCAACTGCACCCTGAATCCAGTACGAATAACTGGATCCTCAGTTATGCTAGCAGCAAGGCATCAATCCAAACCATTTACCATACTTCGCATACCCCCTAATAACGCCACTGACACCTTTTCTCCATGATGAGCTTGGGAAACGTCTCGAACCGGACAATTGCCCTCATCGCAAATATCTGTTTCTTCTCGCCTTCAGGATTATTTTTGGTATCAATATAGTAGGTGATGAACGGACAAGATCAAGTGTTGCTTTTATTCAATATGTTCGAGACTGATATGTGTTCACATAGAATGTCTCATGAAGGATTTACTGGTCACCGATGTACTAATCGTTAGTAACATAATAATGTACTTTCATATTATCATTGAATAATACCAAGTTGAACCCATTCAACTGTAGCAAGTACACACTCTTGTAAACACCTCACATGGGCACCGTCGCCTCATACGATGGAACGACGAGGTAGTGCCTCGACGTATTTGTGTTTTATCTGTTTCCCCTCTGTGGGTTCTACACAAATCGAGGGATAGCAATGCGAGATATGTCGACATCTTGACGCTCTCCAAAAGCAATGACCCTTCACTATAGTTCCAGTGCAGGCTTTGCCGAAGTCCTGGGGATACATGGAAAATAGATACATCCTAAAGAAGACTGCCAGTGCGTGCAGATTCTTGTCTGCTCTGGTAGTGTTTTATGTTCTGGTCTATGAGATGCTTCAGACCTCTTCGCTGCTTTATAGATATTTGAAATCTTGTCCTACAGATATTTCTGCTTGAAGCAAATAAAAGAACGATGACAGATGTGCTGAAGTGAAGACTGGAAGCGTTGATAGCCGTCTCTTGGTGAATTGGAGCAACCAAAACGACTATTCAGACGTCTGCGTACCTGTGTAATCAATGTCCAGCCATGCTGATACCACAATGTCCTTGTTCCTCCAGGTAAATACATTGCATAGGATTTCTACAGCTCGAATTCTTGTAAACCACATCTTTACCCTTGTAAAGAAGCGATTTTCGATCATAACTTGTATGCGAACGAAAACCTTTTAAGATATCATGTCCTTTATGTCACGATAATCCCAATATCTCTCCCAAGTGTAAGGATCTGCCAAATACAGTGTCAAATATGCAGAACTTCCTCTGCACCATGGTGGTCGTTACAACTGTCACCGCCACTACGTGACAAAACTGTACAAACCATTTAAATACAACCACCACCACATGGAAACCTTTTTATCTCTACTCATTCCAACGAATACTGCTATATGCTCCCTACCAGTGAAACCTCAACACCGCCCCATCAACCCGACCTCATCTTCCCTTTCGATCTCTTCCCCTGCTTCTACCCGCCCCATTCACACCACCCTTCTTGCACTCAATTCCCACAAAAAACCACATGAAGACCACATAAAAAAAGACAAAACCATCACATCCTCCCCAGCGTCAAGGGCGTGAACGGCGTCAACAGCGTGTATAGCGTGTACAGCGTCAATGCCATGAAAAAAAAAACCTCTGCACACCTGCGACAAGCATTTTCACTTTTCAGGAATAGAGGCTTGTATAGTCGCCTTGTTTATTGTGAATCAGATTTACATGTGACTAGTACGGTGTGAACGCTGATACGTGTGTGGTTTAATTGCTAACGAGGATGGCGATGTCGATGGCAGACTCACGCCACACACAGTGACAAACCCCTCCAACAACCCCCCCCCTCCCATCCTCTGTTCAAGGTGACAGCGTGAGGAGTAGTCGTGCACATGGCATCATCTCATCACATCAAACTCACAACTCTCCAAAGGAGCCTGCCTACATACCCAACATCGATCCTCCATGATCACTTCCTCACCCCGTTCGCAGCACAACAATACCCACCTAGGTGCCTGGAAGTGGACCGCATGTACGTCACAAACCCGCAGGGAAGATCGCAGGGATCTACGAGGAAGAGAAAAATGGATATTGTATGGGGGGTTGTTTCATGTTGGCTGGTGGTGTCATTTGCTCTACATCACGTTCTCTCGACGTTTGCGCAAGCTTATATGGCGAGGTGATGGATATGTGTAGTATATTAGTACGTATGATGTACTCACAACCACCAACACCCCCCAATTCAAGGGTCCAGAAATGTTATCAGATCCCACCATCACCACCATCCATCTCTCCCATCAAAATCTCAAGCATACACTAACCTAAGGAATTGCCATGTGCGAAGGGATAGTTAGGGATGAGGAGGAGAGTATGAGGGGGGCGAAAGAACAGCGATGGAAGGCGCACTAGAAGGATTTTTTGCTTGCTTGCTTGCTTGCTTGCTTGCCTTGTCTTAGTTTCCGCTCGGGATCTACGGACGGCGTTGCGTGCGTGGGTTGGGACACTTTTTTTTCGTTATGGTGTTTTTTTCGGGGTCTATGTCGTGTGGAGGCGTACAGTAGGTAGGTAATAGTAGGTAGGGTGGGTTTAAGGAGGGAATAGGTAAGTAGCGGTGTCGGGTAGTGACTGATTAGTTGTCGTTATTCAGGCGTAGTAATTTTTTTCTTGTTTAGGGTTTACTATTTGTGGTGTTTTACGAACACACGAAGAGACATCGTGAGTATGGAAAGGAGAGAGCACGAGAAAAAAAAAGATGATCACGGTCGGGGGAGAAATTACTTAGTTTAGCTGCGAGCGATGCAATTGTATGACCGCATGTGGCTTAGGTCGACTAGACTACCCATTTGGGTACCCGTAAATGGTGCGTCTAGTGTCGATTGGCGAGAGAAAAACTGTGGCAGCAGCAAACGTGGCGAGAGCCCTGGATCCTGGCAAGCGCAGTTCTCGTAAGATTTTTCTTTTTCGGTGGTTTGGTGGCATCATTGGAGTCATACTTGGAGTACTCTTACTTGGAGATCCTAACGGATACACGTGGTGGACAGGGCGGAATAGAGGGAGTTGATGTCTGTCGGAGTAGATTCGGAGTGATGGTGCGATCAAAGTTCACGGCATGTGTTTGCTTCGCGGGCATCTCCGACGGCATGTATACGGCGGCCAATGTGCCGAAGGAGGTACGGTGTGGTGCTCCGCAGGTACGCGCAGGCACTCACTTGACCCCTTAGACTGTATGAACATGTTCAATATATGTCCACTACTATGCTGTAGGCGAGGAGCATTATTGACGATACTCGGGAGGTGGTCCGTTGGGACAAGCACGATGGAGTCGGAATTGAAAAAGATCGGAAAAACGGGGCCAGCCGCGCAACGCATGGACTGGCAGAATGGTCTGGAGCCGCAACCAAGTGGATTCTCTTACTGTGATGAACGATCAACGGCGGGCCAGCCAGCCTGACCTGCCACTATAAACGGTTACAGCTACAGTACACCGTAAGTATTATCCGAATGGGGAGCCATCTCGGGAGCCCATCTGGTCTGGCGAGGCAGGTAAGGCAGGGCGAGGCAAGGCATTCCCAGGGTTTCGAGACTCGAGCAAGAGCAGACAATGCCTTCCCGCAGCGAGCGTCTCAAGGGTGGAGAATGGAAGGTTGAGTCAGGCCACGAGCCGTAACTATTGGCCAGCGATGGTGAACAAACCCCTTCGAGAAAATCCTGAAGAAGAAGACAGGCTTTTTTTCTTTCCCACTTGGGCGTTTATGTGTATTGTGTCGGCCTGTTTCCTTTTCCACTTTGGTGCTTTGGGGGTCGGTCCGGTCTGGCTGGCTGATGAAGACATTCCAATCCACAATTTTACATAAAAGGATGGGCCTTGGCGTGATCGAATGGTCAATGGTGGTGATGCAACGACATGCGTGGTTTGTGTGCTGGACGTGAGCTCCTCCAGGTGCTCACGTCTTACTCGTACGTGTACTCCGTAATGCTGGCTGCACATAATAATTATCATGATTACAACATTCTTGCATGCACAAAAGTAGGCATTGCTAGCATAACTAGCCGTCAATGGTTCCCGCCAGGGATTCAATGGTTATTGGCGGGCGTTTGGGCGCAAATGCTCAGGACAGTCACTATTGATATTTGTCCTTCCCTGGCGCCGCCGTAATTATTGGACCAAAGGAGGAAGGGCGAAAGGTGAAGGGAACAAAGGGACAAAAGGGAGGACAGGATGGAGCGCGGTAAGGTGTGGTGGCATTGCTGGCGGAAATACGGAAATGCTAGATCTCAATGCTGTGACCCCTGGGGCCGTGTTTGGAGAGGGCGAGCGGGCAGGGCGGGCAGCCGAGAGCATGTGGTTGTGGTGGTGTCGCCATTTCGAGGCCGCAGAACGCCAATTTGTGGGGATCGTCAACAGCAACAATGATTGCGATGAGGGGAGAGATCAGGAGGTACAGCTGCAGTCGCAACAACGCATGGCACGAGACGCCTCCTGTGCCTCACATCTGCGGGTCTAGGTTGTGTTGGAGAGCAGCTATTGACTATTGCATGCTTGCCGGCGGGCCATCCGAGCACCCCAGAGTCTTGTCGTGGTTCTATTTGCAGGCCGGCAGACCACAATGGGCGCTTGTTGACGACGACATGTGCTTGTAGTCAGAGGTATTAGTTGCAACATGTAAACTGTAGCAGCAGAAGAGCCGCGAACATCACGGGTAGTGGTCGTAGCTCCAATTAGCGAAGCTGACCACAGCACGGAGTTGGAGTTGGAGTTGGAGCTGGTTGATCACCATGATGGTTCTCCAGCTCGGTCGCCGGGAAATGAGTGTGGTGTGCACACTGCATTGTTATTGCCATGTGCTGTGGTAATTGTAGGTGTAATTGCAATTGCATACAAACAATAGTGACATGGATGATCTGGCTCTGGTGATCACTGTGCTGAGTACCATAGTGCATCGGGTGTTGCAGCAGTGGAGGCCAGGAAGGATACATAGTGTATAAAGTGGGGAATTGCTAAAAAATGGGAATGCAAAGTTGGTGGACCATGGGTTCGGCCAGGCCTGGAGTGGATATGCCGTTGGAATCCTGCAATTCCTGCTGAAAATGTGAAGGATGGCACTGACTGAGATGACAGCACGGTGACGATCTGGATGGAGCAATTGTATGATTGTATGATGCGTCCTTGTCGTATTCCATGTACTGTCCCGTAGTGAGTGACTTGGCAGGCAGACGGAAAGCACGCAAAATATGGGGTACCGCTGGGCGGAAAGGTACATAGAGTACGGAGTAACTACAGTACCTGCCAGTCAATACAGTTCAGCGGTGAATAACAACATTGTGTAAACAGAGGAGGCACGGGACCAGCTGACTGAGGGGGATGGAAGCAGCTGACTACCTAGAAGGGCCGGAGCAAGCACGTTGCTCTGGAAGCTTGTCGGTGAATAGGCTGACTGGATGAGTAGAAGCCGATGAATGAGAATGATGAATGAGAGTAGTGAAAGCGAGTGAATGGAGTCCGTGTTTGTGTGACACTCACGAGGGCCCCGAATTCTGCAAGCCACAGTGATCTATCCCATACCGGATGTGGGTTAGCGCTGAAAATTATAAAGCTTGGCCATTGATCGCATCACTGGCCGAGTTGCCTACGCCTTTTTCTCGCCTTCACGGGGAGGGAGGACCAGGACCAGATCCACGATGTTGTATTACTCGTAACAAACCATTATTGCGACACGCCAGGAACAGGCACTCGAGTTTTCCATTGGGGCACACTTTGACCATGTTCCATCCACTCATGGAATTTCCATGACCAATTCTTCACCCCACTCCCATCGAGTCCCATCCTTTTTTCACCAAAACCCCTGGTCTGTCGCAATACGGCTTCACCTACTACTCATCCTAACTATTGCTTGTACTACACGTACTGTGTCTTCACTCCCTGAATTATAAAACCATCTCGTGCCCACCCTACCAACAAAAGACCCTTCTTTCTCCTCCTTTGATCACGTATACTTTGTTTCCCCGGAATATGTTCTTGTCCCAGCATTTAATCCATCAGTTGAACCAGCACAAGATCAATTCATAGCAAGCCAGTCACGTCACATCACCACACTACATTTCTATCCACACCTACATCCACTACATCATACCACAGCAACGTCCAGCGTCAAGGATTCAGATCAGATCAGATCAACCCAGCTCAAAAATATCCATTACCGCCACTCCGACTCCGATCCACAAATATCCGTCGTACTCAACTGTAGTAGTGCTCGTAATAGTACACTCAACCATCCAACCCCGCCGAATTCCGCCATAACGCCATACCACCTGGTTACTCGTACCGTACACGTACAGTAATAGGCCGTCCGTCCATAAAGAGTGTTTTTTTTTTTGTTTGACTCGATCTTCTTTCTCTTGAGTCTGCTTAGATCATTACTCTATATCCACGTCTCCCCCCTCCAATTGGCCATTGGCTCCCCAACGAACCGAAAGGAAAAGGCCCTGTTTGCAGCCTGCTTTTTTCCCCGGACTATTCTAGCCTACCAACCAACCAACCAACCAATCAACCCTCGACTCTTCTCTCCAACGGACAAATACATACTACACATCAAAAGCATCACGACACCCCATTAACCCTTTCCACCATTTACGAGTACTGCACCATTACCCATTGCCCATTACCCACAGCTCACTCGTCATCCCGTCATACTACTGAGCTACTCCTCACCATCCAACGTCACAAGGACAGGGCACATACCCATACCCCTTCTTGGTTTTTTTTTCAAACTCGCCTATATTATCATTCTCCATTCCCGCAAAAGGGCGCGCGCCCACTACCCAAGCCAACAACCATTTCAATTTCATACTTGAATTATTAGTATTTATCGAAATCGAACTGAACTAGCTCCTGCGCCATGCCCGGCCGTCTGCTCTCGCTCGTTAGAGCCGCCCCCTCCTCCTCCAAGTTCGACACCTTCAAATCCCACCACAATTCCTCCTCCAACTCCACATCATCGTCCTCTCCATCCCAGGCCAAGGCCCCTTCCACCGGTCTCCTCCCCCCATACTCGGTAGAAGACCCTTCCACCACACAACGCCCATCCGCCAACCGCACAAAATCAAACGAGTCAATAGTCATGGATGCATTCAAACGCCATAGCCTCGGTGTCCGTCACCACTCGGACAAGAAGCATCCCAAATCGCCAAAGGTGGAACCCCAGAAGGCTGCCAAATTGAGCATGGTCGTCGAGTCCCCACCAGTCATGTTCTTCAACTCCCCTTCCACCTCCACCGGCGCCATCATCTCCGGCCAGCTCATGTTGGACGTCACCGAGCCTCACATTTCCCTCGACAAGTTCGAAATGCGCCTGTTGGCCATCTGCAGCACCAAGAAGCCCGTTTCCCAGCACTGCGCCGACTGCACCAAGCAGACCACCGAGATCCACAAGTGGGAGTTCCTCACCCACCCAACGTCGTTGCGCCATGGTGTGCATCAACGCCCTTTCAGCCACCTGCTCCCCGGTCACCTACCTGCCACCACCCACGGCAACATGGCCTCTCTCGACTACGTCCTCTCCGCCGTCGCGACGACCTCCAATGGCGACAAGATCACCCTCCAACGTGACATGCCCATCATGCGCGCCATCGTCCCCGGCCCCGACAAGAACTCCATTCGCATCTTCCCCCCGACCAACTTGACCGCCGCCGTCACCCTCCCGCCAGTGATCCACCCCATCGGCGACTTCCCCGTCGAGATGCGCCTGTCCGGCATCGTCGTCAACAAGGACGATTCGCAGACCCGATGGAAGCTGCGCAAGCTCAACTGGCGCATCGAGGAAACCCAAAAGTTCATCGCACCCGCCTGCGCAAAGCACGCCAACAAGATCGGCGGCGAGGGCAAGGGCATCCAGCACGAGGACAGCCACGTCATTGCGAGCGAGGAGGTCAAGACGGGCTGGAAGACCGACTTTGAGAACGGCAACATCGACGTCGAGTTCCGCGCCGCGCCCAACAACGCCCAGAGGCCCCTGTGCGACATGACCAGCCCCAACGGCATGGAGGTCAAGCACAACCTCATCATCGAGATGGTCGTCGCCGAGGAGTGGGCGCCGCTGAAGAAGCTCAGCCAGGCGACGCCGACCGGCGCCGCTCGCGTCCTGCGCACCCAGTTCCACCTCATCATGACCGAGCGCGCCGGCATGGGAATCTCCTGGGACGAGGAGCAGCCCCCTCTTTACGACGACGTGCCCGCCTCGCCTCCTACCTACCAGAACGTCACCATCGCCGACTACGACGGCTCCAGCCTTTCCGACGAGGAGCAATTGCACTTGTAGTCTGAATTCCCACAGTTCGAAACAAACCAAACCATCACGGCCGAAAAAACAAACTACCATCACGATTTCCCTTTTTCTCGAAAAAAAAAATGTTTATAGGTGCTGAAACAATTGGAATGGCGATTCCATTGATTCTCGGCTGTGAAGGATATACCCCCAATCAACATCATTATTAGTATCAGTACCGCCCTTTTTTCCGCGTACTTACATACCCCATCATCGAGCTTGCGTGCCTTTATTACACCGCTTCGCTCGCACATTAATACCTCATTTCAACGACTAGCGCGGCATCGTCTTTCCCAAGACCTTGCTCTTGCATTTTACTTTAACGATTACTACGAATTCAATGTACATACCTTTCCTATTCCACCCTTCATCCCCACCTCAACTCCACACAAATCATTTGCAAAGGCGTTTTCTCATTGGCGAACCATCATATTTCCCCCTTATTCCTTTGCTCAAAGAGTCGAGCCCTCTACAAAAAATGGAATGGCGCTCCTCATATTCATATCTTTTTCTTGCATCATCATCATCATCATCATCATCATCATCATCAGTAACGCACGGCCTTCAGAAAGAGTCGTGCGTGGTATCAAAAGTTCTCTGCTAGTAAAACAACACAAACTTAATACCATGGACAGGCACTCTTGCGCCTGATCCTTCACATCACAAAACTACCATAAATGAATGAACTATGTGTATTACTGATGTGATGCTTGACGACAGTGATGTTATGATTTGACGCTCATGAGGGGGCAATGCACAAGGACAGGGACTACTGCGAGGTCTTTGACTCATAAGGTGATCGGCAACGTACGTTGAACTCTACATGCCTACATGATTGACCTTGCAGTGCTGTAGTCTAGGTATGCATTCCCCGCTTGATTGACATTTACATGTTAGTTCGCCAAGGCCCCCCGGAAAAAGGGAAAGGGAATGGGGATGGTGGGTTCGGATGTCTAGCCGAAGATAAGGAGGGAGTCATATGATGGAGTGAGGTGGTCGGAGTGGTGTATGCATGGGTCGGAGTGCGTTTGTATCGGAGTTGGATTGTTATTGTTGTTTATTGGCTTGATGGATCATGGAGGGGGGAGGGTTATACGGAAAAAGGAAGTGTGACATGTTCTTGGTAGCAAATGTAAACAATTGTCGAACAATCACTTGTGAGATTTAACGTATGATTATGGAATATGTTATCTTTGTATTATTATCGTAAGTAGAGAAAATGCGGCGCTCGCTATGTGATGATGCCGGCTTATGATGTTATGCTCAAGAGGTATATATCCCAAACTCCAAACCCATTCCCCATTTTCCGTGTCCAAATATCAAACTCCAACCTCATCTATCGCCTGTCCCTCTAATACGTCTAAAGGGTTCGTAATCTTCTAATCACACCCACACTCCACCTTCTCATAGCACCTCCCACAAAGCACCTCCCTCCTCCCCTCCCACTCCATCTCCTCCTCCTCTCCCCCACACCTACACTCCTCCCCCTCCCTCCTCATCATCGACCTCTCCAACGCCCTCGCAACCCCCTCATCCACACTCCCCCCGACCCTCGCCAACCCCACGCCCCTCACCCCCGTGAACAGCCTCAGCACCGCGAAATCGCACGCCTCGAACTGCGCCTGCCACACCCTGATCTCCAGGTACTCGGCGCCCGAAAAGGCAGCCGTGACCTTCTCCTTCGTGAACCGCGGGTCCGTGTCAAGCCGCAGGCTGATCTGCCATCTGTTGATCAGGCCCGAGACGCGGGAGTAGAGCACGGGGCGGGACGGGGAGGCGAGGTGCGGGAGGGTGTTGAGGAGGCTGGGGTGCGCGTGGAAGGTGTTGTGGGCGTAGAGGAGGCCGAGGGCTTCGGCGTGGATGCGGCGGCAGGTGGAGAGGATGGCGGGGGAGAGGTGGATGTTGGGCGTGCTGGGTTGGTTGAAGCCGCGGACGGAGAGGTCGTCGGCGGCGGTGTGCTGCTTTGAGGGGTGGGTGATGGCGAAGGGGGAGGGGGTGTCGGGGCAGAGGAGGGCTTTGTAGATTTCGTTGCGGAGTTCGGCCGGGAGGCGGAAGAAGAGTGAGGATTCTTGGGAAGAGGTCATGGGAAGTTGGGTTTTGGGTGTTGGTGGTTTGGTCCGTGGGGATACGGGCTTGCGTTCGCCATTAAGTGAAGGGCCCCTGGGTCTTCTTGAGGGTGCTGCAGGAGGTATTGTTGGTGCGACGGTGCGTAGTTGGATTGTGGGATTCGCACGGTGAGGCGTGGGCAGTTGGTACGGTGATGACGTGTGTACCATGGGGGATTGGTAGAACTGGATGCATGTTGCTGTTGCCATGATTGTTCCGACTCTTCTTCTTTGAGCTGGAGTAGACGGGTCTTCTTTTCGATGCAGAGGATTCCGCTTTTGAGATGTGCTTGAGGGTCCGGGAGATGTGATCCGAATTCGGTATTCTTTCTGGATTCGAGATGGATTGGGCGATGTGATGATGTTAACGGACTAGTAGCTGGTGTTGACTCGAGCGATACTGATGGTGTTGAGTCGGTCGAGCTGCTGTTTACTGATAGTGATGGAAATGCCGGCCGGATGAATATAGGCGATATCGAAGCCAATGATATGGGCATAGGTACTCCTTATATATATGGTTGGCACCGTTGATATATCAAAGGATAAGTTGCTGTTGCTGAGAGGTCGGTCCGAATGTCCAGAGTAGTGGTGTTTATGTGCATGTGTATGTTGATGACTGTGATGGCACCGGAGGTACGTCCCTTGATTCCTTCTTATACTTCTTTTACTGAATGACACAACATGCCATTAAGCTTCTCGATCCGTCCGAAAAGGTCGACCAAGTTGTTGAATGACTTTCACGCAACGTTACCCTGCCTTCTAACCAGTGATGGATGTCGATGCGGCCCGTGCACGATAAGGACAAGGTTCTAGTTCGACGTCGCGTCACGACACAACGCCATTCATCACTCCACCAAATCCCACTGTGCAAGGAAATGGGAAAAGGAGCCTCCCTTGCGGCTGAGAGGCTTGCATGTTGCAGCGGATGGTATCCGAAGATCTGCGCCATCGTGAAGGAAGCCGCTGAGCCTCGAAAAGCTTGGTGACTATGCCGGAGGTTAATATGTGTCTACAGATTGCTGGTAGACTTAGAAAACCGTCACACCTTCATCCTATGAGGATTGCCATAAGGACTCTACAGCATCGTCAACGTGCGAAAAGAATGCCCAAACAATCACCTCATGATTCTCAATCATTCGTCGATAACTTCAATACCACCTGAAGTTTTCTTATCACAGTTCACCGCCCCTCCGTATCATTCCCAACAGATCGAAATCATTGATGTGGTTGCTCCAGTATGGGCTGACTGTTACCCACGCAATCAGGCCTCAAAAGCCCGTCAGAGCTCAAAACAGGAAATCCAGAAACAGGAAAACACTCGGAGATTTTTTTCGACCAGGAATTTTTTTTTCTGAGTATTCGGCCTGGATCCAAGCACTGTTACTGATGATGATGTGGCCCACCGCTGTCACCGATTAAATGTCACGCCAGCTGATATTTATTCTTAGCCCGGATCCTTCCGACCTCCTACAACCTCCGATGGCATGGAACGCAAAGTCCGATAATTGTCCTGGCTACACCAGTTAACCTGGTTACAGGAGACTGTGCTCCGTTCGGATTTCTGATTCGCTGGAAATCATAATATTGCTTCCTTGCTATCCGAATGTAGTGTATTGATATCGCTTGGCCTTAGTCACCGTTGCTCTTCCGATTTCAAGGCGTGCTTTCTGACGCCATCTTAAACTTGGATTATTTCTCCCATGCAAACACAAGAATTATTCGCCATGGCCAATATCCTGGTTGACGTTTGTGCGAGGCAATACTTGCGACAGCTATAGTTGACAGAAGTTACTTCTCGCCATACTCTGGATGATGAAGGGAATGGATAGGTGGTAGGATCATGCCAACGGCATTTCACAATTCCAAAACCTTGCGTTCAAATGGTATTGCTTTGTTCGCGAGGATAACAGTCATGCAGCCTTGATTTCCGTCTGGTTGTTAGCAGTCTCTGTTTCTATCGGAGCATTGTATTGTGCTTGGCGACGGCTGCGGCACGCCTTCCTCCCCTTCTGCCGTGCCATTGTCTTTGCTTTTAATGTCTCCTTGCTATTGCTTTCTTGTCCAACTTCAGCAATAGCAACATCGACTCCTCTTCGCGACAGCGCTCGAATACCTGCCAGAACTCTTTTGATCATCGAGCGATCATTCGTACTTGTCACTCTCTCTAGACTCTCAGGGCCGTGATCGCGATGAAAATTAACCATTTCGACGACCGGCGATGAGCCACAGAGCACTACAACCTTTCCGACCCTAAGGGTCGCAGTACACCGTCGTTTGATTGTACCTCGCGCGAGCCCCATCGCATGTAGAATTGCGAACATGTGAGCTCTTTTTAGTGTCTTGACATTCTCGGCTGAGAACTGGCTACGCTTCACGCTGTACTTGCGCTTCTCCATTGGTATGAGGTTATTCCTAGCTGCGCCTGTTGATGCGCGTTGGACTATACCAATGCCAATGCCTTGACAATGGACAAAGTCGACCGCTGTATGTAGGACCAGAGCGAGTTGGGGAGCTACTGGTTCGGTATGGTAGAGGTGAGACATCTCGAATGATGACGTGCAACACTGCAGGATTTAGTTGAAAACATACGATGGCTTTAGAGGTAGTGTACGAAAGGCTTGTTCAGAACGTTGTTAGAGGGCGTTATAGATCAAGCTTCATGGGTTTCAACAATTTTTATATTCAGGTACCGAATAGGAGGGTCATTGGTCCCGAGACCTTAGCGCAGTCGCAATCCGTGGTTAACGTGCAGTCCCGAAGAATCTCGCTCGAGAAGTGACGATATTCCCATTGTCGACCCCATGATCACAGTCCTGAGCCCATACTATAGGGCTATAAGTTACTTTATAAAAGTACAAAGACAAGGGAGAAGCAGTTGTCCGGCAATAGTCGGCAGGTACGCCTTTGCAGAAGAGAATCTTTTCGATGTAGTTACAAATCTGATGTTCTTATTTAGACGATTGAATACATAGTCCAAACAATGTAATGGTAGTCATGCGAAGTTCTACTCGTTGATCTAACGGAGAAATTTTGTTCGTATTTGCGGTGCAGTACGTACGGTAAGAATAGTGCAGTGGGCACGTGACCCAGGGTGAATGCTAGTAAAGGTCCTACATTGACAGCCAATGTTGGTCTGGGATGCACTTACATCAACTCTAAGCCCTATCTGGGAATAAACTTTCCAAAATCTGGAACTCCATCTTGTCTGTACCTATATACCGATTCTAGGCCGCACTCCAGAGGCTTCACCTCCCTAGAAGCATGTCCACACATCGCACGTGAACACTGATAGCGGACGCCTCCGTCATGCCCAGCTCCTTCTGATACTTCCTGAAAGTACTGCACCCTTTGAAATATGTCAGACCTCCATCCTCGGTCTTCATCGTACGAATCATACGCTAACTCGATGCACTCGAGATGCCTCACTGCAAGTATAAGGTCATGTATTCCATGTCGACCCTGCAACGACGTCCACGTTGTCAGTAGATACGAACTTTGTAGACAATATGGCTTTTATCCTGCCCAACCATAGCTTGCCTGTTGACCGCAATTCTGCACCAATATCCACGTAGTATCCACGTGAACCAGCTCCAATACACCCTCAGCCTTGCGACATGGCAGCTCGTTGACTGACCAATCTCGGACCAGTCGTTTGCTACATTATTATAGATAATGCAGCTCGACCCCTCATCTATAGCCTGCTCAGCTTTCCCCACCTCCCGCCCCCCACTTTTACAACTGTGGGTTGGATGCTATCAAACGTTTTGACTATCCGGAATTCCTCCATCTCTTAGTGCGGTAGCCGCTATTTGTGACTTCCATTTCCATGACCTTGGAACTCACCAACATGTGTTCCGTCACACGCCTTCTACACCGTCAATCGAACGGCTCTCTCAGCCTAGTTGCGCTCCGCAAGAATGCCAACGTTCCTGACTACGCAATTGTTTCCCATACCTGGGGTCCAGAGGACGATGAAGTATCCTTCGGGGATATGAAGATGAAGAAGAAGAATAACGACTTCACCAAAAAACCTGGTTACCAGAAGCTTCAATTTTGTGCAACCCAAGCCGCATTAGATGGGTTGGAGTATTTCTGGATGGACACATGTTGCATCAACAAATCTGATGATGCGGAGGTAACCTTGGCCATGAATTCTATGTTCAAGTGGTACCAAAACGCGGCAAAGTGTTACGTGTATCTATCTGATTATTCCGCCCGGACATTGTCTACGAGATCAGCTATGCTAGACAGCAGATGGTTTACGCGAGGTTGGACACTCGAAGAGCTCATAGCCCCTCAATCGGTTGAATTTTTCTCTGCAGACGGAGACTGGCTCGGAAGGAAGCGCGAGCTAGCTCAAGATCTCAGCAACAGAACCGGCATTAGCGTCAAGGCATTGCAAGGAGAGCCGCTATGCCAATTCAGCGTGGAAGAGCGGTTTTCATGGGCTTACCACCGTCAGACCAAATACGAAGAGGACATGGCGTATTGCCTGCAAGGGATTTTCGGTGTTAGCCTATCGGCTGATTATGGAGAAGGAAAGGAGCGAGCGCTCTTCAGACTCTCGGGCGCTATATTCGCAGCACAAGAAAAACCCAAATGGTTGAGAGGGTTTGGTGTGCTTCCGGAACCACAGCTCCTAGAACAACAGCTACCAGTACAACAGCTACCAGTACAACAGCTCCTAGAACGACAGCTCCCAGAACAACAGCTCCCAGAACAACAGCTCCCAGAACAACAGCTCCCAGAACAACAGCTCCCAGAACAACAGCTCCCAGAACAACAGCTCCCAGAACAGCGACACGAGAAGACTGAAGCGTTTGACATCAGCAACTGCCACACGAGTCTGTGCAGGGGATCAGAGTGCATATTGACAAAACACGTCCCTTACGAAGGCATAAATTGGGTCGAGCATTCACGATTGCTCAAAGAACACTTTCATCTAAGCGGAAGCGATGATAGAGATTATCAGAAAGCGTTCGACTCCATCTTCGAGATTGCCAATACTGTTGGAGAAAACCATCCAGACTATCTGTCACTTCTGTGCCTTCTTGCAGAGGTGGATTATCTCAAGTCTTTATCTGGAAACGACACGGCAATCAACAATGCTATCGAAAGGCTCAGAATGATACTCAATGTGGGATCTAAAAACCAAAATGAGCAAGCCGAGCGATTGGTCACTCTGTCGAAATACCTGCAGTGTCGTTTCAAAGACTCCAAAACGAAACCCAGGCTGTCAAATACAAATTTTTCCACAGCGAATGATGATCTCAATGACACTGCCGATCTCAGAGAAGCCATCGAGATTTCTATCCAAGCAGTAATAGCAACGCCTCAGTGCCAATTATCGGACAGAGAGAACCGGCAACAACGTTGCCGGCGCCTGATCATTAGACTTTTCAATGAAATCAATTCGAAGAAGGACTTATCAGATTGTTACGGATTGATCAAAAAAGCACAGCATTACAGAGCTCAAGACGCTGCGGGTATTTTGAGTCTTGTAATCAGCCTTGGAAACCATTTATACGAGCGGTATAAGACCGAGGGCACCAACATTGATCTTGCTATTCATTCTGTCACTAAAGCAGAGAAAATGACGCCACCAGGGCACCATGCCAAAGCTGATCTGTTGAGTAACCTTGAATTCCTCGTACGCTGCCAATCAAAATCCACCGAGGATATCCACGATGCTATCGAAAATTCCAGATGCGCAAACGACGGAACATCTCCAGACAGGCGTGACATAAGAGGCTCTAGGCAGAGCAATCCTCCCAGTCTCCTCAGAACCAATTCCGAGCACACACCCTCGCCGGATAACCTGATTGCTATCCGAAGTTCCTCAAACGTGGCTACATCAACAAGATCGGATCGCTTGAGTAAAGCAATCCGACGAGAGAAAAGGGCAGATCACCTGGTCAGGGTCTATTATCGAACTGGCTCACCTGAATGCTTGGAAAAAGCCATTGAAGGGTGCATCAAGGCACTTCATGTATTACCTGAAAACGAACCTGGCTGGGCCTTGCGATCGACAATCCTAAAAACACTACTAGAGAAGCAAGATGCGCTATCCCAACGAAGATGAATGGTGTCACATATTCCGCCGTTCTTAGAATGATTTCGAGCTTTCAGGAGTTGGTCAACCCGCTGTCAACTTCATATGATCAATATCAAGACATACTTGAAAATGAATTGGACACTTTTGTACGCAGGTTTTCTTTCAAAATTAGATACCCATTTTGCTTTCAGACAATTATCCGTTTTCTGATAGTACATGTCATGTTATACAATAGACAGCATCCCATCTACACTATGCGAGAAGTCCAAACACCAATGCCAAAACCCCACCCACGGCTCCCATGTTCCATGTCAACGAAGACGCAGCACCAGTCTCAGAAGGTTGGTTAATTCCCGTCGTACTGCTAGGCGTATTGCTAGGCGTGGGTGACCCGCTCTGGATCTGTCCGCCGCTCACAACAGTGGGAGATGTGCTCGTGTTCGTTCCAGCGGCAAGCTGGCGGAAAGCATCGAGGGTGTTCAGGCCATGTGCACTAAAGAGGCTGTTAGAGATTACCAATTGAGATTGTGAAGTGATGACTCACGGAGGATTTATGACGGCCACCATACCCTGAGCACAGTGAGGCCTAGGAAGAAGGGCTGAGCAGTACAGCCAGATTGGCTTCTCGTCCTCAACTGTGATCTTGAAAGTTTGCTCCTTGAATCTACATCAGTATTGCCACAACACGTTTCTATCGCAGTCATTGAAACTTACAGCAGCACCCTGGGCACTAGGAACAAAGCCACTGAAGATACCACCATCGGCAGCTGGGTTGCAGGGGTTGTTGAAGTCCGCCTGGACAACGGAGTGGTTCTTGGGGAAGAACTGGAAGACGATTTCGGAGCCGACTTCAGCGTGAATTGTGTCGGGGGTGAATGTGAGGCCGTTTTGTCCAACTGCTACTGTTGCTACTGATGGACTTGCTGTCCCTGTGGGGGTGGCAGGCCGGATGCTTGTGGCGTTTGCTGCGTCGTAGTATCCGGCGAATGCGAGGGGAAGGGCTCCAAGAGCAGCGATGAGGATATTGGATGAGACCATGTTGGAATTAATGTTAATGTGGTATGAAGATTCACGGAGTAGTGTAGTGTATGTTGTGTAAGGTAATGTGGTATTGAAGTATTTAGTGTTTATGGCTTTGTTCTGGAGGAGATGCACCCAATATTTGTAGTCAAGCAAAACGTAAAGCCTTTGGGTATATCACTCCTAAGGACCATTCGTCCATAAGCAAGATGTATTTTCGTTTCTCGGTCCCTCATCATCCTTCGCCTTGCCACGCTGATGCTTGCTAATACGCCCTGGCCGTGTTTCCAAACAAAGCTGCCAGCAACGCTTCTGCACCACTGCGGCGTCGCCGCCGTCGAGAAACCAAGAATGTCTTGTTTCAAGCGAATGGTCGAGTAGGGGTGTACACGGGAAATACCACATCCGTCGGAAGCTTTGAACCCTTGATGTCGCTTGTGTTTGTAGCGAAGCCATGTTTGGGGTTATTTAAATAACCCTGGTCTTCGAAGCGCTTATGGTCGCTGTTGCGGTCGCGACATCGAATACCACTGCAATTGGAGAGGGACCACATTTGCGAACAGAAAAGATATTACCTATGAATTTTTCATTCTCACCTAGCAGTGCACTTGAATCGAATTTACTCGATCAAGAGCGAACACTCAGTACCTACAGACTTTATCTCATATGCGGTGCGAAGATATCCGTTCGGTTAGACGCAAGCCCGATCGGGCGTCCAGACAAAAATAGCCATGGTGACAAAGACACAAAGCCTGAAATCGTGGGCACTATGACAACTCCAGAATGACATACGATACCAACAAAGGTTGCGACAAAGCTGATAATTCCAGTTGCTCGCAGATTCCCCTCGCTCGCGTCAGAGCATCAGCAACAGGATCCGAGCCGTGCGTGGTGTTTAATCCAATAGCACTACGCAACTCTAACTTTGCACCCATGTCTAGGATTTTCATTGAACTAGAATGGGGATAACCAGGATTTCTGGCCAAGTGTGACCATTGAGTGACTCCCACATTCTGCTACGCCGCCCAATCTGATGCGAGAATGGTCCCTCAGGATGGCAGCATTCGTGATATCTGCTGATCACGACGATTTTATTTGTCTATGTCAACATTGCCGATGATACCTATTGGAATGTATCGCTTCACAACTACAGAGACGGGTTGTGATGGATTCCCTGTGGGATAATGGTACTGTGACGAGACAAGATTTTCGTTCTTCTTATAGGTACATTACACACCTCTTACCCCTAAACCTAAAATACATCCAGGTTTTCCAAATCCGGTCGAAAAATAATAGTTCGCATTGCGGACAACTTCCACTTACCTTTATTTGTTCGATATGTGTTGTCGTTGGCACTCATTGTATTCCGTATTCTCGGGCCATCACTTCCTACTGTCACTCCCAGACTGCATCACCACGAACCATATACACAACAAAAACACATTCTATGCATATAGGAAACTATACAAAGATGCAAAAAAGGCAAAAAAAAGGAAAGAACATACAACAGCGGGGATTCGCCAATAGTCACCCACTTGGCTACTAATCCGCCGGTACTCTGCTTAAGTCCGGCTGAGCGAACGGGAAGCCCTGTTTTCAGAGTCCAGTGGTCGTATGTGAAAGACAAGCGTATTAGATTCCGATACATACATGGAAAAACGGCGGTGGGGAGAAGAAATTGAAGTGATTGGAAGTGGTCATGACTACTCTTATGTCGAAGCAGCATCGCTAATGCGGCCATGGAATTGGAGAATAGAGGAATAAGCCGCATCATCGATAAGAGAGAACATATGAATGCTATCTTAAGAAGTAAATTTTGATGGTGTAGGGTGGCGTGGTGAATAAAGTGGCATTGCTGCACCGAAAGTTCAACTCATATCCATACCAACCGCAACTAGAGAGCGCCTTAAATTAAGGCACTAACCTTCTAAGGATTCATATAGCATTACCTTTGTAGCTGATATCAGTCAATAAGAGTCAAACTTTGTATACGTTGCACGTTAAGTTAGAAGTGCAATATAGATCTTGCGTTCCAGGCATGGAATATGATTATCAAGGACGAGGAGGAGGTGGGGATAGGTGTTGATTTTTTTTGATAGCCCAGTCAGCAAAAAGAAAAACTGTTTGATCGTTAATGTTGATTCTATCTTGTATGTTGTATCATGCTAAGCTCACGAAAATGGAGTGGCACCTTCCATTTACGAACATCTCATTTCGTGGTGTCGTTGTACGAGGAAGGACAAATGACTGTGAATGATTAACACCTGGTAGCCGATAAGAAGCAGGAATTTGAACTTTCAACGCTCTTTAGAACATTCGTTCAACATTCTGAATTACATGGTGTTTCTTTTCATAATATAATGATTAGATTACGGTGCAGACAGTGCTTCGCTATTGAGCAACCACTGAGGCTGATGGGTCTAGACCAGCGGGCTATGTGCTTGAGGCGTTATCGTCGTCGAACGAACTTCGTACACAGCTGTGTGATGTTTCGAATCAAACCAAGGGCCCAGCATTCTTTGCCTTTTAGGTCAGTCGGAACGGTGCACTTGCATGAATTCCGTGAGCCCACAATGGCTTAGCAGAAAGATTGATGTCTGGAGCGCGACCATGTACGCCTGTGCCTCGTCAACAGTACGACTGAACAATTTACCGCCATAACCCTTCCATCCTATCATCGTTGGATGACATAAGAAATCAATATCATGAACGGGTACACACAGACACAGCCTACCTCTCTGTACCTCGTGTACGCGACGCCCTTTGAGAATTATGAAACCCCTCGACCCTTCTACATTTCCCTTCGACAACCTTACCAACATATTCACAAATTTACCACCCTCGATAGACATTCGAAGCTCAACAATGTCAATAACATTCGGCTCTTTCGGCGACATTGTAGCTGCCGTACAAGTCGGTTACAAATTCGTCCAGGTTCTGGACTCCCAGAAAGGTGCAAAAACAGAGTTCAATGAACTTCTCGTAGAGCTAAGGCTGTTCTCGGGTTTGCTTGACCTTGTGAGTTATTATTCCTTCTCACAGCAGTCCTACATTTAGCTCACAGTGTATCGCACATATAGCTCGTGAAGCAGTGGCCGACTCGCCGTGAATGCCCTGCTCTTAAAGAGCTCTATGATGTACTAGTTCCAGCAGTTCGTGAGGTCAAAGGCGAGATCAATACATGTCTAGAAGGCATGATCAACAAGTATGGGAGATCTATGTTTGCCCCAGACAACGAGAGAAGGGGTGCCAAAGACATAGCAAAGATGTTTCAATGGCACGTTCTTGATAGGAACAGTGCCACAAGGCTCTCGGAGAAAGTAAAGACGTGCCGGGGCGTCATTCAAGTAATCCAGGGACAAGCCAACTTGTAAGTCATTTCCCCCTCTCAACTGAATTGCTCATCAGATGATTAACACGACGTGTAGGATTGTGGAAGAGCACGACAGCACTGTCCTGGCTGAGAACCTGACTGCACTCAAGAAAGCAGAGAGTGATGCCGCACGCATACTGGACGAAAGGCTTTGCACCCTGGAGCATAAAGTCGAGAACCAGTACGGCTATCTAACTTCAATATTCAGGATCGTCGACCGACTCGGTGCAGTAATGTAAGTCATATATCCCCGGCCCAAGTTTGGAGACTGACACCGTTCTTCGTTCGTTGAACAGAAATCCGATGGCTATCCAGGTTTGCGTGAATATACCGACAATGCTGAACTTTCTGCATGGATATTTGATAGAACAGAGAGTCATCTTAAAGAATCTCAGCCCCTATGCGGAGAATTCGGTCTTACTAGAGGATGCACTCGGTTATACGGTTCAATTTCCACTTGACTGGGTTGATTCAATTGAAGTGAGTCTCAACGGGTGTTCATTATACATTGTACACGCCTTCTAACAAAGTGGACCATCCGCAGCATTCTCTCCGACAGGCTCAGGAGTCGCCATGGTCAAATGTTGTCAGAAAATCTAACTTTTGCTTTGCTCTGCGAACAGCAGCCGGGCCACTTTTTAGACGAGACCCAAGACTTTTCGTTGGCTGTCCGTCCTGGGCAGAGACTTATGATGTGTATGGTGCACAATGTAGCGAGCCACACGTTCGTGATGCATATCTGTCCAGCTTGCCTAGCCAGTTACTTCTGTTTCGATTACCCAAATGATGAGTGAGTAAATATCTGATCCGTCAACACAATCTGCAAGGAAACCTTTCTCGAGTGCCGAGAAAGTCTTGCAAGCAAGCTCTGTCTCTGACACATCAGTAGTCGCTTTTGGAGGTCCGTATGCCGAATCTGGCCTGTTGATTTCGATTCCAATAAACCCATGGAAGAGCATATGTTTACTGGACAAGTACGGCAATCATGGAGTGGAGAGAATCGCAAATTCTTTCTAAATAATAAGATGAATTTGAAGACCTGTGTGCGATACGCTTTAAGATGTCTCTCCGTAGAGGCGGCATGTTTTCGGCCATCGCAACAAAAGCGATTTAAACGTAACGCGATTTTCCTTCCTAAGGTGGCAGATATGGACGTGTGGCCCTTTAAGCGCGTTTGTGAAGAGTGTGAAGACAGCTGGAGCAGGAGTTCTGATACCATGTGGCAGGATGCCAGTGAAGCCGATATAGAAGCACTTCGCGACGCTGTCCGCATCGATGGTACGCGGATTCACGAAAAGTTGCGCTCTCGTCGGAGTCTTTCCGGGTTTGAGGATTTATTGACGAATCCAAACTTGCCCATGCTTCTGTACCAACCTGATGAGGATATAGTCCAATGAATTACCCGGACTCTCCCATCATTCGCTACCCATGTTCATCAGTATAAATTCCTACCGCATCTCATGTATTCTTAGCTTCGCACAATGATCTATTGAAACATTCACAGATGATCTTTTCATAGCCAAGTAACAAGAAATATGAGGGAACGACATAACCATCATGATTGCACAATTCATGCGTCATTCAAAAGACAGACTTAACAACCCGAAGTACAAATTAGCAAACACTGACCAGGAAACGAAAAGCCAGAAAGAAACGAGCGTCCACATCCCCCTATGTGCCCATTACTCCCTCCTCCCATCCTCCTCTATCCGCACCCAAAAAGACAAGAAAGACCATGAACGAACCCAGCATCCCTATCCCCCTACCATCCCCCAAACCAGAAGACATAACAAAACAACGCAAAGACGAGAAACAAAAGGAGCACCCCAACCCCATCCATCAAACATACCACTCGTCCACCCTCCCTCCAACCCCACTAGCACTGCCACCAGCACCGCCTCCCATACCAACAAACCCCATATTCCTTCCCATCCCCATCCCCATGAGCGAATACATCCCCGCCGCACTATACTTATCCAGCCCCATACCCACACCCGTGACGAGCCCCACACGATCCGAGTGCTCAATCATCTGCTGCTGCTGCGGGACCCTCCCCATACCCATTCCGATCGCCACAGGCAATCGCTGTGCCGCGGCGTTGGGATGGAGAAACGGCATCATCGCCCTCTCACCACCATCAGGAAGCCAAGGGTAGCACTCATTCCTCGCAAGCCACGCCCTTGCTTTCAACACGTCGATCTCCAACGCGGCACTCCGCCCCACGAGCTCGAAGAACCGCTCGCGGAGGTCCATCCCCGTCTCCAACTTCACGAGGTTCGGCGGCTCTGACGCTTCGTCGCCTACACCACCGCTCATCGCCCCCCAAGATAGCGGGGGATGGGAAGACGAAGAGGGCGACTGCACGAGGAACCTGCGCGCCCAGGTCCTGATGTCCGGATGCGGGTCCTTCCCGCTGTAGATGGCGGCGAGGAACTGGATCGGGTCTTCGCGCGTCATGTACTGTGCGTTCAGGCGGTCCAGCGCGATGGCTTGGCAGTCTTTGAAGCCGGCTTCGACGCCGAGGTTGAACATGCGGACGTCGGTGAGGATGTGAGGGGGGGAGTGGGAGTGGTAGGGTTTTATGATGGGGGGCCCGGATTTGGGGGTCGAGGATACGGGGGTCGGGTCCGGGGCGTAGGTGCCTGTGTGGAGGAATTGCAGGAGGGAGATGAAGGCGGAGCGCGGGATTTTCTTGTCGAGTTCTAGGTGGCGGGCTGGGAAGGCTTTGCGGATGGTGAAGAAGGCGTCGATGAGGGTGGTGGGGACGAGGACGGACTCGCGCTTTTGGAAGATGAATTCCATGGAGTCGATGGAGGGGGTGGCTTCGCCGCGAGGGACGGTTTCGATGCCGTCTGGGGTGGTGGGGATGGGTTTGTTGGTGTAGATTGAGACGGTGGATTTGCGGGCACATTCGGGGAGGTCGTGGAGCGGCTTGCAGGCTTTCGTGTAGTATTTCTCGATGTCGCGGTCGGAGATTGGGTCCACGTCTGGGAGGCAGTTGCTGCAGTACTTGTTCGATTGCTGGTGTCGGGCTGGGAGGCGGTAGTACTCGTTGTAGTATGCGGGTGGCATGAGGTTGTGCCCAAAGCCCAGGGGTAGAGTTCGTCCCCCGCGGGTTGATGTAAGTTTCTTGATGGCTTGCATGACTTTCGCGAATTGCACACCGTGGGTTAGACGGCCGTAGTCGTGCTCCTTTTCTTGCTCGGGACCGCAGGCCACGAGAAAGTAGACGTGGATCATGTGGTGGATGAGTGATGCGAGCCATTGCAGTGGTGTTGCGTGCTCGTGGACGTCTGCGTTCAGGAGGAGGGTTATGCGTTGGACGCGGTGGTTTGGTCCTCGCCCGTGCGAATACGTAGCCCCTGAGGCATCAGTTCCCAGAGATCCGATATCGAGATAGACGGCATCCTTGAGGTATCCCATGAATAGCGTTTGGTCGAGTTCATTGAACGCTCGGTACGCAACGTCTCCCAGTCCCTCCCCAGGATGGATGTGCACCACTCTGGTTCGAAGTCGTCGTAGAGTGTCGGAGATGTCGGCGGCGTTCTTGTCAAGATGTTTGATGATGGATGCAACGGCCCAGTCGATGCTCCACCCTAAGTTTCTTTCACACTTGACCCGCTCGTCATGGAGTCTGGGTGGTCGAAGATCAGACCAGATGGGTGCAGGTGCTGGAATAAGTCGGAAATCTAAATCAGAGTCTGGTTCCGGTCGACCGCGATATGGTAGCAGAGGAATGTCTGATTGAGAAGGACTCCGGCAGCGCACCGGGAGTATTTGTGGCCGGAATTCGAGGCTCATTGGGGAAGACAAATTACTATAGGCAATCACAGCTCAGTTTAGCCATCGACAATTGAAGCTGCATCAGGTTGTTCCCCATTGTCGATGAAATAGGGCTGGAAACTATATAACAGTTCATTAGTTGAGTTTGTACGTCTGCAGCCTTGTTTGACTACGTTCGCTGGCACACTCGTAGAAACCCGATGTTCAGGTACCTATATATTGTTAGATGTGATAACACGTAGGTCTTGTACCTTGTCCCGTCTCTGTGCAACACTATGTTTGTTGCTAGTTCTAGGCTCCAGTTCTTATGCGTAACCCCCATTGGAATTATTGAATTGTGCCGTTGGGGACTTGCAGTTAGAGAGTCCATAGAAATCGCAACACAAACCTTCCAGATGTTTGCGACCCGGTGTCCTGCCACCTGCCAGCGGCGGGCGCAAGAACTAAAATAGGAGTCTAACCGCCGTTTGACAATTCCTCTTGCTGCTTTTCACGTTAGTTGCTTCGAGTAGCCAAGGGATGTTACCGCCACCCACTTGCCCGGGCCGTCCTGTCTGTATGTCGCTTTCCGGCCGAAGCACATTCTAAAAGATGGGACATGCTGTGATACGTGAGCTAGTGGAGAGAGTTGCTGTGGAGTGCAAGAAAAGTAAAACAAGTATATTCGCAAAGCCTGGATAGATACCGAGAGCAGGCCATAGATCAAAATTATTCCAACAAGTCGCGCATAAAAATATACATATCGTCATCCGTAGAATGTGGCTGAATAGAGGGTCGAGATGACGACGCGCAATGCAGTCAATACATGAGGTCCTCGCTGTAGTCGTCGCACCCGGAACCAGAACTTGTCTTGGCCAATCAGTTGGGTTGTGAATCCTTGATGCTCGATTGTGGACGTGAATCCACGCACCCAAGACCGGATTGATCGTAGACTGGCCGCCGGATCGAATTGCCCAGAAAACCGATGACGTTCCCCCTAACCATTTAGTATCCTCCTCGTCGGTCGTACTCGTCTCCTGGCCTTCCCACTCCACCAGACTGACTCCTTCCGCTTCCATCACCGTAGTGCTTTCGCCTCAAAGCCGCGAGCCTCTTCTTCTTGGTGTGCGAGTTGATGTATGTACCGATGATGAATCCAATGATGTTGAAGAATGGTACCCAGGTGTGCTCGGGGAGGAACTTCTGGGCGAACGCGAGCGAGATTGGCGAAACGACCCAGCTAACCTTCATGACGGGCATGAATCCGGCCTTGACTGTGGCCTTCACTTGGTGGAAAGTACGGGCGCCAGCGATGACGGCCATTGAGACGAGGTAGATGGAGTTCTGGATGGGAGAGATCTGCGGATACATTAGTGGATCGCCCTTCGTTTCGATGCCGCGATCGTCAACTTACGATCAAGTTGCTGACTAGGATCTGGAGGATCTTAGCCTTCAAGCTGGTGCGTCCGCGGAAGAGTTTCTGCAGGATGCTGATCAGGACGTGGCCAAGAGGCGCGCTGATGAACGCGCCGTACAAGGCCATCTTGGGAACGCGGGATGTGAAGTAATGGCCGCTCTTGCTCCGGTCGTGAGCAATCCAAGAGGCCAAAAACTCCTGCAAACCGGAGAGTGTTCCGGAAGTGAGCATCTTGGTGCGCAATGGGTTCTCCTGGAGCTGCTTGAGGTAGGCCTGTGGGAACGCTGTCAGATCGTCGTTCTGTGGACTCGAGATAATGGCGCGCGAGCGCGAGCGCGAAGACAACTTACAGCGAGATATCCATTAGGACCAGCACCTTTGGTCAAGGCCTCGCCGACTTCGTGCATGAAGTCCTCCTTGCCCTTGCCTTTGGTGCTGGTACCCAGGGCCTCGGCGGCAGCCTCAGCGATGCCATCCGTGGACCTGGTAATGGTCTCCTTTTCGAATTTGACGGACATGTTGGATTGCGCTCCCGGGTCGTTGGGGACGGCAACTTGCGACGGGTAGGCGCGTCCCAGTAAAGTATATAGAAGGAGGGAGGGGGGAGGGGGTGGAGATGGATGGGAGGTTGAAAGCTGAGCTGGTGTCGCGATGGCTGGGGGGATGTTTGTTGTCTTGTCTACTCGTACCCTCGGGAGTCGGTTAGAGTCCCGAAGAGGTTTAGCGCGAGAGAGAAAGCGGCAGATGAGATGGGATTGGGATGGTGGCGTCTCCCTCTTTATTCTGACAACAACAACAATAACACCAAGGAAGAACCATCATCTACCATCTTGAACTATAATGATTTCGAATAGTTCCTCCGTGAATGAGCATTCTTTGTTCGTCCAGAATCATGTCCCTATGTCTCTTCAACAGGTATCCATCTATCAATTACTGATCGTCTCTCTAGCCTACCTGCAGACACGGACTGCTCCATATCCGATGGATTCAGCCCAATCAGAGATGGTTGTTGGGAAATGGCTCACATTAACGTCGCTACTCGTACGCAAGACGCCGGTCTCCGCTATCGCCATATCAATGCAATGGAAAGCGACATACCATGTGAATAATGAGATGGACAAGTCCATCTTCGAACAAGAGAAAATCACTTTCATTAAGTAATGAATGTTGCCGATAAGCTTTGTCAAGCCTCTGCACGTGAATAACGTGCGAAGAGGAATGTGGACCGCGCATAGTCCATAGGGCTGAGCTCAATTGCACCTCTTCGTAACAATATTTAGTCCATGTCGTTTCCCGCTAGTCGCCTGGATAGGTATTCTATCATTAATGCAACTCAGAGACAAAAATGCAGCAGATGGTGGAGGATATAATGAGATCTTCAACAATCATCTTCAAGTCTCTGTGCGACCTATGCTCCGAGCACACAAGTCATCCACCATGGTCGGCTGGCAACCATCTCTTTCTGTTGGCACACCCGATTCAACAATGTCTCGTCTATCCCACTCACCTGAATTATGTCTTATAATCAAACTGCCGTTTCACTTGCAGTAAACATGGAAGATGAGATGAGGAAGAAACAAGCACAGTGACCACACCGGTGGTCGCGCTTTCCGCCCAATTGTCTCGTTGCCAAGCCAGAGCGAGGGTCACCACGAGCACAATCACCACCATTCTACCTCACAACCCTCAAGTTAAAACCGAAACGACCTTCGTTCTCACGGAGAAATTCTCCTCATGAATCTGTTCTTCCTTGAATCACTTGGGGCGATGGTATAATTTTCATAAAAGCCGACGATTCCCAATTCACTTCATTCACTTGACCAACCGAATCACAACCAGTACTGGCTAGTTACTACCAAAACTTCAACCCAGCTTTTTGGAATCCCACTTCCTTGGTCACGGGTCTTTCACTTACATCATCATTTCCATCATTGCTGCCAACATGCGGGTGAGTTGGGTCAACTCCTCATCATGTACCTACCAAACTAAGTTGTCGCAGAATCGAGTAGCAATGGCCCGCCGTGTCAGGCCTAACTGCACTCACGTCGACATGGATCGCCTCTATACGCGAGAGGAGTATTGTCAAGTTTGCGGTCGCCTCCCGTCGATTGGATTCCTGTATGTCTGTCGTCAAGATCAAAAGTACAGCTATGTCCCCGTTGGCCAGGACGATGGAGAAGCACGAACCGTTACTGGCGCAGTGGATACTCAATCATCCCTCCGCGACGAATTGAAGGCTATAGGATTGAACGATTCAATCATCGGTAATGCGGAGCGTGGCGAGTATACCCCTGCGCAACTTGAACTTCTGAAGGCGCAAAAAAGGGACCTGAACCAGGTCATTGCGGATACCGTCCAGCGTAGTCAAATCTTTACAGTTCAAGCCAAGCTTGCAGCAGCACTAGACAGGACTCTTTCAGATACAGATGGTTCTTATGAAAGCAAGCCTGAGAAAGACATGGTAAGTCGGCGGGGACCAGGCTACTCTCTCGTCTCCTTGCTGACTTGACGCAGACTCTCCCTGCTTGCACCTTCCAGGCTTGCCATAACTGCCGCCCATACTACAAAGACCGCATTTATTCGTCCTTCGAAAACGTAGTGTCGGATACCATGCCAGCTGTTACCCCTCTGGAATCAATATGTCTGCCGACCAAATCTGCGCAGACTATGCGCTCCATCGGACTTCGTCCTGCTTCCGTCTCCCCCCGGAGCCACGATCTCAGTTCGTCAGGATTTGGAGGAAATACGGATTGCACAAGCGACGACTCTTCCTTCCAAGAACGTCAGCCAAACCCATCCCGCCATAGCGTTCTTACCTTCAAGACTACACAATCTGACATGGATGACCTTTCTGCAATTCGCAGGCCACGTCGCCGATTCTACAACCTTGGTGGTCGCTCCTCAAATTCAATCGCTCGTGACTTGGAAGACCAGCCATTCTTTACTCGCCATGGTCTGAAGGCAGCGATCCAGTGGATATTCCGTCCAGGCAAAGGCTCCACTGCCAACAACGGGTCGAACATCACGTTGCCGCTGCGGAGAACTGGGACGGCTCGTGATCTCACCGTGGGCAAGAATGGAGAGCGTGTCGGTGAGTTCGACATGGGTTCCTTGCGCAGAGTGAGAAGGCAGAAAGAACGAGCTGAGCTGTCACGGGGCTATACAGGCGGATTCGAGGGTGTCACAATTTCCCCACCCAGCTCATCGGGAGACAACCAGCCGTACGAAGAGAGTGAGGCCTCCGACTACACAGTCTACTCTTGCGCCAGCGAGGGCAGTGAGGTAGAAGTCAGGAATGGCGTGGCTCTGACCGAGGAAGCGGTCGAGACACATACTCCAGACATATTGACTGTGCCGGTCATTGCTGGGAAGGATGGAGGGGCTGCGCAGGTCAGCATTCAGCCAGTCGGGGATGATGAATGTGATCTTGCATCCCCACTAGACAGCATCATGGCTCAAGTCTGAGCGCTGTCTTCAAGAAGAAGCACCACAGCATCTCGTGGTGTTTTGCAGGCATGTACGTTGTGTTTGTATACGCTCGAGGGATCATCACCATGGAGGGAATCAATGGATTAGGTGGATATTCATCCAAGTAACCTGACTAGCTAGTACGCAGCATCAGTTCTTGAACTGTGTCTTCCCCATTCCACCCATTGAGGAAAAGAGCTGGTTCTTAGCCTTTGCTGTGTATAAGTTCAACCCAGATTCCCCGTTTCCCTTTAACAGCTTACGAACCAAACAATAATGAAATATTCACAAATTACATATGCTTTCTTGGCCAATCTCACATCAACATAGAGTCACTGCTAAATAAGTCAGGATATAATTAAAAGCAGTTAGATTTCAGTTGGTGGAGGTCACTGTGGGTGGATGCAGAGGTAATTTTGGAGGTCTGTTCGAAGGGAGTACAGACTACCTGCTCTAAACATATGCCTTTGATATATCTCTAATAGTAGTCATACAACATATTGTCCCCGATCCCGTACTCATCGTTTCAATCTCTTTAGATCCAGTCCGATGAAGTCAACGTTTCCCGTAGAAAAGGCACATCCATCATGCACCACCCTCCCCTATCTCTCCGACCTCAATCAAGCGGTAGCCTTCCAGCGATGGCGAAGCATAACCCCACCAGCAAAGATACCGCAGAACCCAACGACAGCATCGCTGAGCAACCCCGTCTCAGACGACCAATGCATCGTCATGGGAAAATACGCCATATTATTCACGAGATCCCTCCACCAAAGCTGCTTCTCCTCCCTCCACACCCTCTCCCTCTCCTCCCCCCTAATCTTCCCCTCCTTCTCCCCATCATCCACCCCCTCCCCACCCTTCACACCCAGCTCCCCCTCAAAGTACAACCACTTAACAAACAACCTCACAAACTCCAACGACACCTGCGCAGCCCAGAACCTCGAGCTCCAAACCCACCACCTCGCCTCCCTCCTCTTCCCCTCGTCACCCGCCCACCCACTCGTCGTCAACGCCCCCTTCGAACTTAAATACGCCCCGTTCTCAAGGACCTGGAACCCCACACTCGCGACGATCTCGCCCCACTCCACGGCCCTCAGCACCTTCTCCCTCCTATCCTTGGGCGCGGGCGCCAGCAGCGTGGCGCGCGCCCACGTGTAGATGCCCGCGAGCCCCCAGAGCCGCACGAAGATGCGGTAGTCGGATATGGTGTCGTTGAGGGCTTTGGAGGTGGCGACGAGGTGGGCGAGGGCTTTCGTGGTGGGGGGTGCGGGCAGCGTGGCGATGAGGGTTTCGCCCGGGAGGAGCACGGCGTCGGCTTTTGAGGCGAGGGATGTGGCGAGCGTGGTTAGGCGGGCTTCGAGGACGCGGGTGAGGAGTGCGCGGAGGAGGGTCAGGGTGTAGGAGATTGTGCAGAGGGTTGAGTCGATTCCGGAGGGGGTGGAGAGGAGCGCGGAGATGCGGAGGAGGGTTGTGTCGGTGGAGTGGGCGAGGCGGTAGATTAGGCGGAGGAGGGCGAGGCGGAGGTTGAGGAGGTGAGGTTTTGAGGGGGGTGAGGGTGGTGCTTGTGAGGGTTGTGGGGATTTGGTGGGAGGTTGAGGTTGAGGTTGTTCCGTTGATGGGATTGTGGTTGTTGATGTCGATGCTGGCGGTTGAGGCGCCTGGGGTTCTCCTGCGTCCGCCATGGTTGTTGGAGATGAATCAAGCGTCCTTTTGAGATTGTGTAGGAGGAGGAAAGGAAATGTGTGATTGAATTATTAGAAGTTGTGATAGCTCCCTTTGATAGCCGGTAGTTGATAGATGGTTTCTTTTTTCGTTGCGCCGAGGTTGGAGCTGCAGTTCCGAGCCGAAGTCGCCCACCCGTCATCGTCATCGCAAATCACATGCAAGTAACAGCAACAGAACAAATAAATAAACACATGAATACATGTAAACATATAAGCATAGAAGCACTCATATGTGAATGTGTATATAGATGTACAGCTACTACGCACATAGTCGTATCCCATACATCTACCTGGGTAGGTACTTCTTGCATACATGCGTATGCCAATAGCTTGTATGTCACCATACACCATTCCCTTTCTTCTCTATTGCGCCGATAGACTTGTCTTTATGAGAGCGTAGACTATGCTTTTTAAAGATCACGATATGGACACATGATGTCGATCTTCAATACAGAGTACATGGATGTTATGCAATGATGTGATATATCGGATCGTCATACCATACCTACAGTACAATAGGTGGTGAGTGCAGTGCCCCAGATCTGTTCTCTCCCCCACCTTGTCTTGTCACCGCAACCTGTAAGTAACCTGGAACCTGTAACCTGCTCAGACCCCAACCCCAACCCCCCAGCCTCACGACTCCTCCTCCACCTCCATCTTCCATCTTGGAATAGCTCTATCTACTTGAAGTTAACCTCAACGTATCCCATCAATCCCCCCGCAGGTTTCAGGCAATGTCTCCTTGTCCTCACTCACTTCCTCAAATACCCTGATTGATCTATGTATGATCTCTGACCTCTGACCTTTGATCTTTGACCTCGCCTCACCTCACAGCTCCCCTCCCCTACATCTTCATCTGATATCTACATTGACACTGACCATGCCCTCACTACCCCACGAACCTATCCGTCGACCAACCTATCCCCTCGCCCACTCATTCCGCCGCAAGCCCCGACGAGTCCCCCTCGTCCTCCGCCTCGCCCATGGCTCAATCCACAGCATCGTCATCCTCCCCGTGCTTCTGCACTCCCTCTTCACGGTCCTCGTCGTCTACCTGGACCGCAATGTCGACGGCAGCCTGGGCCTCCCCTCGACCATCATCCCCTCCCTCTCCATAGTCGTGGGCCTGATGCTCGTCTTCCGGAACAGCACCAGCTACGACCGCTTTTGGACGGGACGGAACTGCCTCACCACCATCTCTACGAGCGTGCGGAACCTATCGAGAATCATACTCATCAACGCGAGGTCGCCGTCCCTGGACCAAGACACCTCCGCCAACAGCAATGGCAATAGCAACACAAGAGCCGGGAACATGGGAGACAGCGCCCTTGGATCCAGCATGCACGGCAACGAACCCCAAAGCAAAGGCCTAGGACTCAGCAAAGCCGAGCAAGCAGAAACCGAGAAGATCATCCGCGTGCTCCTCGCAATCCTCTACGCCATCAAGCACAACCTTCGCGCCGAATTCAACATCCCACCCGCCTCCATCGCCAACGACCAACCCCCCTCCCCAGATTCCCCCTCCTCCCCAACCCTCCAAACCCCCCGACGCCCCATAACCACCCTCTCCCGCCGCAACTCCCTTGCCGAAGAACACGGCATCTACACCGCCTCAACAGACTACACCTCGCTCCTCCCGCCCAACCTCCTCGGCTACGAAGACCGCGGGCTCTCCCTGCCCCTCCAACTAACCCTCCTCGTCGAACGCTACATCCACCTCTCCCACAACGCCAAATCCTGGGTGCACGCGCCCTTAGCATCGCAAATGACCGTGCAGCTCAACTCCCTCGTCGACGCGTACGGCCGCATGGAAACGATCCGCTCGACCCCGCTCCCCATCGCGCACCTCATCCACCAGAAACAGGTGCTCGCGCTGTTCACGTGCTTCCTGCCGTTTACGATCGTGGATGACTATGGGTGGTATGCGGTGCCGATTGTGGCGATCATTGCGTTTACGCTGTATGGGATCGATGGGATTGGCGGCGAGCTGGAGGATCCGTTTGGGTATGATAGGAATGATATTAAGATGGATGGGATTGTCGAGGATGCGAGGAGGGAGGTTATGGTGTTGCTTGAGGAGTGGAGGGATTGTGCCGAGGGGAGGGGGAATGGGGCGGTGGGGGGGATGTTTGAGTGATGTGGTGCGGATGGGATGGGATGGGATGGGCACGCAAGCACGTTGTACGCGGGAGGTGGGGATGGGGAGGAAGAAACAAGGTATATCAATCAGACCATAGGCCGCAACAATGATGTATCTTCATCATTATTATCATCATCTGTCTCCTTCCGTGCCTATTTCCCTCACACCAGCCCTCGTCTGGTCTCCACCACTAAGTATATATATCTCTTCCCCTATATATATGTATACCCCTGATGAAAAGTATGAAAAGAAAGAAAAGGAAAAAAGGTGAACACATGCCGATGACAAAACTGATCAATCAACTTTCTCTCTCACTCTCAATCGCTATCTCCACATTGGTCTTCGTGTCATCTCCTCGTCCCATCCTCCGTATAAAACACACAAACATCCCCGGATATGCAAGCGAACGAGCAAAGGTAATGACCGGAACCGTGACTTTCGTAATTTTTAACTCCTCGAACAGATCGCAATGACGAACGGACCCATCCAACCCCATGTTGTACTCCCGGAAATGCCGTTACTGAAAGAAGGAAAATTTGGATATTTGAAAGGAAAGAAAGGAAAAAAGGGGCCGTATGTGATTCTGGTCAAACAGTATTGGTCTATCACATCTGCAGAGGGGGAAGTGTCGGGGCTTCTCCACGGCCTGAGGATGGCGACTCGTCACGTAATCGAGGCCCTGTCGCCGCCGTCCGCCCTGCGCTTCCGTCTAAAACGAATGGCCCTGCATCGTTTCGGGGCGTCAATGGTCCCTCCGCTACACGCTCCGGGCTGAGGCCATTAACTTCGGTGTGGAACAATGGGGAGAGGCCAGAATGCTCGTTGTTTGCGGTTATATTAATCGTCACAGGCTGCGTTACCGAAGATGAGGCTGCTGGAGTGATGAAGCGTTGCGGGGTCGAGGGATTGGGCACGGGTGCATTAGCAATTTGACTGAGGGAATCGGCAATGTTGATGGTGGACAAGGCGGATTGCAACTCAGCCAGACTGAGGTCTCCACTGGCTTGAGCACCCCCCTCGGCATTGGTAGCAAGTGGTACAGTCGATGCACGGGGTGTGACATGTTTGTCCTCCTTGGGAGCTGCATTGTCTTCAGACGAGTCGCCGTTGGCGTTGCTAGCTTCCTCGTCCCATTCCTCGAATTCGCCCGGGTCTTCGACATCAGCTTCGAGATCGGCAACCGCACGACAATTGGGACAGAGGAAGTTGGGCCACGTTGGTCCATTGAGAATGGGTCGGATGCACTTGTAGTGCCATACATGCGAACAGGGTGCAACAAACAATGATTGACATGGCTAGCTTGGGAATCAGCAAGGTGCATCCGTGTGCCAACACGGGAGGGACAACATACCGCAACACCCATTAAACAGATAGAACATTCGGACGTATGTGTGGACGCGCTGTCGCCTTCCTTTCTAGTCTTTGCAAGGTTCCGCAGTCGCTGATGAGTTTGTTTGCTATCACACGATTAGCCACACCGGTCTCCGTTTCGATGGTTGCTACGACATACTTGAATGTATTGAGTCCCTGCTGCCACCCGCGGTTGCATTCGATTCTAATCTTTACGCAGCGGAATATCATTTCCTCCCCGCCTCTAAAATCAATGCCAAGCTGAATTATGTCCCCATCTTTGAGTGGGAAGGGTTTCGATTCAACATTAGGTTGGCTCAAACGTATGTGATTCAAAAAGGTCCCCGACGAGCTCTTCACGTCCTTGATGTACCACTGGCCGTCCTTGCACCACAGCTCGCAATGCTTCCGGCTGACCACCTTGGACTTGAAGCCAACAGCAGCGGCTGACGGGACGTTCGCAGGTATGTCGGGGATGTTGTCACGTTCCGAGTAACGTCCAACTCTAATGACTGCCGATTCATCGGGGAGGGTACGAGTTATGGTAGCAAACTGGAGGGAGGGTCTGGGCGCACGTGGATCTTGGTGGGGGATAAATCGAATCGAGGGGAGGTGTTTATTAGAATGACTGTCAGAGGTAGCGGTGTCGGCGTGCTCCATGGTCGCGGCAGGAGGGGTGAAAGGCGCTGCTGGGACGGGTCCAGAATGGTTGCGCACAGTTAGTTGCGGCGTTGCCGTCTCAGCACGCGTTCTCGTCATGGCAGAGGTAGAAGGGTGTTGTGGAGGTGAAGTGGTGGTGGTTGTTGTTGTTGTTGTGGTGGAAGGAGTAGTAACAGCAGCAATAGCGGCAGCAACAGCAGCAGTAGCAGAAGAAACAGTGACAGTAGTAGGAGAAGGAAGAAGAGTAGGAGTGCCCGAAGGTAGCGACGATGCTAACAATGATGGCTCAGGGGCAGTGAGTGTTCTGGAGAGGGTCCTTCGATGTTCAGGTTCAGGTTCGGTCGGGAGTAGTATGGGGGCGAATGAATTCAGTGGGGTAGCGGTGGCAGAGCGCGAACGCCCAGGCCTAGAAGATGTGGGAGAGGAAGAGGAAGAAGAAGCGGGAAGAAGAGAGGCAGAATTGGGTGTAGAACCGTAAGACTGCGCAAATGGATAGTCGGAAACTGCCCTTGCACTTGTCGCACGTGAGATGCCGTTGCTGTTGCTATTACTATTATTACCACCGCCACTGACAACGGCGTGAGAATGGGGTTGGGGATGGGAGTGGGAGTGAGAATGGAGGCTGTGGGTGTAATTCCTCAGGCTGGCGCTCAGCTCGCGAAGTCGGGAGGATCGCGACGAAGCAGGCGAGACTGGAGATACAGTGGTAGCAGATAACTCTGTTGGGGCTGCGGGCGCAGGTGTGGTGAACATGAGGTGTGAATGTGAACTAGGTGTAGGCAAGGCGGATTGCGGCCGCCGCGTTATTGCCTGATGATTACGAGTAGGGTGTCGATTAGGGTGTGGGTGAGTATGTAGATGATGAAGACGATGAGACGGATGAGACTGAGACTGCGACTGATGATGATGGATCTGCGACGGTTCAGACTGGGGTTGTGGCTGCGGCAGTTCGGTAGCGTTTGACCGGTGATGGAGTGCTGGTGCTGGTGGTGAAGGTGGTAGTGGAGGTTGGTGTGGTGGTAGACAAAGATGACAGGAGATATCTGAAGCAAGACGCGTCTGTAGTGTCAGTGCCAATAATGAAGATACGGAAGTGAGAGTGGGAGTGGGAGTGAAAGTAGAAGGAGAAGATGTTGATGTCAATGTCGACGTCGATGTAGATGCATGCGTAGGGAAGATAATAGTACCGGTACGAGTAGCAGTGGAGGTCGAGTTCTGGCCATCTCCTCCTACACCTCCTACACCAACCTCAACTACGCCTCCTGCACCAATTATTACACCATCCCGTCTGCCTCCCACTACTTCATCTCTTGTTGTTACTCTTCTCCCTGTTGCTCCTACTGATCCTCCCACAATTGACACTTCTGCGCCATGAATCCCTCGTCGCCTCCCCGCCTCGGCCTTACTCGACCATTGCTCCCCAGCAACCACTGGACCAAGCAGAACGGAGTAGAACTCGGCCATCATGCCATGATTCGTGGTTCGTAAATGAAACTTCTTGGTAAAACAATGACAATACTCCGTACGTACGCAAGAGACAATTGGGCGTTCACCTTCTCGTGGATTTGGTTCGGGAACGGGCGCGAGCACATAGCACATGGTACATGGTACATGGCACATGGCACATGGCACATGTAGTACTCTACTCTACAGTGTACAGGACGGAGAAGTCACTCGAACTCTATGACAGGGACATATTTCTTTGTCTCCCATCCGTCACGATGCACCCAGACGATAACAAAGCTTTCCACTTGTTGAGCAGTCAACTATTCCCTACACAGAACAGTATAGTACAGGCATCGCCCTCTTGATGGTTCGAAGGGTGTTCCTCCGTATGCCCAACCGGCCGCTTTGGACACGCCCATTAATCAATAGTGGTAGCGTGAATGAATGTTTCGGGGTCCGCTCGCGGCCAGACGGTATGGAATGCCGCCAGATTTATGCATTGCATTATCGTTGTTAGACCACCCCAGAACCAAGGGGACACATTCTTCTACCATGACGGACTGCCAACCGGGGTCTCTCCGGTCCTTTATGAACTAAACATCTACTGCTATCTTGGAAACTACTTCATTCCTAGACAGAAAAGAAGGCAAATGCATCTTCTGCGTTGAGGATATAATGAAATGCCACTCTGTGGCACAGATGTTCGAAATCAACAACACGTCCATCGAGAAATCTACAAGGTATCATAACAGCACAGTGCGGCCACTATCAGTCCTCTCTGGACTCATCCTGATTCGTTGTGTAGAATGGTCCCATAGCCTCCAGCTGTCTCCCTAACGATTACTAACTTGCCCTAATTCCCATCCTTTGCCGCACCCAACCACTCCTCCCAAAGGTATACCATGAGCCTTGAGGTACACAAGAAAGAATTTTCCAGGCAGTGTGGCTTTTACGCGCAAAGCTATTCGTAGAAATATCGTCACATCTGGATTTTGTTTAGTAATTATAGCCATGATGTCAAAGGCAATGATACGAGTTTGATTTGAAGATGTCAGTGAGCCAGACACATCACGTGATCAATGCACCCTGGCTGCTTAGTCGGTTCCGAGGCTCTCCATCCACGAAATTTCCATCCCGATGAGTCGGAATCATCGCAGCCAGCATTAACCGCCACACCATCATTCCTTCATACAGGTCTACGGCCATGTTGAGACCTCGCACCATTCGACCGCTGTCGCGATCAATACGCAACACTACTCAACGAGCAGCAGCATGTCAAAGCCGTAGGGGACTGGCAACAACGGTTGCAGAGGAACAGGTAGACCTCACAGATTGAACTCGTTTATTAGCACAAGGCTGATGGAATACTTGCCAGGACCCTGTTGATCTGGATCAACTCACCACCCTTCCCAATGGCATCCGTGTCGCGACCGAGGCTCTCCCTGGCCCTTTCTCCGGTGTGGGAGTCTACGTGGATGCTGGTTCCAGATTCGAGAACGATGCGCTGCGCGGAGTGAGCCATATCATAGATCGACTCGCCTTCAAATCGACGAAATCAACAAGTGGAGACCAAATGATAGAAAAGATGGAATCGTTAGGTGGAAACATCCAGTGCGCTTCGTCGCGGGAGTCTTTGATGTACCAGTCTGCATCCTTCAACTCCGCCGTCCCTACCACGATTGGAATCCTCGCAGAGACCATCCGCGACCCGCTCATCACCGAAGACGAAGTACAGCAGCAGCTCGAGACTGCCGATTACGAGATTGGAGAGATATGGTCGAAACCAGAGCTCATTCTCCCTGAATTGGTCCATATGGCTGCGTATAAAGATAACACTCTGGGACATCCGCTGCTCTGCCCGAAGGAGCGTCTACCCTTTATCAACCGGCAGGTGGTGGAGGCCTACCGCAAGGAGTTCTACAAGCCGGAGAGAATGGTCGTTGCTTTCGCAGGTGTGAATCACAATGAGGCAGTCCGGTTAACACAGGAATACTTTGGTGATATGCAGAAGGGCACCGGCCCTGCTCTCGTGAGCCCCAGTCAGGACAGCACCATCTCCAGCAGCGCGCCCTACGAACATACATTCACAGCTTCCCACCCTACCCCCATGGGCGCACCCCCTCAGAGCTCGAAATTGCTTTCTAAGATCCCCTTCTTTAAGAATCTCTCCACTTCCGCGACATCCCAAGCTTCAGTGCAGACCTCCCTCGATCTCAACTTCCCACCAATCGATACTTCCACACCATCCCACTATACCGGCGGCTTCCTCACGCTTCCTCCGATCCCACCGCCGGCCAACCCCGCTCTGCCTCGCCTCTCGCACATTCATCTCGCCTTCGAAGCCCTCCCCATCAACTCTCCCGACATCTACGCCCTCGCCACGCTACAAACCCTTCTCGGAGGTGGAGGATCCTTCTCTGCCGGAGGTCCCGGAAAGGGCATGTACTCGAGGCTGTACACCAACGTACTTAACCAGCATGGCTGGGTCGAGTCCTGCATTGCCTTCAACCACTCTTACACGGACTCGGGATTGTTTGGCATCGCAGCGTCATGCGCGCCAGCACTGGTGGCCCAGATGTTGGAGGTCATGTGCCGCGAGCTAGTCTCTCTCTCCGACGAGACGGGATACGCAGCACTCAAGGAGGGCGAGGTCCAGCGGGCGAAGAACCAGCTCCGCTCCTCATTGCTCATGAACCTGGAGTCACGCATGGTGGAGTTGGAGGATCTCGGCAGGCAGGTACAAGTCCACGGACGCAAGGTCGGCGTCAAGGAGATGTGCAAGAAGATCGAAGCTGTCACGGTCAAGGACCTACGTCGGGTCGCCAGGGAGGTGTTCGGTGGGCAAGTGCAGAACCTTGGGGGTGGAAGTGGAGCGCCAACAGTGGTGCTTCAGGAGGGTGAGCAGGAGGGATTGAACAGGAAGGACTTCCAATGGGACGACATCCAGGCTCGGATTGCTAGGTGGCAATTGGGACGACGATAGATCGACGCAAGGGACAGCAAACATCATGTATGAACCTTTTGTACAATACGAATAGAAGCATTATCATGGCAATATAAAAATGAATGTAAAGTACTTAGCACAACCACTACTACTATTGAATACTCTTTGTGAGTTAGCCATGTCAATCATGTTAGACTAATGAAGCACACCCATCACGTGTTTTACCTGATGATACCTACAACGTCCACGATTGCAGTGCCGTGTGAAGGTCTAGGCAATTCTTCTTCAACTATGACATGGCACAGTGTGGGAGGTGTTGATAACAAGCATGTATGGATTATCGGGGGTGGGAAGACAAGCCTTTGCCTATGGCGTATCTTCGCAAGGGAAACCAAGACAAGCAACGGGTCAACTGGCGCCATAGGCACCCTTACTCTTCCTCTCACTAACTCGTAACTCTTGACAGATGACAGTGGCTACTATCGTGATGACCCAATCTTGTAGAGAGGATCGCCCGCTAAGAATAGCCCTGTTGGCTTCAGCTTCTTTTTTGCTTCTTTTCTTCTTTTCTGCCTTCTTCCGCGTACGACTAAGGGACTAGGGACGGTAAACAGAGGGGCATGAATTGGACTGGATTAGCATCATTGACGTCACTGATGCCAACCGGGCAGTTCGGATAATCCGCCCTACCGCCCACAACTGCCCACAACTGCCCACAACTGCCCACAACGGGTTACTCGTCAATTACTCATCCACCCAACTCGACCAAGCTGAACCAACTACGAGTACAAGACTGCCCCCTCCCTCACGGACACAAAACGATGATAAAGAACTGACTGACCCTCCACAGCCTCTTCAGAGTCTTCACCGGCTTGGCCTTGTAAGCTGTCAAATTCTACACCCCTGTCACTGAGTCCCTATCGACTTCGATTCCTTTTCCTTTTCCGTACTGGGCGTTTCTGAGTGATAGATCCGAGTTACTGTCTGGTCCCTTAAGCGCACCCGCAAAATTGTGGCGACTTTAACTGGAACTCGTACACAAATTGACATTGACATCATGCCTCCAGCATGGACCCGTTGTCGTTCTTATTATTATGTTCCAAAGAGCGCAGTATTTGTGATCTGTAAATGGCAAGAACAGTTTATCTTGTCCAGACATCCATCCATCAATTGATCCATCCCATCGCCATCATCATCCGCATCCTCCATTAAGCAGCAAATTGAATCCGACACTTCGAAGCCTCCACTACTAATTTTCGTTTATTGTTATCATCTATTATTGTTTTTCATCTTCTCTTTCTATTCTCGATTGCCGTCCACACAAAATAAAGAGGTAGGGGAAAGGACCCTTAACCTTGAACCGGCCAGAGTGGAAGAGTCTAGATGTGTCTGGTTGCTCCAGTTCCGAGCCCCTACACCCTGCATCCGCCTACGCCTACGCCTACGCCTACACCAACACCACCTACACCTATGCCTACTACTACCACTACCACCACCACTACTACTATCCCCACTCCTACTTCTACTACTCTTACTGCTAATTCTCAAACTCCAATTCCTTCGGGTTATCCGACTCCAACCTCTCAATTGCCAACAATTGATGCCCGCCGATCATCCACGACAACAATCACTAACACAACCACCACTCATACAACAACTACCACCACTACCACCACTACAACTGATGCCATAGCTCATGAGATAACCCCCTCTCTCACAACTACTGCCGCCACTACTGCTGCTGCTGCTAGCGGAACTCTCCCGTCAAGTCACTCTCCCGCACACGCCCGCGCCCACGCCACACTCAATCTTCTTCGACATTGCTTGCACTGTCCAACCCCAAGGTCAATCAATCCTCCAAATGTCGTGCCCACTCCTGTTCCACCTCCACCATCTATAGCTGCTGCATATTCAAGCCAGCCGGACCGTACCGGGTCAACAATGCCTACTGATGGAAAACGTACCTCCTTCTTCCCAAAAGCCGATGCTGCCATACTACAGTCCAAATACGATCCGCCATCGGTCCGTCCCAAGGTGGTTGGCCCCGTCTTCGATGTTGATCATGCCAACCAACCCCTCCAGCCATGGAACCAGGAGTTGACAGAAGCCGTATATCCTCTCAACCACGATGAGTCCGATGAAGCACCAATGCCGAGCAAGCCGGACTCACAATTCCAATGTCCAGCCGTGGGGGACACTTATCTGTATCCTGTCCTAACCCAAAATGAGAGACTCCGACTGACCATGCTATGGTACTACACTCGCGGAAGCCTTGAGGACGTCGAACTGCAATCACGACTCCAGGAGAAGGCTCACCTCGCATCCGAGACCATAGGATGGGAATTCGTCGTCATTGGCCTGTTGGACCACAATACTTACACACGTCTGGTCACGGTCGGTGTTCCACTGGCTGTGCTTCCTCGTCGCGAGACCATGTGCGCCCATACAATTAATCAACCACACGATGTAGGCCCCCTTTCCTTTTCAAATTCTCCAAGGTCGTCTTGCTAAAACCCCTAGACTCCGTTCATGCTACCTGATATGTCCAAGGACTGGCGATTCCAGAATGCGCCACACGTCGCGGAAGGAGGACTTCGATCCTATGCTGGCGTGCCTTTGCGTCTGGAGACGGAATTCGGCCACTCTGTCACCCTAGGATCACTCTGCGTAACCGCAAACTCCGTGCAAAAGCCACTGACCAGATCGCAGCAACGGTCCCTCGTACGCCTGGCCGACTGGGTGGTCGCCGATCTTGTCCATAGCGCCAGAGCCAGGCGGCAACAGGAACGGCGCCGGATGCTCGAGCTCATCGGCTCGGTCAAGCTACTGGAGAACGATGATGGGTTCCGCTTCGAAGGGGATGTGTTGGATATTGTGAAAACGATTTACCCGCAAGCCACTATCAACATCCAAGCGTCGGCGCGGCACCAGATCGTACTCGAAGGACGCGATCCCATCAGCGTGAATGAGCTCGAGAATGGGTTGTGGGAAGATTGCGAGTACTTTGACTACATCATCGAAAAGTACAACCATCGAGATATACAGCTTAGAAGAGTAGTCCGAGTCATTGCTGCCGAAGGAGGTGTCGCTCCATTGCCGACGTACCTGGTCGTTGCGTCGAAAGACCCTCGTCTCGTGTTCGACGATGTTGATACCTGGTTCGTCCAGACATGCGCTTCGATGTTGTCGCAGATGTGGCAGAGTCGACTTCTGAAGGAAGCCGTGAAAGCGAAAGAGAGCTTCCTGCGCGGGATCACGCATCAGCTCCGCACGCCGATTCACGGCATCTTGGGCTCAGTCGAGCTCCTGGCTGAGGAGATGAGGTCGCGCAACTTCTGGTCGGATTATATCGTGGCTTCGTCTTTGCCAGCATCCGCCACAGAACCGTTCTCCAAAGATCTGTCCACCAAGACCCATCCTCTTACATACCTTGACACCATCAAAGCTTCTGGTCGGGAACTTATATCTACCATCAACAGTATGCTCAAGTTGAACAGGTGGACAGAGATAGCGCAAGCTGGCAGGGTCGACACGCTGCGTCGTTTCACGGAGCTCGAGTCGATCTTGATTCACGAACTAATGCAGACGATGTCGGACGAGGTTCTTACGAGGTCCTCGTTGATATTCAACTACATTCTCCCATCGAATTGCGACAGCCTGACAATCGACATGTGCCTCATGAAGGACTGCATTCTAGCCCTTGTGATTAATGCGCTCCAGGCAACACCACCGAAAGGTGTTGTTTCCGTCACTGTATCTGTACCAGCGGACCACTCGGTTTTCACGGTCGACGTGAGGGATACTGGAATGGGAATTCACCCAGATGATCATTCGCGAATCTTTGATGCCTACGAGAAGGTGGATATGCACACCACCGGAGCCGGACTCGGCCTGACGCTGGGCTCTAAGCTCGCGAGTCTGCTGAACGGCTCGATATCCTTGGTCTCGTCCGCTCCGCAGCAGGGCTCCCATTTCAGGGCCACATTCTACAACCCAGTCTGTGTCCGCCAAACCCCCAAATCGTCCGAGCCGAAGTTCACAGCCTTGCCGTCTACTTTCCACTGCCTCGAAGCCTGCTCGAACCCCAGGTCACTTTCTTCGCATTTCGCCGATTGCCTCATCACCCAGGGCTTGACATCTTCAGATGATAAAGAAAACTCACTTCTGATCATCGAACATAGCGAGGAAGATCCAGAGCATCTGGACACTCTCGTATCGCGAGTGCCCCCTTCACAGGTCGCCATCTGCCTGGTGCCCTCGACGAGAAGCAACATCCACCTAAACACCGACCACCAGGAGCAGGTCCAGTTCCGAAACAACATCATCTACTCCACCTCCCCCTTCACCTACTCAACCCTCAAAGCCGCCCTCCAGCGCGCCGACACCATCCTCTCCGACATCAAACTCACCGCCTCGCAACCACCCGCAGCAGCAACTCACGACAACCCCCTCAAAGACATCCCCCTCCGCATAACCCCGCCAGTCACCCTCCCCAAAAACCCACCACCCCGCCTCCTCCGCCAGAAAACCGCCTCCCCCCCGACAGCAACAACAACAACAACAACATCAGCCACCGACCGCATAACCGCCCTCCTAGTCGACGACAACCCGACCAACCTCCGCATCATGCAAATGTACTGCAAGAAACGCCAGATCCCGTACCTCTGCGCCACCGACGGCCACCAAGCCGTCTCAATCTTCAAAACCCACCTCCTCCCCGCCTCCACCTCCCCTCCCTCGCCCTCCAAGGAAACCCCAACCCCTACCCCTACCCCTACCCCCACAGCCATCAACCTCATCCTCATGGACCTCCAAATGCCAGTCCTCGACGGCATATCCGCCACGCGGGCTATCCGCGACTTGGAGCTCCAACACAAGGGGCCTTCCACCCCTGAAAACAACAGGAGCGTGTTGTTCATCATCACGGGCCAGGACTCCAAGGATGATAGGAAAGGTGCTGAGGACGCGGGCGCGGACGCGTTTTTCGTCAAGCCGGTCGGGCCTAGGGAGCTGGATAGGGGGATTGGGGATTGGTTTCCGGGTTGGAGTGGGGGGAGTTGATGAGATGTGTGAGGGAGGGAGGATGGGGTGTGTATGATACATAGGGAGATGGAGGGGATATATGAAGGGAGCAGATAGGGATCACGATCTTTGAGTTATATAACGGGCTCGAACACGTCTTTGAATGTATTAGGGCTAGGTTTTTAGGGTTTAGGTACAGATGGACGAATGAATGGAAATATATAAGGATACCTAATTTTTGCACTCTGCTTTGATTACAAGTTGTTAGTTGTTGTCAGTTCTCACTCGTCGTTAATTCCCAGTCGTCTTTAGGTTTCAGTCATTAGCAAGGTCTAGCTACCAGTTGTCAGGTATCACTCCCTACTTGTTAGACACTACTTGTCAGATATTACTACAGTTGGTCTTCAACAACTACCTGGTTATTGCTAGTTGTCATTCCCAGTCGTCTCCAGTTCTCACTCGTCTCCAGTTCTCACTCGCTATCAATTCTCACTCGCTATCAATTCTCACTCGCTATCAATTCTCACTCGCTATCAATTCTCACTCGCTATCAATTCTCACTCG